TGAAAACCTCCGTTTAGTTATTTTTTACATTTTGGTGCCTGGAAGTCGGTTTCTGTTTTTTTTTTAAGTTTTAGGTTTTACTGGTGAATCATAGGATTTACGTTGTTAGTTCGAGCTTTTACTGTATATACACTATTAGTTGCCAGTTTGGTGTTCTTAAATCGGACAAAGCAACATATCGCAAATATAAAATATTAGTATGAACAAAGCCATTAGGATTAAAAATAAACACTATTATTAACCGACTCATTGTTTCATTTGCAAATTAACTTGCGTCACCAACAAACTATAAATCAGCCAATGTGAGAACGACATGGCAACATCTAATGCTAATATTTATTTACTTGTAAATGTAAATCTGCGAGAGATATTATGTACTTATCTCTTCGTTATTGCAAAATGTTATACTTACTTATTTTTTCAGTGGCAACAAAAAAGTACTTATATTTGCCTTTTTCTAATGTTTTCTGATAAAAAGTGAACTGGTACGAAGATTTTTTTATGAAAAAGCAATATATGTCATGTTAATAAAAATCTTCAATTTTAAATCAAAGGAAATCTTCGGCGAAATTGGAATTCTTGATTATTTATAAACATTTATTCAATAACTAGCATTGCCTGCGGCTCCGCCCGCGTTCAGATGACCAAAAACCAAATTCTTAGGTTTTACATATTAGTATACTCTTACAATGCAGTTTTTGTATTTTTTTTCAGAAATGAGATATTTTCCCGCGGTAAAAGTATCCATATATCGACCTGAATAACCAGCTATCACTATCCCAATTTCATCAAAATCCCAGTGGTTTTTCTGTGATGCGGTAACAGACAGACAGACAAAAATTCTAAAAACTATAGATTCGGCCTCTGTATCGATAATAATGTTTGTTTCAATAAGATTTTTCAAAAAATATTTAATGTACAGATTCGGCTTAGCTACAATTTTATTATATGTATAGTTAATTAATCGTTCACATTACTTTTATTAGGTGGATAAGCTATTACATACATCTGGAAAAAAGGTCTATATCTTTGCCAAAACTACGTATGTACTTTTTTTTTTGTTGATGGTGACTTCTTTGTTCCTTAACAAAAATAGCCAGACTCAAAGAATCCTTTGCTTTTTACTCCCTTTTTAGTTATCTTTTATTCAGCTTCGCTTTCCTTATTTACAATCGCAAATGTCCTATCAATTCAATTCTTTTGTTCAGTATGTCTTATTAGTACCTTTAAATTCAAATTTGTAAACCAATAAAACCCACTCTGTCTATACATATGTACATTGAAACTGGGTTTTTAGTTCTAGACTTTTACACTTAGGGGGGAGATAGATTTTATTTAATTTAAATGCTTTTAGCGACTTCCGGTATAGCTTTTTTTAATTTGTTTTTCTTAAACCAAAGAAAAAAAGACCTGTTTATTTTTTATTTTTTTTAAATATTCATCATTAGTTAACTTTATAAAGCCATAAGCGGTTAGCTCAACGTCTTAAGTTTTGTAGCCTGTAACTGATCACATTTCTTACAATAACGAGCCTTGCTTTTGAAATACAAAAAAATCTGTAGAGGGACTTATTTATTTTCAATGGATTTCCAATAAGAAGTCAATTATACGTCTTTAGCGGTATCGGTGGTATTTTTTATGTATGTACGTACGTACACCGATTACTCCGAGATCTCGAAAGTCAAAGCCGCTTTAGGTGATTATTTTAGTAACATAATAAAATTTATTGGTCCCATATAAATATGGTGATGATCGGATGATGAGATCTGAACTCCTTAAAGACTTTCAGTAAATATACTAAGTATAGTATGTTTATGTAATTAATAATAAATAGTATTCGCCCAGTTATGAAATTTGATTAAAATATTTTTTTATTGATAACATTAAAGCTTGTCGATAGCTTCTAAACAAAAAAAATGGAAATTGGTTGACAAATTGAGGAGGATAAGGCATTGAACTGTTTTGTCTTTGTCTATTCATTTGTTTAATACTGATTATAAAACTAATTAAAATTATAAAACTTAAAAAAATATAAAAATGTTTAATTTTAACAAATATTGTAAGGTACTTACTTTGGTGCCATTTTTCAATTTTTTGAATTCATTTTGTTATTTGTGGGTAGGCTGTCTGTAACAACTATACCTTCGAGACATGTAACACCTCAGTCTCTCCCGTGACCATGAATGCTGTAAAGCATTCGAAACGTCGGGAACCAAAAATCAAAATAAATCTGTAAAAAAATCCGAAAAGATGGTTTTATTTAAAATGTTAAATATTCGCGTAAATCTAAGAAAATGATTATAATCAGTTATCATATAGTCATAATCGTGGGATCAGTCATTAAAGTAATCGCTTAAGTATGTTTGTTGCAAATTGGTTGGTATTTCAATCATCAATTGTTCGTCTTTCTGTGTCTTTCCTGGCTATTGTTACCGTGTCATTGCATTGGACTCATTTTGTTACGTTTTATATGAGGATTGATAGAATGATTCGGTCTAAAATGTAGACATAATGACACAATTGATAGGGTAATATTATTTTAAACCTATATGTTGACCTGGATAACCAGCTATCATCATACCGAATTTCATCAAAATCCCTCCAGTGGTTTTTCTGTGATGCGGTAACAGACAGACAGATAAAAATTCTAAAAACTATAGATTCGGCCTCTGTATCGATAATAATGTCTATTTCAATAAGATTTCCCAAAAAATATTTAATATACGGATTCGGCTTAGTTACAATTTTATTATATGTGTAGATTAAACTATCTTTAAGGATTTTTTCTCGGTTTTTTCGACTTATGGTCCGCGATGTTTCGCTTCGCTTTGCAGCAATCATTGTCATAGGAGACTCTCCCGTCCGTAAATCAGGAAAAGAGTCCGAAAAAATAGGTTTATTTAAAATGACAAATATTCGCATAAATCTAAAAAAGTATTATAGGATATTATTATGAAAACATTAGTGATCTGCATTTTTTACTTGGTTAAACACTTTTCCTTCTAAAACAATGATGTAAAACAGAATGGTGGTTCTCATGTTATAAGAACACAACGCACGCACACAAAATATAAAAAAAAAACTACATATCCATATACATAGAGCTATAGCATAAACAGGATAATATTATATAGTATACATTAATGTACAGTTTTTAAATTATAATTATTGCTTATTTACATATAATATCTAAGGCAGCGTAATTTTTGACTCGTGGAAAGCAATATTAATTTTATTTTGTATCTCTCGCGTATTACTTAGTGCATTTAGTTTTCTCTTTACTAAATAAATAAAGCAAAGTACCAATCGAGTTACTTAATATTTAAGGTCACTTCACACAGTATATTTCTTACAACGCCATATATGTCCACAATCGGCCATTGATTGACCGTATGGTGACCGCATGCTTTAAATTATTCCTACGTGTTTGTCGTACTTGCTGTAACTACAAGTAATCTTAGAATTATTTTATTCAGTAGGATTTTCAATGTTAGGTATTTTATGATTTTTACTTTAAAATCTATATATATAGTAAAGTTTGTGAGGTTATGTCTACTGAACCGATTTAGATGAAATTTTGGTAAGAAGATAGTTTGATACCCTGGGAAGGACATAGGATACTTTTTATCCCGGAAATCGTCCCTTAAGGGGTTGAAAATTGGGATGAAAGTTTGTATGGGGAATCACGTTTTTCTGCTCTCTTTGTCAATCGATTTTATTTTGCTTAGTAACTATTGTCAATAAAAAAATTTGGAAACATTTTATATTTTTTTATATAGATAGGTAAATTCTATTCATATATGTCTTTCTCTCAATAATGATTACGCTCGAGTTTCGGCCACTGGGCGAAAACTACTCTTATTAGTTAAATATTTATAACTCATAGTAAGTATAATTAATTACACAGTATGTGTGTCTGTGTATGCTATTTACACGTATTCCCATTTTGTATTATAAAGGATGTCGAAATATGAGCAAGGCTCTTAAGTTCGTATTTCACTTTTTAAAATTGAACTTTAAAAAGCACGAGCAAAGCTTTTTAAGGCTCAATTACTTCGAATTTTCGTCATATGTAGGACATTTACATACATTGGTTTATTATGAACACCCTGAATAGTATTCATCAAAAGCGTCAAGTGCTAAAGACTGATTTTTATCACGATACAACTTTTTTAAGTTCTTGGAAAAAACTTCAATACTTTATTCACTTATTCGCTTTTTTAATTCAATAGTTTCAAATAATCAATATTTTCAAGGTGATCTTTATATATAGCTACAATTAACTGCGATGTCGCTTGGCTTTCTGTAATACTAGCGACTCACCCTCGCTTCACTCGGGTTCGTCCCTAGGTAGGTACGTTTTAACGGTTAGTATGGAATACAAATCTTTGAATTTCTCCGCTTTTCTGTACTATAATATGCATGTATTATACACATAAACCTTCCTCTTGAATCACTATATCTTATAAAAAAACCGCATCAAAATCCGTTGCGTAGTTTTAAAGATCTAAGCATACATAAGGACAAACAGACAGCGGGAAGCGACTTTTTTTTATACTATGTAGTGATTTTTTCGCTTTAAAGGGCTAACTGATCGAAAGCGTTACTTTGCAGGAATGTATGCGGCTTATAAGTATCGTTGTTTACTTTCAAAACACCTTTCTAGTCATGTTCAATAATGTTAATTATTAATTTGTAGTAAATATTACTATAGAGTACAGCTTTTCGTGAGCTATTTATTTGTGTACTTAATATGTACGAGTACTTTGAAGACTATAGTAAATGATAAAAATAACAATTCTTAAAATAAAGAAAACTCCTTTCTGAACAGGATACGCACTTAATATTAATTACTTTCGCCATTTTTATCAACCAGTCTACATACATACATACCTCTATTTCACTAGAGATAATCATATGCTTTACAATCACAGCGCAAGTCACAGTCTTACTTTAGATAACAACTAAATTATTTACTATGTTTTGTAATGTCATTCCAGTCCACATGTATCACCAGAAACCACGATTCCGTCTACGTCGGGCCTTCAGACAGAGCAAGATAGTGACAGTATGAGAAAGAATGATGACGAATCAAATAATAGTAAAGAGAAAGAAAATGAAGGCTCGATGTCCGATTGGGTGTCCGGTGGACCCATCGGGTCGAAGGGCGCCGTTCTCGTCTTCAGATCCTGTGTCCTGGCTTCACGCACACCCTCCATGGAGTCGACGACGAAAACAGTTGGCAATAATACAGGGACCACTATATTATTAAATAAGGCAAAAAATATGGCCAAGCGATTAGTAGCGGAGCCTCATTCCTTCAATGTAAGACCAAAGAATATTATGCACGACGTGATGGAGACCTTTGGGAATAGCAATAAGTTCACAGGACAAGCATATGTAGTTAGGCACGTAAGTGAAGCAGAAATGCCAGAAACAGAGTCCATAGAAGACCAAGGCCATGAACCGGTGGAGCATAAAAGGGACATCGAAGACGTATTGAACGATTTAAATAAAATAACTCTGAAGAAAAATCTCAACATCGAAAACACTACTGCCAACATCAAACCACCTGAAGAACCGCCGCCGCCTGCTAAAGGTAGACATAAACTATTCAATATATATTCAGTATCTATACTTATTATAAAAATAAGTCCCCCGGCCGCGTCTTTCTGTCCTCCTGTCTGTCTGTACGCGATAAACTCGAAAACTACTGAACGGATTTTTATACGGTTTTCAACAATAGAAAGAGTAATTCTTGAGGAAGGTTTAGGTATATAATTTATTATGCTTTTATGTAAATTAGCTGAAATACGGCGACAAATGTTGAAGAGGTCGCAAAAAATCTCGCCAAATGGGAACTTTCCACGCGAACGCCGCGTAAACTAGCAAAGATACAGTTAAGTAATGTACTAGAGAATTCAAAATCTATAAAAATGCTACAAAAAAGTCCGCGATAGCATATCTCTATCTCTTACGGTTGACTTACAATAACCACTTTTATGTTAACATTTTTAATTAAAAACATTACGTTATTTTCAAAGTTATTTTGTTTAGTTCGGTATTAATCCTTATCCAAATGAATATTTTAGTTAGCTTAGTCATTTAATGCAGATTAAAATTGCTCTTTACACTAAATCAATCAGATGAATAGTTTTTGAGATATCGTTGTTAGAAGTAATTAGTAGCGAAACATTTTTAATGCTTGGCGAGCATTGAGATGCCTACGGCGAGTCCATCCCCTCTGCCCCGCATCGCTCGACCGCCTGCTCAAGCTATATATTAAACCGGGCGATGTAGCGCGCGATCCTAGGATACTTATATACACTTACCGCGGGAAAATATCTTATTTCTGAGGAAAAATACAAAAACTGCAATGTAAGAGTATACTAATATGTAACACCTAAGAATTTAGTTTTTGGTCATCTGAACGCGGGCGGAGCCGCGGGCAATGCTAGTAATTAATATTGATAGGTACTATACTATTTATTTTTGTTTGTCTTTACGTTTATTTGCCACCGATTTATACATTTTTGTTTGAAAATATTGATGAATTATGTATAATAATTTTCCCTAACAAAAACTTTTATTGAAATACACTTTTCATCTATAAACACACAGCTAGATCTTTTAAAAAAATGGGTTTAATATATTAGACCATAGGTTTCATTACTATAAGGAAAATTAACCTTTTTTCAGATATTAAAGAAGAGAAAAAAGGTAAGAAGACTAAGGGCAAGAACAAACGCAAGACCCAACGTGCGTCGTCACCAACCCTCGACAGCGATGACTCTGAACACATGTTAGTTAAAGACGTGGATAGTATTAAGGTTATACTTTACTTCACATTCTTTCTTAATTTGCCTTCTCTAACTCTTTTTCTTATTTCATAATTCTTTTTATTTTTTCGGACTATAACTTATAGAATTAAGCATGAAGTCTAACAAAAATAACTAAAAACTCTAGCAGCGCGCTTAGTGTTTGTGTATTCTTGTATTCAAATACAGACATCAGTGTGTTAGTAGAATGGTAGAAGAGGGAAGTAGAGAGTTGAAATATTCTCTCAAAATCATAATTTTATAATTAGCAATATAACGCAAATTTTTTGACTTTGACATTTCTTTTGGCGATCTATATTATTCTTTACTCTACCGACCAATCTTCTTTTTTCAATTCATTTCAGTTCAGTGGCTCCTAGGAGTGCCATTTGGGCACCATTTACAGAGTTTGCCAATATCGCCTAGAATGGATCCGACCAATTTCCTTCGTTTCTTTTTCATTTTACGTGACATTGGCGAAGTAATCTGTGCTCAACGGACTCGTTTCGAAGACATTAAAAAATATTGAATTGAATTATTTAGTTACGGTTATAAGTTAAATTAATATATACGAATTTCTAAATAGCTACAACATATTGAGCTGATATGGTTTTTGCAGGGAACTAAAGCTCAAACAGCCCATATAAAAATTATGTGACGACAGGTAGTTAGTATTCAGGTGAACGTGACATAGGTTATTTATCGGCGTTACACGTGAGTGTAGCTGCAGGCAAAGGTTAGCGGGTCATATATTAAAAAGATGCTATTCTATCGAAGTGGAATCAACAATTAACAATTCTTGATTCTTCAGACTATTATTTTCTTTTTGTATATCTAAATGAACTGAAGCGAAAATCGACTTCCGAAAAATTATATATTTAAAGAAGTCATCCATCTTAAAGTACCAACTATTTGATTATTGACGGTGACTTGGATCACAAATTTCTCCAAATTGTATAGGTGTTAGAAAGTAGTCACATGCCAGCTCGCGTCCTTAACATCACATACAAGCTGGTCAATACGGAGACCAAGTTGCTACACCGGTTGCTCCAAGCCCATGGTCTTCAAGAGGCACCCCCAGAATCCAAAGACTTCAATCTTATGTGGGCTGGTCTTCATCCCAAACCTGATGTACTGAGATCTCTTACACCATATCAACGGGTCAACCACTTTCCTAGGTGAGTTTCTTTTAGTTTTAAGTCTCTAATATTATATTTATGGGTAAGTATGTTGTGCAATATTTTTATATATTATTTTATGGTAATGTAACGGAAAGTGAAAATATTTAAGTATACGGAATGTGGAAAAGAAAGTGATGAAAGTCTGAAATAGTAGTCTCAAATAGAACAGACATTACAAACAAACACTTCAATTTTATCTATCTGTATAGATATGTATGGTGTGATAATTTACTTAGTCTACCTCTTTTCTTTTAGATCTTACGAACTAACGCGTAAAGACAAACTTTTCAAGAATATAGAGAAGATGCAGTACTTCCGTGGATTAAAGCACTTTGATTTCATACCTACGACGTTTTTAATGCCCAACGAATATAAAGAACTTTGTACCACGCATTATAGGACGAAAGGGCCGTGGATAGTGAAGCCGGCTGCGTCTAGCCGGGGACGAGGGATCTATATTGTTAACACTGTAAGTTATTTAATGTATCAATAATCATATTAAATGTCATATAAGGGTTGCCATTATAGAATAATTTAGTAAGGGAATACATATTTTTAAATGAATAGAGACACTGAGAGTTACGAGATTTCATCTCTTTTTATGTGAGCGTGTTTCAGTGAAGCGTACTTTAAAATTTAATGTCCTGGCTCTATAAAAATATTTACGTCACTTATGTTATACGCCCCTTGTCCCATTAAAAAAAAGCGTAAAAAAATTTCAAGATAGATCATTTCGACTATCGTAAAAGAGATGCACCGGTAAGGCCGATTGCGTCGCTAGATGTCCACTAGCGTTTTTATTATTTTATAAACTAGTGGTTATTCAATAAAAACAAAAAAAACGTGTGCAGTTCACACGCGGTAGTGAAACCTTGAAAACTATGAAGTACCTCACGTAGAGGAGATCGATGTGTTTGTCTCTTTTTAATGTCGCTTTTTCGTTTCATCGAGTTTCAAATCACAACGGGGCCAAAGAAGTTTTCAGTTCATAAACAAACAAAATATTAATTCCAGCCAGAGCAAATACCAAAAGGTGAAAACGTGGTAGTAGCGAAGTATATAGACAAGCCGCTGCTCATCGGCGGCCATAAGTGCGACCTGCGCCTCTACGTGTGCGTCACCTCCATAGACCCACTCCTCATATACCTGTACGAGGAGGGTCTGGTCAGGTTCGCTACCGTCAAATACGACAAGACCAATAAGAACCTGTGGAACCCCTGCATGCATCTCTGTAATTACAGCATCAATAAATATCACACAGATTATATAAAGTGAGTATTTTTTTTTGTTTTAGATTATTTGTTGAAAATTCTATAGTGTATTATAGGCTTTTTGATTAGATATTGAAGATATTTTTTTTCAATATCTAATCAAAGAACATTGAATTGTTTTTACAATTTTAAAGTGGTTGTCAAATCGGTTTACTTTTTAAATAAAAAAAAACTAAAACAAATTTGTTTAAACATTAACAAAAATAGCTAAAGATTTCATCCCATATGTTACACCTCTTTGTTTGTAAAAGGAATGTAGCTAACTTCATCATGTCGCTTTTTGGCTGTCGGTGTGCGCGCGCATCGTAGGAATTTTACTCATAATTTTTGCCAAACGTGCCAAAATAAGGTGTAACTTCAAAAAACAAAAAGAGGATTATAAAAAAATGAATATAAAATATTAAAAAAATAACGGGAAGTTAAATAAAAAAATAAGTTAAAAAAATAAGGGGAAGAAAAAAATAACGAGGAGTCGAGAACCAAAAATCAAAAATAAATCTGCGAAATAATCCGAAAAGATAATTTTATTTAAAAAGATAAATAAACATTAACCCGGTGTTGCCAGATGCGACGACCCGAACGCGGGCAACATCGGGCACAAGTGGACGCTGTCGGCGCTGCTGCGGCACCTGCGCAAGGCGGGCCGCGACACCGCCGCGCTCATGGCCGCCGTCGAGGACCTCGTCGTCAAGAGCATCCTGTCCTCGGCGCAGACCATCGCCGCCGCCGCCAGGGTCTTCGTGCCCGGACAGTTCAATTGCTTTGGTTGGTGTACACTTGTATACTATTGTATGCGACTCGGGTGTGTCCCGAGTTAGTTTACAATTTCATGGGTTTTATTTTTTTGTGCGGAACTCTCATTCTTTTTCTAAAATATTATTAGCTTAAGTTACTCCTTACAACATCAGCTATCTGCAAGTGCACATCCCTACAAATTAAGTACAACGGTTTTGGCGATTAGCCGGAACAAATAGACAAATATTTAAGAAATGTTTTTTTTCTTATAAATACCGTATATACTTTCATATGTATTTAGTAAAAAGCTGTTATTTTGACATTACAAATAGACAACTTTAATTTTATTTATTTGTATAGATAGCTATGGAAGCAAGTTTTGAACGTTGATTATTAAGCTTCATTATTATAATACTTTCTTAGATTTACGCGAATATTTTACATAGAAATTCATTTTGTTACAGAATTGTTTGGATATGATATACTAATAGATGACATGCTGAAACCGTGGCTGTTGGAAATAAATTTGTCGCCAAGGTAATTCTTTATATTCTATTTTTTAATATACTCCATAATTTAAGGCACTTTTTTTTAAATATATGTATGTGTGTTCTGTTTAATGTTACTTTTTATTTTAAGGATATTTAATTTTAGTTTGCCAAAAATATGTAGAGATAGATATATTTTATATTAATTTATGTCATTTATTTTACTCTTCTTCACCTACTTCTTCTTCTTAATATTGAGGTAACAAAAAGTTAAATATATAATAATGACACTACGGCACTTAAACGCATGAATTCTTAAGGGGCAAAGTTCCGATTTAAGTCCCGTAGTATCATTATTATTATATATATGGAACGCGAAAATTAAAACGAAAAAAACATACATACATGCAGACGAACATAGAACCCTTCTTTTTTGGAAGTCGGTTAAAAAGTTAAATACCTATCCCACAGTCTCGCCTGCGAGAGCCCATTGGACGCGCGCGTGAAGTCTGCGCTGCTGGCGGACACGCTGACGCTGGTGGGGCTGCCCGCGACGCCCGCCTCCCCGCAGACCAACTCGCTCAAGATGAGGATAGGAGCTGTCCGTTGTTATCCGTATTACTGTACATATACGTAGAGGATGGACTGAGTAATACTTTCATGAAATTGACTACGTTGTAGAAAGAGAGAAAGCTAATGTGCGGCGTATAACCGGTTTTTTATTCCAATTTGAATTTGTAAATGGAATGTTAAAGAAACGGTGTAATAGAAAAAACTAATATTTATAAATGTCAATATTCAAATTATTCGTAATCCAATTAATAAAGAAGGCCTGGCCGTACGTTCGTTTTGTCTCTATCGCGTCTTTCCGCCATTTTTTGTTTACGGCTGGCAAAGAAATACTCAGTCCACTCTCTATGTCTATTGAGTTTCACTAACTACCTCGGTGGTGTAGTGGCTAGCATGTACGGCGCATCCGGTGGTCAGGTTCGAATCCCGGGTCGGGTCAAGTTTTATTAGTGAGTTTTTCTGTTAGGATATTCTCAGTAGCACGGAGTTGGAAAATTGGTGATATTTCATGGTTTCGAAGACACTCACGGTGATCGTCCTCATCATCCCATTGGAATTTCAGAGGAAAAAGAATAGAGACTACACGGCTCTGTACACTATAATATCATCTGCAATTGGCTAGTGTCAGTGAGATTGGCCACCGTGGTCGACATCGTTTGAGAGAGCTTAGTTCCAATTTGTTTGACATCACCAAACAATTGATATACTTTTTTTGAGCTCAACATTGCGATAGTTGTCCAAAAGATCAGGAAAACTTAAAGGCCTTTTTTTTACACGATTTTTGGGTAAACTTTAAGATCACAAGCAAAATTTATATCAGCCATGAAAATCTAAGATTTGTCTGTGAGTACAAAATAACATAATAAACATATGTATGTTTGTACATTAAGCCTATTATTGTATATTCCAGTGTCGCAGAGTCCACTCAGCGGAGAACACTTGCGTGCGAGGCAAGCCGGGTGCGAGCGGCGCGGTGGGGAGCGCGGGGGGAGGGGGGAGCGCGGGGCTGACGGGGGAGGAGCTGCGTACGGTGCGCGCGGTGCGGGCGCAGTACGCGCGCCGCGGCGGCTTCGTGCGCATCTTCCCCAGCCAGAACTCGTGGCAGAAGTACTCGCAGTATTTAGGTTAGATTATGACGTATTTCTTTTTAAATTCTTTCTTGTGGTTCGGTCGGCGGTTTATGTCTCTCACGAACTGCCAATAGGTGTAGTTAAGTATGCTTGAGACACCAAGTGAAGTGGTGTTGAATTTCAGAACTAGCACATTTAATATTTTCATGTGCAAATCATTTTCAACATGATTACCATATAGTGAAGGACAACCATCCCTCGTATTGAAGGAATACTCTCACTTAGCAGGGGCATTAATTTTTATAATATATGATTAAAAATAATATAAAACCCCTTATTATACACCTAAGAAAAAAGAGAAAATATACAAAAGGTAGGAAAATGTATAAGAAGCGGCTTTATCGCTAAAAGAGCGATCTCTTCCAGACTATATTAAAATGTAGGAAATAGTACTAAGTTCTATCTTATATGGTGCGAAAATTAAATAAAGGGATAGCATCAAATGTATATATTTATAAATATGATCATACTTATTATACAAATACTAGCGATTCACCCTCGCTTCGCTCGGGGTCGTCCCTGGGTACGTTTTAACGGTTAGTATGAAATACAAATCTTTGAATTTTTCGGCTTTTCTGTACTATAATATGCATGTATTATACATATAAACCTTCCTCTCGCATCGCTCTATCTATTAAAAAAACCGCATCAAAATTTGTTGCGTAGTTTTAAATATCTAAGCATACATAGGGATAGACAGACAGCTGGAATCGACTTGGTTTTATACTGTGTAATGGTATATTAAATTTAATACTAAATAAAATGATTAGCTAATTATATGCAATGACACGACAGACCCCGTGAGCGGCATCCCGGTGTGCTCGACGTCGCTGAACAGCGGCGCGCCGTACAGCGTGGTTCAGCACAACTACAACCTGCTGGTGCACGCGCACGTGCTGCCGCGCTTCCAGCACGCTGCCGCGCCCGCGCCCGCCGCCGCGCCGCAGCGGTCGGTGCCCCTGTATCCTATATCCCTATCTCGGGAACTTTTATGGCCTTAATTCTTTATTACAGATATTTTTTATTTACAATATTAACCGTTGTCTTTAAAAGGGAGCCTTTTATATCTTTGGGGCCGTGGGCTGCAGCCCAAAGCTATATAAAGATTCGCCCCTAGTTATGTGGGAGTCATCGGTTAGAGTACCCTGTACTACCTACGTACTAATCCAAACGGAACCCTTACACACTTAAGAAGCAGACTAAAACAGCCACGAAATTACTCTCCCTTACAATATTGATATTTTAAATAAAACTCTCTTTCTGATTTTTTGCGGATTGTTTTTAATTTTTGGTTCTTTGAAACGCCTTAAAACTTAGTTACTCCCGTAACCATAATATCAAAATTAAAATAAATCCACGAAAAAACATCAAATAGATATTTGTCTTTTAAATGTTGCCTCGTTTAAATAGAGAAGTTGATTTTTTTTCCACAATTTTATATACAACTGAAAGAATAATACATTTAAAATATATTTAATTTTTTTTGTTATAAAAAATTCCATTTTTTTAAGCAATTATTAATAAAAAAAATGTTAAATTTTGAACGAAATAAAACGACTTTTGGTTGGTTGTGACGTCATTATATCCGTTGAGGCTGTGAGCCAATCGCAATCATACTATACTTTTGTATTTTCTATATTCGGATCGCCATGTGTCTTAACAAAATAACCAAACGTAAATTAAATAATTTCAAAACAAATTTAACCTGTATCATGCAATGACAACTTTTTTGATTTTGACAACGTAAACATGTGTTTTATCATTTCGCCATGCGGTGGCATTACTAAAGCGATATAATGACGTCACTGGTGTTTGAATTTACATTAAAAAAATTGTAATATTACATGAAAAATCAATTGTTAATTATTATTAACAATTTTCAAAAACAAAACACCCAATTTTTCTATTACATTATTAACACCTCCAGATAAATTTCTAAGAAATTAATCAAATTTCTAAGAAATCTATTGTTAACTGTAACGCCGGCGTGTCCGCGCTCATGGAGGGATTAATATTCAGATTAGACAAATAAATGAACATACAATAAATGAACATCCACAATTACAGACTGAAACGCTACGAGACGGTGTGCTGGGCGGGCGCGGCGCCGCCCGTGCAGCTGTGCGAGGCGCCGCCGCCGCCGCCGCGCGACGCGCGCCGCGCCAAGGACCTCGTCAAGCAGCAGCTGGCTGACGGCATGCGGCTGACGTTAGTCACTACCCAATTCTTTTTTGAAGTAAAACTTTGTAGGCACACACAAATATACACAGTACACACCCATCCTTTTTATACTTTTTCTAGTTTTATTAAGAGCATTTTTATTAATCTTTTTAACCGACTTCCAAAAAGGAGGAGGTTCTCGATTCGTCGGAATCTTTTTTTTTATGTATGTTCACCGATTACTCGAAGACGCCTGAACCTGAACCTGGATTTTTTTTTGTTTCAAAGGGTATAAGTACTTCCCGGGTGGTTCCATATAAATTTTATCGAAACCGGTCGAGCGGTTTTTTTTTTTAAATCAACAAATAAATTATTTTTTCAAATAAATTGCTTAATCGAACATGTTATTAAAAAACTTTCTTCTAACAAATTACCTGCTTATTTATTACCTACGTTTACACTAAAAATGGACAAATAAAAACTTTTTTTAAATAAATAAAAACCGACTTCCAGGCACTAAAATGTAAAAAATAACCAAACGGGGGTTTTCATTTAGAATAGATACCTAATCAGATATTTTCGAAGTTGGTGCCAGCCGGTAATATTTTAAGATATGAATATCTAATAGGTAAATATGTGTTTTACATATCGAAATATATTCGGTTTGCTTTGCATCGGCATTTCATTTATGGATAATTTCTGACACGATTACTGCTAGCTAGTATAGTAAGAGAAAACATCATAAAAATTCTGCATGTCTATAAGGATTTGCCGATTCAGAACTGTAAAAGTTTACGATTCCAATATGCTTGTTAAAAATTCAAATATATTTTGATTTGGTTTTATTTATTTAACATTGGATGTGTGAAATTCATTCATTCAAAATTTGACTGGCATATTCAACAATGGCCCAGTTTTCCCACGCATTGAGAGGCTCTATCTCTAACAGTGACACGTTAAAAACAAGGGTTAAATTATTATAATAATTATAATAAATAATTGCATTCAATCATGAGATAGCAAATGATGAGATAATATGTATGTATGTATTTCAGTACTGGGGAAGTGCGCCGCGCGTTCGGGCTGTACCTAACGCACGTGCTGAAGCGCATCTCGTCGCCCGCCAACGAACTGGGCGCGCAGCACGCCGCGCTCGTGCTGCGCTTCCTTCGCCGCGCCTGCGCCTCGCTGCGCATGCCTTACTATGTAAAGGTGGCGCATGCGCGTCGCGCACGCACGCACACGCACACACTCACACGGGCACACACACACACACACACGTGTATAATCACACGCACGCATACACAATATCGGGGAAGCGTATTAGTGTACAAGTGATATAACACACATGTTGTGTAATAGGGTTATTAAACAACGAGGCTGTCAAATAAAAATATACAGCCTCGTTGCTTAGAAGTTTAGTAATTTTTACATAGAACTTCGTTATTTTGTTATGGTAAAAAAAACAACAGAACTATGTAAAATTGAATATTTTTTAGTTATAGTGCCGCTATCTAGTGGTTTGTTTTTGCAAAACTGTAGCTAATGACATAGAACCTTGTAGCATTAATAAATATGTAAATAAATAAGTACTAAAATTGTAACATTGAACTTTATAATAGTGAGCCAACGATGGCATCCATAGTACACAATCTCATGTAGTTTAGTGATCTGCACTGGAAGTCCTGTAGTGTCCAAGTGTTTTTGTATTTCATTCATTTTTATAATTCGATAAGATGGCGTTCAGATTGGATTAAAGATATTAGGTATAGGATCAAATATAAATATTTGTTGTAGTTTGCTTAGAATTTATTTACATTGAATTATTTGATTCGAAAATAATTCGAACTTGCGACCTCGGGATTTACACCTGTACATACTAACCACGGAACCAATAACGCAACAAAATACACATATACACACATACAAAAACACATGCATGCTCGCACATATACTATAGATATTTGTGTATTTATGAGCTTATATTAGAAAATCCAAAATAAAGTTATACATTGAACAGGGTTGCCTAATGAGATATGGTGAAGGGTTAGCATATTAATATTTAATTGGGCAAGTCCTATTAAATTTAAATTAACAGTCGCTTAAAATTTGCTGAGTGCTTAAAATTTTGGGGAAACGATAAGAAATTAAATTAAGCAACATAAGCTGCATGATAGGCAAATGTGAAGCTTAATACTTAACTAAAATAAATGTTGTTATACTTATTTAAAAAAATGAATGTTGAAAATTATATTAAATTACACTTGGATTTTTTTTTCGTACAAACACCAACAAATTACCTGCTTATTTATTACCTACGTTTACACTAAAAATGGACAAATAAAAACTTTTTTTAAATAAATAAAAACCGACTTCCAGGCACTAAAATGTAAAAAATAACCAAACGGGGGTTTTCATTTAGAATAGATACCTAATCAATCAAAATAAATGTTGTTATACTTATTTAAAAAAATGAATGTTGAAAATTATATTAAATTACACTTGGATTTTTTTTTCGTACATAACAATAATTTAAAATCACAATTATCTTTATTTAATTAATACTAGCGACTCGGGTGCGTTCCTAAGCTTGATTTGTTTAGGAACGTATAAGACAAACATCCAAAGAAAAATCCTTTTTTTGCGCCAGAAACCTTCATAGGCGTATACAGAACAACCCACCAGAGTTTTATCACAATCGGATCAGTAGTTTAGGAACGCGTATAGGACAAACATATAATCATTTTTATTTATATATGTTAGTTTTAAATAATTCTATCTGTACGTATAAACAATATACGTATACGCCGTGTGATAAGTGGCATTAAGTTATTAATTAAACAACTTCTGCATTATTTAAGTAAACTGTAACTTAACAATCCTAATGCTAAGAAAAAAAATCAAAGTTTAATTCCCACATAAATTCAGAATTTAAAAAGGAGAATATATCCATACTAATATTATAATTGTGAAAGTTTGTTTGTTTGTCCTTCTTTCAAGTCGAAACACAATAAAAAGATAGAAAAGAAAGATAGTTGGAGGACTTGAGCATAGGCTACTTATTACCGCTGGAGATTATCTTATACCAAAGGGAACCCACAAGAACTCATCATATCCATACTAACGGTTACAATATCACCGTCTCTCTCCCCCAGGGTCCGCCGGCCAAGATGTGCGACAAGGACAGATGCGCCGTGGTCGCCAAGCAGCTGAACGACTTCCTGTACATGTACTACCGCGAGACCGACTTGTACACGGACAGCGAGGACCGCGACGGCTGCGTGTCCAATATACATTTCGCACAGTTCCTGTATTCGGCTAGGTGATATATTATACATATATACTTATATAATAATAATATTTTTATGAACACTTTTTATAGCACTTTATTGTATACAAATATTGTACATTAAAAATACAATTAAAGAGACACGCAAAGGTGGCCTCACTAAAAGCAATCTCTTACAGGCAACCAATAGAAAAGGATACAAAAAATAAGTAAAAAGAGATTAACTCTAAAAAGAATTTTAAATTATTCACCATAGATAGGAGTGAAATTAATTACTTTCTGTAAGTTTCCGTTAAACAGGGGAAATGGTACGTTTCTTTTTATGTACTTGAAGTATTATAGGTTATTCTATCGTATGCGCAAAAAAAGTCGCACAATTTCACTTTTGCATTGTATATAATACATCATTTTAAAACCATTTCAGTCAGCCAGCCAAATCCGGAACTACCAAAATAAATTTCTATTTCTTGACCACAGCCATCATAACTATCGAAAAAATAACATGAAACCAATATGGTATTAAATGTATATTTGTTTCGTATATATAATTTAGTATATTTGTAATATTTTTATATATATATGTACATATAATAAAATTAAAATCGAATCTGTTCATTAAATATTTTTTTGGAATTTCTTATTGAAATCTATAGTTTTTAGATTTTCTGTTTCTCTGTCTGTTAGTCTGTGACCGTATCGCAGAAAAACCACAGAACAGATTTCGAAGAATTTTTTTATGACGGTTGTTGGTTATCCGGGTCAACATAGGATACTTTTCACTACCCCCCCAACGTGCGTTCACCTTGTCGTGGTGGGGGGGCTCAGTAGTGCCCGGCAACTCAACCGGGCGCGAAGCCAAGAAACGCACAGGGAGGTGGCCCACTTCGGTGGGCGGTGGGAGGTGGCCCTCTTCGGAGGGCAGTGTACCATGCGGGTTGCTCCTGGTACTTCTCTGATAGCAGAGTGGACTGTGGAGCAACCCCGTGGTTGTTGTGGTCTGCTTCGGCAGACCTGCCGTCGGGGCGTCGTAGTTGAATGCGTAAGCGATCCTGCGACGCCCCATTAAGACGGGGGATAAAAAAAAAAAAAAGGATACTTTTTACTACGGAAAAACATCACATCTCATCTCTGAGTTAAACGTTAAAACGTAACTAGTGGTGAACCCGAGCGAGGGTGAGTCGCTAATTTGTAAACGAAGTTAAAACCAATGTACATCCATTGTGTACAGCGAGGCGGACCTGGAGGACGTGCTGCTGCTGCTGCTGCGCACAGAGAACTACGTGGCCACGTTCCTAGGCGACGGCCGCGGCGCGCTGTGCGTGGACGTGCCGCCCGCGCGCCGCGCCCCGCCCTCCCCCTCTACCCCCGCGCGCCACACGCTGCTGCACCACCTCGCGCGCCTCGCGCACCTCAACTGTCGCAGATACAGGTGCGACTACACTACACACTACTATGATACTGACATCTCTCAGCAAAAGCGCGGGAAAACAAATGAATATCCGCGCCCTTTTTTATTTTTTTTAAAACACACTCCTATCGGCCAAGGTCACATAAGTAAATGCCTTATACATAAATCATTACAAATTAATCAAATATATTATTTTCTATTAAAACACTCAATATTTAAAAATGCAACCTTACAATACATACAAATGGTTATGATCATCTTAGTATATCTCTGGACTTCACGACTGGATTACCGAACGCTAATAAGTCCCTCCACAGCAACAAGATGAACACACATCTGGACGAAACTCACTATATTACACTAAAACAATTTAAATGAAGAATAATAAAATATATATATTTTTTTAACCACCGATTAAATTTACACATTCCAGGCCCGAAACAGAAACTTCTAGTCGTTCAGATCCCGAAGAGCAGTGCGCAGACAGCCCGCCCCTCTCTAACTCGGACGTCGTCATCAAGGACTCGCTCAAACAGGAGAAGCCGCAGAATGTCGCGCTCAAATACGCACGATCATAGCGTACATTCATACTCACTTAAAGGTTTCCATCAATCATTCAAACATCATTCATTCAAACATCATTCATTCAATCCGGCCAAAAACAAAATTGCCCGTCTCACAGATGTGTCGTTTCCTATGTGATATGAAATCCAAAATTTGGACAAATAGGTTTAGTACTATCAATATAATATTTACAAATGAAATGTCACATCGAACGTATTTAGAGGAACCAGTCCAAATGTTGAAATAGACATCGACAATAAAAAATAATTGCTATTTTTACATCGGCTACAGTCTTCTTCGTTACTTGTACTTTAATCTTTAATACTCAATAATTCTTACATAGATAGACTTAGAGGAATGGACTAAGCTATTAGTGTAATAGACTTTTTGACTGGTATCTAGAAACCATCTCATTAAAAAGAAAATTCTCTTATTAAAAAGTTTATTTTTAATACTTATCAGTATTCCTTCCTAAAATGCCATTAAAAAAGTTCAATTTAAATAGGCAGCCGAAATACTATTTTGCGCAACATGGCGTCAGTGACGTCACAGGGAAGTGTCATAAACAATCAACCGTCATACACAACGTTGAGTTAGAGTTTATTTTTGTTATTATTTATTATTTTATTAGTATTTAATAAAGAAAATGTACAAATGCACTAAACACAGTGCCAAATACGAGGAAGTGGGAACGGCAATGACGGTAATTCTATACGCATTAACAGACACATTGTTTGACAGTTTACTGCCATGTGACGTCATTGTATATCAGATCCAGATCTATTTCGATCACGTAGTAACAAAGTTATAAAATAAGTTTGTACGGGCTTTTTTCAATATTTCATTTTGTTTTGCCAAATTAATATGTATCGCTTTTAAACCCCTATTGGATATGTGGATGTCAATAAATAAATTAATATTTTTTACACTGTCACATAGCCTATTAGAGTGGTTTGTGAAAAGAGAAAGCGAATATTGTGTCTCATTTCTGTATACCAGTTTAGAATTCTATTAAATAAGAATTTTAAAAAGGAGCTACTTGCTTCATTGGCTAATACAGACATGTTCTGACATACTAAGCTGGATAGTTAAAAAATCAGTCCAATCATTCCTCTATGTTGACATTCTAAACCATCTCATAATAAATGCCACAATAAAATATCCATATTAAAGATATAAAAGAGAAAAAAAAACAAAAATAGTGTTCTAAATAAAGCGGAGTTCACATCTATAGGTCGTAGACTCGCACAATATTTTGGATACAACACGGCAATAAACTCAATATTATTAATAAAATATAATTAAAACCAGCTGTTAGCTTTACAGCTATAGTCATTTAAATATCCTAGTTACGAAAATAGCGAGTAAGTCACACAACCCCAGTCTAAAGCTTTATACCACAACAAACAATAATATGTTCAATTAAATAATAATTCTTAAGTGAATCTTCTTATGAATCCCCTCTTAACATAATCAACTATTTTTAATTAAACTCATCTTCTTGGATTTTGAGATGTCTAAAACCTCAGTCTCTACCGAGACCGTGATTGCTGTAAAGCATTCGGAACGTCGGGAACCAAAAATCTAAATGAATCCTCGAAAAAATACGAAAAGATAATTTTATTTAAAATGTCAAATATTCGCGTAAATCTAAGAAAGTGCTGTATTCCACTATTATAATATGATCTTGTGTGAAATTTCATAACGTCTCAAGGTTTCGTCGAAATTTATATTACAAAATATGCTTATACTGCTTACTTAATGTTTTATGGTTAAGAATTGTTGGATCTGTTGAAATTTTACCATGTGGTCTTTAGCATAGTGAGGTTAATTAACATTAAGAAAAATATAAGATTCTTTTTCTAATTATACATTCCAAGTTGGCAAAATTATAATTATATTAATTATTTTAATTACTCGCAAGAATACAGTATTTTGATGATTTTCTGCATAAAATTCTGTAGGTAATTTCTGCTTTAGAAACTATAAACAACTAAAATCATCATCTTCATACGAAAATCATGAAAAACAGGCAATGGGAATAGAAACACATTTGATAATTCGCATTTTCCTCCCAATCATTTACTGTGTTTACTTAAATAATTCCTTTAATTAATAGTATTGATATTTAAATATAAAAAGTTCCTCGTTAGCTTATTTCCTATAATTTAAATTGAAAACGAATTATAGATAATAAATCGTAGTGTTTTAATGAAACTTAAAATATATCACAGTTTTACAATAATACGATATTTTATTATATAATTACGATATTAGCTATTCTAAAAATTTGAGCGCTTTTTCTTGCTGATCGCTATGGAACTGCAATAGATTTTATTTTACAATAATCCATATATATTGAAAATAACAAAGTATGTATTTTCTAAATTAAATAAAAAATAATGTCATTTGAAGAATAGTCATTCACATATTCCATCAAGGGTACGAATTAAATTCAAAATGACGTGTGGCAACACCTTTATGGAGTTTTGGTAAGGTTTAAAGTCCCAAAACTCGCAAGGCCTTGAAATTGTACAAAATATCATGTAAAAGAGAATTAACGTTTTTATCAGTAGCGGTTATTCGTGAGAACCAAAGATATTTACAGTTTACTGTAAGTGCGTGTATGATGTAGGCTGTTGACGAATAAGGTGCTGTGGTCTGTGGACGATCAGTGTAGCTGTAGAGGCTATGTACCGTCACAGTGCGGAAAATTCAATTATTAAAATTCTTTCTATTATTTTGTTCACGCGTAGAACCCTGATTATTTTTTCTAAAATAAAAGTAGCCTAAGCTACTCCTTATAACATCAGCTATCTTCCAGTGAAAGTCTCGCCAAAATAGATCCAGACGTTTCTGAGATTAGCGAGAACAAACAGACGGACAAAAAAAATTAAAAATAGTGATTTTTTATCAGTAAAAAGCTGTTATTTTGACATTACAAAGTTAGTTATACTTATATTTCAAACTTATATTTCAATTTCATGATAAACTTGATTATAAATTAATTTAAAATAATACAAATAAATACAACAGAACATATTATCAGTCATAATAATTATAGTAAAGTAAAATAATAATTAAAAACCTTTTTTTTAATTAGTTACATCAAGATGAGTATCTTTCAAACTCCAAACATATCTGAGAAAGGCAACATTTTCATCACCATTAGCAAAGTGTTACCATATCGTCTGCCTTTGACTGTGAAGTCTGTGACGGTATTTGACGCCGCATTTAAAGTTAATGTACGAGTAGACTGAGCTAGCAGTAGTCGTGTACTTAATAATAATCTATTGCCCGATTTCACCAATGTCACCTAAGTTTAAGGGATCCCCTAAGCACGGTTAGGGGACAGTTTCTGTTTCACTGCCAGTTAGGGTTCACCTAAATATTAAAAGGCCCCCTAAATTTAGGTGCTCGAAATATGGGCTGAAAGACGATCGTAAAACGAAATTTAATTTAGGGGACTTTTAAGCTAGGGATCTCATACGTAGGTGGTAGCTTATGGGATGTTGGTGAAATCGCGCATATGTCTCGTTCGTTAGTCATTACGTTTATTTATATGTAATATAATAACGGAGCTTGAACACCAACTATGGATTTAAGGCTTAGAATATTCATCTTCTGAACTATGGCCCTGATTGCTTGAGCGTAGGTTTAATTATAATTTCTGAATTACGTGATTTTGTATTATTGTAATGATTTTGTGTGTTGTTGCGATTTAATTTTTTTAAATTTTCGACCGACGCAAGGAACAACGTTGCAATTCAATTTTTGGAAAATTGACCACAAAAATAAAATACTAAAGTCATTATAATATTTAGTGTATATGTTGTTTCTCGCGTCTGTCGTTATATAAAAATGTCATGTATGTCCGTAAATGTATAATTTTAATCTCATGTTAGTGATCGGTACCCGATGCTAGTCGATGACGTTGAAGAATGTGGAACCCTTTTTTTTTTAAATTGTAAATTAAATTTATTTATTACTATTATTTAATATCCAGGCATTGACTTTAAGCACAGTTTTTATATTTTTTTTAGTCACCAAATTATTGTTGGCAGCTCAGCTGGTTTTAGATTTTTATATAATTATTTTTTTAATTATTTAAGTTTCTTCCTTTTCATTTAACCAGTATTTAAATTGAATATGGCTTAAATTAATATATAAATACTATGTGAATATAATTTTGGTTTTAGAAATAACGCATTTTCCTATTTAATTTACTGGAGCGTTATTTCGCTTTAATACGAAAGCTCTTTAATTAGAAAGAAAGCTAGGTAATAAATAAATGGGAGCTTTTACATTCGGCACGTATTCTTAAGTAGTGCCATAGCAATACAAGGCAGTGTTCAAATCGTATGCTTCGGTGACATCGATTTCGTTGATAAGCTTCGCTTGAGTACAAAGTGTGATAACTTTTAGTGAATTCTCTAAGCAATTTTAATCTCTGTGAAATTATATTTTCAATATGCTGAAATAAATTATAAAATTATATATTTCTTTTATTTGACCCTCCCCATATTTGTAGGTACATATAAAAATAATATACGAGTTTTTGGCGAAGAATATGGTGCCCAAAAGGTACTCCCTAAAAGCCATTGAACATAAGAATTGAATTAAAAATAATAATGCCCTACTGACCGATTTCGGTCACAGCAGTCAATATCAAAGTCAGTCCGTCATAATATTATAGTGCAAAAGTATATATATTATATGCGCAAGTATAAATGCACTACAATCTACATTCCCAGTGTTATAACTACGTACTTGGCTCGACCTAGTATTCGAACCCAGAACCAGACCAAACATCTCCTGCATATTATCGTCCTATATTTATATTGTCCTCCCTGGTTATGAGGAATATAAATCCAGTTTCAACTAATTAGTGTAGCGTTCAATATGTTGTAAATATATAATTAAAATATGACTAAAAAATTTAAAATTACCTTTTAACTTTTTTGTACTTTTCCAAATTTTTACATTTGCCTGTAATAAAAATATGTACGGCTTAAGTACTCAAGTTTAGTACCACCGTCTCGTACGTTTGACTTGGCGGGGGCACCACCGAGAACCCATATTAAATATTATATTAATTGATTCATTAATTTTCCTCCTGTTTCCTTTATTAATTTGAAACATTTTATATTTTTCGATTTAAGGCAATATTCATTTTTAAAATACATTTATAACAACCAATGCTAGGTTAATTCCATTAAAACCTTGTTTAAAAGAGTTAATTAAATCCATTTTTGATACTTAATTTTTCTTATTTAGTTAATAAGTAGATAATATTTGGCAAACCAATGGAATTCTCCATTGGTTAATATTCATATATATAAATGGCAAATATTCAATAAATAAAATAATATTCTATTGGAGAAAGAAAAAAAAACCTTTTTAAATTGACAATCATTTATTTACAACATTACACAACTCTACACGACCCTGCCAGGAGATGAAAGCAAGGAGCTGTGCTGTTCTCATTCAAACTCCAGGTACATGACCATTCCAGAGCAGCGACGCCACTTCAGCCCGGCGCCCACGCCCTGTCAAATAAAAAAACATATAACAAAACTATCAAAAACGAGGAGCCTATCGGTCAAATCGATTCCAATCGCTAAAAAAATTTTTCCTTTAATTGTGAAGATGCAAAATTTTACGAACAAAATAGTATCGTTACGTTAAAACCGCCCTGGCGTTTAGCGATATGCTTGCATCGTTTGTGTAAACGGGCCAGTATTCAGTTCCTTTACAATACGCAGACAGACTAATGTCGCATAGTTTAGCGCTCAGGAGTGGAGACTAATCCCAGTCTCTAGAGTAGAAAAGTTAACAAGTAATGTTGGGGAAGCGTGTGAGGAGCGTCGGTCGCTCGCCGCAACGTGTCCGTCTGTCTACAGCCGTACTTACGATTAAGTTGTAACGCCGTAACATTTCGCATTCCTGTCTTCATCCGGCGTCGCCTAACGCGTCCGTGTCCGCGAGAAAGTGCATGCCGCTATAGCATCGACTAACGCCGCCCTCTCTCTCGCACGGCCGCTACTAACGTCTGAAAGGACTCGAACGCACTCGCCGGACGCCTCGGCCGCGGCCCACCGACCGTACTGTTCCACCTAACGGCCGTCAGACGTCGGTGCACCGGCTAACGGCTAATCGATAGCACTCAACGGTAATAATTATCTATACGATAGAGAAATATTCTATATTCGCAATTATCGTCGCCCGCGAGTTCGGGTTTCGGAGGCCTGCAAGTCAATCACATGTTAAAATGGGAGCCGCAACCGTGGGACTAAGCGGTGGCAGGTTGCCGGGACGGGGGAGGGAGGTGGGGGAGGCGGGACGCATGCCATCGGGGTAGTCGGGTGCGAGTAAAAGAAATACGTTCCAAAAAAGGAATTTAATCTAAAAGAAAAAATATACATCTTAATCACCTTACATTAGACTTATCGATAAAACGCAATCATTCACATAATTATAATCGCAGTTTATTTGCTGAGATATGTCAACAGCGACCGATATCGGATAAAATAAAAATTAGCCGTCACTTGATACCCATTTATTCATTAACATTAACGTCGTCTTATCAAAGTGTTATCTCGCAAGGGGCCGTGCTACTGCTAACTGCTAAGCTAGCCGCGCGCCGCTAGTAGCGCCGCGGCACGTCCCGCGCGCCGCGCGCCGCGCCGCCGCCGCCGCTACACAACAACACGCCGTCACTGCGCGCCCTCACCGCCGCCCGCCCGCCCCACGCCCGCCGCCCCCGCACCTACCACCTAACATGCGCACTTCAAACAAACAGATACCAGGTGGCTAGAGCAAGTAAACTGGGCTGCCAGTATGTATAATTGTATACAAGAATAAATACCATAAATCGATTAACAAAAAACGTACAAATCGATTTCAGATATAATAGAATTTTTGAATCTGTTATATTATGATATCGTTTAACGTTTTTCGCAGGTCAATTGCCCGATTTCACCAACATCACTTAAGCTACCACCTACGTATGGGATCCCTAGCTTAAAAGTTCCCCTAAACTAGCCCCCTAAATTAAATTTCGTTTTACCATCGTTAGAGCCCGTATTTCTAGTATCTATATTTAGGTGGCATTTTAACATTTAGGTGACCCCTAACCGTCGGTGAAACAGAAACTGTCCCTTAACGGCCCCCTAACCATGCTTAGGGGATCCCTTAAACTTAGGTGACGTTGGTGAAATCGGCCAAATGCGTCATAAAGTAACTTAAATTATTTAAGTTGATACAAAGGTACATATATGTATTGATTTATTTTATAGGTGGTACTGCAGAATGGCTTTTTTTTTCGTTGTCCATTTTAAATTATTATCACACACTCATCTCAACAGTTTTATTGATTAGTATAATAAGATTTGATTTTGTATAATTTCAATGACCCAATGGTATAAAATAAGTTGACTCTACTACTGGCAGCCCTGAAAGTAAATGCATCGAGTTGTCTGCAACAGTTGACGGGGGCGCCCTCGACCCCAGGTAGCAGGGGGCGCGGGGCGGGCGGCGCGAGCGACGCCAGTGAATGTACATTTCATATAAATACTATATAAAGTTGTCACCTTGTTCGCAATGTCCGTATCGTTATTAGCTGCATTGCAAAAAATTTTGATTCAATTCAAAATATTTCACATTCAACAAAACAAGAATAGAAATGATTGTTGTTATTGACTTATTGAACGACTCATAAGTATCAAACCGATTGACCCTAGCAACCAGAGAGTCGTGCACTGATACATTTCCGAGAACATTTTCCTTACTTTAACTGCCTACTAGATTTATTATAATTTATTATGTATTTATAAAGAAATTAAAAACATTTTTCCCATTCATATATGTTACTGGCTATGTAGCATTTTCGCTAATTATTTACTTTCTACTTATTACTTCTAAATTTACTTATTATAAAAACATACTTTGTGTAATGTTGTAATGACATAAAATGCAATGACAAATCTAGGAATATATAATTTTCTTGCATCAAAACATAAGTAAGATAGTAGTGACTAAATTAAAATATTACATATTCCTAGTATAACAAAAAAATCTCTCTGGTTGCTGAAGTTATAAGTTGATCCTTACCGTCCCATGGGAGGGTATTGCTGCACATAGGGGTCTCTGTCGTAACCTCCCGCAGCTCCTGCTGCTCCACGCCTGTAAATATTACATTTTATTACTCATACAACATTAACATCAGTAATTAACTATAAATAATTAATTATATAAGTAATCAAATGTTAATGATTATGAAATTAACTCACATAGGTGGTGGTGTCCTCCTGCTGTACATGTCACCGTTGCCCATGGGAGCGGCACGAGGAGGCGCCCTATCATAGCCCGAGGACATAGGCATTGGTCCTCCTCGCATCGGGGCTCTTCGGTCCATCATGTCTCTTTCATCTGGGTACATAGGGGCTCGTCTGTCATCGGGATACATGGCAGCCATGTCATCAACTGGGGCACCATACCCGCGTCTGTCATCAGCGTACATCGGTGGAGGTGCACCATACTGATCACGGGCGCCGCGGCCGTCCATTAGAGCAAATCCGCGTCGATCTTCGCCACCGTATCCATTATAGCGATCGTCATATCCGCCGCCCATCGGTGGCCTCTCCAAGGTTCGGTCATAGGGAGCCCCTCCACCCATACCGTTTCTCATCGGCATACCACCGCCACCCATCGGTGGTCCACGCATGTCTGCGCCACGCATTGGACCCATCGGACGAGAATCACGCATGTGTGGGTAAGGAGCGTCCCGAGGTCCACCGGGACCACCACGCATCGGACCACCTCCTCTACGGTCCATTGCACCCCTCATACCACCACGCATTCCACCTCTACCGCCACCACTGCGTTGGCCACGCTCCTTTATTCTTCCTTTTTCCACGGTTATAACGCCGCCATTGAAAGATGTATTATTTAGTGCTCGGATAGCGGCTACAGCTTGATCCTCTGTCTGCATGTGAACGAAGCCACAGCGGTTCATGATGTCACATTCTGTTACTACTCCAAAACGTTCAAACAACTTTCGTAATTCCTCTGGCTTCGAACCCTGAGGTAAGCTTCCCACGAACACCTTCGTTTGCTGAAATACGACATAATCATAAGAAACCTTTAATGTTTACGTAACATATAAATAAAAGTAGAAATATCTTACGTACCGCCACCATGTTGTAAAGATTGTTGTATTTGTATTTGTTTTTGTCACTTATTATTTGCACGTGCACTTTGTAACCCACCTATCCCGCTTATTTTTCTGACAAAATGGCGGGCCTAAAGTAACGCTAAAAAGCCGGAATGACGCCGTGATGTCATTAATTGTCTATGGTACTTAAGAATTGATTATCATCTATAAAGGTAGAGAGTCACTGAAATTTTTTTTTGCCAAAGTATGATTTAAGAATAATGTCTTATTATAAGGAAGCCTTAAAAAAATTACATTCTTTGAATTTATTCCATTTTTTTCGAACTTTTATATAGCAATGCTCTACAGTACCTTTTCAATAAACTGCATTAAACTTTCTAAGAAATAATTTCTAGATTTCAGTGAATTAATCAGAACATAGTTACGTTACTTATTATGAAGTACAGTATACACATATTTATTCGAAGTGGTCTCTATTGGCTGCAATACAATCCTTTAAACGCTGAGGCCAGTTATAAATAGAAGCATTCACTCTTCCACGGGAAAAATCTTCACTGCTAATCGTATGGATTGTTTTAGTTGGTCCAAATTATCATGGCATTTAGAGCAAGCTTCTTTCTTCTTTTTTCTTTTCTTCTTTTACTCTGTAAAACTGACCATAAATCATAATCCAGCGGATTAATATAGATGACGCCAGACTTCAGCTCTGATGAAGTCCAGAACGTGGGTTTGTAACCAAGATTGCGTGGATCGAACTTTATGCCCCTGCGCCGAGTCTTGCTGAAAGGACCATTCTTGGTTAATGAACATGGTGTTGTGAAGGGGCTTAACCACCTTCTCAAGAATGGTATCTTAATACACTTGTGCCGATGTTTTGATACATTTTTCACAAAAATTTGGCTCAGTCACTTCTTCATAGCTAACACCCCACCAAACCATCACTGAAGTCGGAATAATCGGATAATTCCCACGTTGTACTCTGTTAACTAATTGGGAAGCTTCCTTAGTACTATATTAATATTAATACTTATATTAGTATGACCATAGACTCGCATAGAGTATATCATAATAGGAATCCCCGAAAAAAGTAATAATCTTATCGTTGCAACTTGCATGTACGATAATAAACACCATCAAGATTTTCTTTTATAAATACTGTTAACAATTATTATGCGAATGATAACCAAAAGTATAATTAATATATTTGTAATCTATATATATAATAAAGTTGTAAGTCGAATCTGTACATTAAATATTTTTTGGAAAATATAATTGAAATAGACATTTTTATCGATAAACTTGTTACCGCATCACAGAAAAACCACTGGAGGGATTTTGATGAAAATTGGTATGGTGATAGCTGGTCAACATATAGGATACTTTTTACCGCGGGAAAATATGTCATTTCTGAGAAAAATTCAAAAACTGCAATGTAAGAGTATACTAATATGTAAAACTTAAGAATTCGGTTTTTTGTCATCTGAACGCGGGCGGAGCCACGGGCAATGCTAGTATAATAATAATATTAGTCTATTTGTATGCAGGTGGTATGCGTACATCCACAATTGACATTCGTAAGGATATTAATGTATATTTTTTAATTTACAGTGTATAATTTCTATTATAATTCTTATTTCTTTCAGAATAATTAAATTAAAGTAATATTAATGAATATAAAAAAAAACAAAATAATAGGGAAATTAAACCTAAAAAAAGGGTGCAACGACAGTTTCACAGACGGAAGATAAAAAAGCAATGTGTTTTCATGGAAGGGCTGTATCTAGAGTGTAGATAATCTATTATCTAAGGTACTAAGCTACTTAGGAAAATTTTTGATCTTTAATAATTTTGTCTATGCACTGGACTTTCCCGTATTTTTTGCAAGGTTTCAAACAAACGGTACTATAAAAGCGGATGTGAAACGATCGACTTCGCTTTGAGGTCGGACTCACTAGTCCGTCCTCCCCCCCCCGGTGACGCTGTAAAGGCCCCTAGGGCTAACAGCATATTAATCCATTTGATTACAGGTACAGGAGGATCGACTTCGACATTATTAGATTATCATTTATCAGTATTCATGTCTTTACTTCTGTAAACAGTGAATATTACTTGGTCTAAATTGAATATCTATAAATAAATTGTGATAAAATAATTGAAATCAGCTGCAACAATGTCTTTAAAATATGCAATTGATTGTGAAATGGTTGAAAGCAATAGAAAAAGCATGCTGGCGCGTGTTTCAATCGTCAACCAGAATGGTTCGGTAGTTCTGGACGAATATGTAAAACCAACCGGTCCCATCACTGATTATAGAGAGTTTGTAAGTGGAATAAAAAAACGACATCTAGATAATGGAAGTGATTTTAATACAGTTCAAGATCGAGTTATATCTATATTAAATGGATGCATTTTGATTGGCCACTCTTTAAAGTATGATTTGGAAGCCCTGCATCTGACTTACACTGAAAGAAACCAGCGTGACTTGGCGACTTACGAGCCTTTTACTAGAGTAAGTTCTTTCTTTAATTCATTTATTTCTTAAAGTTTTGTTGATAATAAATTATATTAATTATCATCGTACCTTGTTGGTTCAGTCACAAGCATAACTGAAATTACTGATGATCAAGAGACCCTGAGTTAGATCTCGGCTAAAAGATTTTGATTGCATTGAGTTGGGGAACTCTTAAAGCCGATTCTGGACCTGATTATTTCATTGAGTCATTTCGCGGCCCATACACCTAAGTAAATTGCTAGTCTCAATAAGATAAGCTATCTTAACAGAAAATTCGGGTGCTTTATTAGTTATTGGTTTGTAGAGACAATGTAATATTTATGTATGTATTTCTAAATGGAAAATTCCTTACAGCCAAATAATGGTCAGCCTGTTGCGCTGAAAACACTTGCTATGAAATATCTGGGAAGAATTATCCAAGACGGAGAGCACGATTCTGTCCAAGACGCAAGGGCCTGCATGGATATATATAAAATAGTTGCTATCGATTGGGAAAGAAATTATCGTTAAATTTTTGGAATAACGGGGCGCTCAAAAACAACGTGGTTCTAAGAGTGTTTTATCGAACTTCTTATGTATCTTCCGTAATTTTGACCAGAGAGTGACTTAATCCATATAAATTTTATGGATGAAATTTTAATTATAATCTAAATGTAATAGAACACTATTGTTCTGCTAGTGTTCTTTGTAGACAGTACTCAGTAGTAGACCTACTTAATTTTGACTCGAAAGTGATGAAATACATATGAAATTTGAAATCAGGACCACGTTGTTTTTGAGTGATTTTATATTAATAAGTCTTACTCGTTGTATTTCGTAAATAAGATTTACGAACTTTTTCAGACTGTAATCTTCACACATATTTTTTACAGACATTGACTTTGTATGAGTTCTAGTATTCTGCTAGTGTTCTCACTTCTCTGTACAGTATAGTATCTATTTAATTTTACTCCCCTGATTTTGATTAGAGAGTGATGTAATCCATATAAATTTTACGGATGAATTTTAAATTTCTTTCATACAAATAAACGAATTTGATATCACAGGACCACGTTGTTTTTGAATGATTTTATATTAATAAGTCTTATTCGTTATATTTTATAAATAAAATTTACAAAATACAACGAGTAAGACTTATTAATATAAAATCGTTTTATTTGTAATAAATAAATATAATAGTATAAAGCATTTTATTTTTAACCAATCACGCTGTTTAGGTTAATAAAAATATAAGTATTCGCTTCTCGGCCCGTCGCGCACTTTTCGTACGCGAGTCGTCACTCGTCGTACGAGACTGAAGACTTATCTAAATGGCTTAAAATCTTATAGAGATTATTACTTGCTATAATTTTGTTTTTACATCGATCAAAAAAGTACTTTGTTGATCGATGCATTTTTATAAATAAAGAAGATATCACAATAATACTAACAATAAATAATTATCTTTTTATTTATCGCCTTATCACAAAATTAGCCCCAAAAAAATCTTTCTTGGGACATGATAAAAGTGATAAGTAATTTCTTTATATTTATTCGTTTTGTTTTCAAAAGCATCCTATATGAGATCGTATGTAGACATAAATGTATAAGATCGGTCAAGTGCGAGTCGAATTCGCACACAAAGGACTTACCATCGTACATTAACTTTTTTATTAATATGACTTTTACTCTATGTATGTAGTATAATATGAACTTCGATGATAGATTAATGAATGTTAAAAAAAATGTGAAATGAAAAATCAAACATTTTTAGCTAACTAAAAATCGGGAGAAATCGAGAGATTTTTATTTATCGCTTATATCGCTTTAGGTAGGTACTTTATAAACTAAAGGTAAATAACATTTATTTTTAATAAATCATAAAACAGGTACTTTTAGATGCCGCTCTTCCTCGTCTCAAAATTTTTTGCTATCAAAATAATGTCATTATAATTTAAAGTTTAATTGATAGGTAATTATATATTTTTGCAATAAGCAGCTATTTGTTATGAAAGTAAAAAAAAAAACATTTATGCACTTGAGGACAATTTATGATTTAAATTATAATGTAAAATATAAGGTATTGCAATCTGGCTACTATAAAGAGCCCAAAACAACAGACTTACAAAACACTTTTTAGTAATGTGATAGAGTAAAGTTGATAACTTTATAAAATTTAAGAACCAACTCTTACGTTTAACACGGCAACAAACATGGATGACAAATAAAAAACAAATACGACTGACATAATGTTTATTTGGCTTATCTAAAAAGAGTTACATACTCTATGGGTTTATCCATATTACGTTATGTAGTAACTAATACTTAATCTGTGATATTACGGTGATTTAATTAATTAGTTGTTGTTTGCCGTTATATATTCGTTGTTAATTAAAAAACAATTCGATATGAGCCTGCAGTCCCAGCCGTTTCAGTTTCTGTTGTTTATGATTCCATAACCTTATTTTCCAATTTTATTTATAAATATTATTTGACGGTATATCGGGAGACAATAACCAAAATCAGTAGATCTTCCGACAAATAGGGAACTTTTACAACACTGGCATAACCATTAGACATGTAAGCTACATTTTTAAGTGATTTCCAAAAAGGAGGAGGTTCTATGTTCGTTTGTATATATTTTTTTTTGTGTATATTCATCGATTTTTTTGTGTATATTACTCGAAGACGCCTGAACCGATTTGGAAAGTTCATTTTTGTTTCAAATGGTTTCCCAAGTGGTCCTATATATATTTTATCGAAATCGGTCGAGCGGTTTTTTAAAAAATCAACAATATATTATTTTTAAATAAATGGCTTAATCGAATATGTTATTAAAAAAACCTTCTTGCAAATTAACTGCATATTACGTCTACACTAAAATAGGAAACTACTTAAAAACTTAAAAAAAAACCGACTTCCAGGCACTATAAATAACTTAACGAGGGCCTTAAAACGTAATGAGGGCTACAAAATGCAAAAAAAATATTGAAAACACTCAAAGGTTTATTTTTTAAATCGAAAAAATTTGAAAAATGTCGCTCTTCGCACGGTTTTGGTCAGAAAAAAAAATCTTATCTCGAAATAAAATAAGGTATCAAAAAAATTAAAAAAAACACTCTAGAGATATGACTTCGGACTCCATTTAAAAAATATTGGAGGTGCATATTTCAATTTCAATGTTAAATGTTTTTATTTTTCTTTGTTTTTCTGTGATAATTTTATATCATATTATTTCTGTTCTCTGTGTATTGATAATTTTTATGGACTTCTTGTCTGAAATAAACGCATATTATGATTATTATTATTATTATATCACTGATGGGTTATTCAGAAGTTATACCTTTGAGACGCTGAGTTTACGCGAGAAGAGTGAGTGAACGCGATAATGATGGTGAATAAATGTTTTGAAGCATGATTTTGTTTTTGAACCGAAGTGATTCTTTGTGAATAAATAAATATGTATTTAAGCTAATAAGTAACTAATATTTATACATATAACTAGCTTTGCCCGCGGCTCCGCCTGCGTTCGAATGACCAAAAACCAAATAAAATAGGGCTTTCAAGATAAGCTATTTTTAATAGTTTTTGCCTTATTTAGTAAGTTACCTTTTATTAGTATCAGTTTTTGCATTTTTTCTCAGAAATGAGATATTTTTCCGCGGTAAAAAGTATCCTATATGTTGACCAGGATAACCAGCTATCACCATACCGAATTATATCAAAATCCCTCCAGTAGTTTTTCTGTGATGCGGTAACAGACAGACAGACAAAAAATCTAAAAACAATAGATTCGGCCTCTGTATCGATAATAATGTCTATTTCAATACGATTTTCCAAAAAATATTTAATGTACAGATTTGTCTTAGAATTTTATTATATGTATAGATAAAACAGTAACTAAAGCGAAATTTATACGTGAAATATTTTTTTAAAACAATGACTGTAACCATGAACGAATTATTCGTCCATGACTGTAACGTATTGTGTCCTACAAACCCCAAAACAATGATTATGAAATTTTTTGTCTGTATGTATGTTTTCTGTATGTCTGTTTGGGTGTGTTGGTTGGTTGTCTGTTTGTAAAAGGAATGATAAATTAATAAAAGAAATAAAGCATAATAGGCTATTAGAATCATATATTTATAGAATATCATTTAAGGAAAGAATATAATATTATACATTTGTCAGACAATAACATCGGTTACCATGGCAACAAACAGTTAGCTAACTTCATCATCATCATATCGCTTTTTGGCTGTCGGTGTGCGCGCGCATCGTAAAAATATACCTAACTCTCATATTTTTTTCCAAACGACCCAAAAGAAATATAACTTCAAAAATGGTAAACTAAAATTTAAAAGTCTTATGTATCTTTTATACATTTTGTTTTTTGTATTCGCTTTTCTTCTACATATTATAATTTTTTTGAAATGAATATCTTTATATATATAATTCTTCTGTGAGTGTGTATGTCACTGAACTTCTCTCAAACGACTGGACCGATTTTGATCAAATTTTTTGTGTGTGTTCAAGGGGATCTGGGAATGGTTTAGATTCACAATTTGAATAATAATTTTCATCAAAAAAATTATTAAAAAAAAGTTTGAAATTTTCAAATTAAAGACGTGTAGACAGGACAACGTCTGTCGGGTCCGCTAGTTTATTTATAAAGTTTTTGGATAGCAGAAGAATATTCCTGTACAAATATGTTAAGTCGTGTCATAATAAGAAGGGCACCGTAAGTAATTAATAGACTAAGTTAAACTTTAAACAGTATTAATAATTAGAATGTTATAATAAAACAACTCATATAAAATTAAAGTTTTTCAAATGAAACTAAATACATTCACAGAACTTTATGTGCCAATATAATATGTTAGACGATAACATAAAAGTGGTTGTTCCAAAGCAAATCTTATTGTATGAGTTTCTCTACACATGACACGCGTTTTATTTTCTCATAATAAATATAAGAGCTTGTTAAACTATAATATCACCATAATATACATTTTAATATTTTGTTAAATGTACAGTTACTTAAACAAAATTTATTGGTACAAAATTTTATCACATTGATATAGTATCTTATAAAATAAGAAAAAAATATATAATAAAATCATTAAGTGGAAATATCTTAGAGTGAGCAATCGACTGCTTTTTTCTCCTTCTACTATTAATATTCGATCCAAAATGCGCATACTTCAAGGCTTTAACTTCGAAATTGGCAAGTGTATGCGTATGGTTCTACAACCACTAACGATAATTTTATAGTGAACTAGCATTTTCCCGCGGTAAAAAGTATCCTATATGTTGACCCGGATAACCAGCTATCACCATACCAAATTTCATCAAAATCCCTCCAGTGGTTTTTCTGTGACGTGGTAACAGACAGACAGACAGACAAAAATTCTAAAAACTATAGGTTCGGCCTCTGTATCGTTAATAATATTTATTTCAATAAGATTTTCCAAAAAATATTTAATGTACAAATTCGGCTTGGTTACATTTTTATTATATGTATAGACTATTCGTAAATGTGTACAAGATTCACTTCAATTTTTTGTTATATGGCTTTTAGGCGTTGCTGTTGGGCATAGATTATTTCTCCAATGTCGTGTAGTAGTACAAGATTCGACGTAGTTCAGAGATACATTTGCACAATGACGGTCCATTATCTCATCGGAAGCGGACATCTGCATACTAGCGGGGCTATCACCTTGATATATTTAAAAATATGGCATGCTTATTGCTTATATAATTTTAGCTAAGATATACATATTATTTTGTTAACATTAAACGTAAGACAAAATATTATTAATGAAATGATAGATTATTAAGTGTAATCTCTAATTTTGTTCAACGTCTTATAAAATATTTATAGAGTATGATAGAGGTCGTAATAGTAATAATAATCTGTGGTTAAAACTATAACGTCAACCTTGACATAAATTTAAAAAAATATATATTGAACGCTCAACGCGCGTAAATTAAATTAATGGGGGGTAAGATTACTATAAATGATTTTAAATTCATTAATTATTATTACATCATTATAAAATGTTGCTATTTTGTGGTATTAGATACTAAAATTGTGGCTAAAATATTATATTTGTATAGACTTTGGTATTCATGTCAGCCTGTTCGGATGCAGATTTAATTAATTTCGAATAACAAAAACTAAAAATTTATTTAATAGATATTGGCTAGTGCGTACTCAAATGCAAAATACAGGTCCCATGGTGACAAAGAATGAAAAGTACGCGCAAAAGATGTTCCTTGCCCTCTAACTTTGCGTATGCTATTATCCTATACTATATATATGCTATAATATCTAAAGCAAATATTATATTCTACTTAGTAAATTAATCGAAAATTTAACAATCATTATTTACTTTACCCTAATTAGTCTCACAAAAAATAAAAAAATATACATAGTTTAATATATATATACGAATGTCACCTCAATGAATCTAAATAAAGAGATGCATTGTTAATTGACCTTAATAATTTAGCCACTTCATATTTTATCGAAGTTTTTACAAATTCGGCGACATTATAATTCACAACAGCACCACAATCTTGTGCAGTGCAGTTAAAAACGTCTAATAATTTTAAAGTTATTTTTTCGGGGTCATTGTGATGAATAGCTTTGGGGGACACACGTTTGGCTTTTTTGTATAAATTGTCCGCTGCGATCGTTAAGTTGATGGATACGATGTCGTTGCTTCTCCTCACTTCGTTTCGCGCCATTCGGCCTAGCAAATAGCCTGGAAACATTTAGATAATTAATGGTGGGAAACTAGTTTTGTAGAATTTAAAGTATAAGTTATAATAAATATAATAATATAATATGAAATAAAAATTATGTTGGGACATTTACACACATCACCATTTAGTTCCATGGTAAGCTACGAGGCTTGTGTTATGGATACCGGATTGTTGATACACTACACATATATAACTTTAAATACATACATATTATAAATATAAACAACAACCATCACTGGAGTACAAACATTCGTGCTCATCACAAAAATGAATCCCCCAGCAAGACTCAAACCCGCGACCTCTAACAGAGCAAATAGGGTCAATACAAACTGAGCCAAACGTATCGTCAATATAATGTAAATTTGAACAAATACGAATATTTTTTCGCTTTGTGATTGCGGTAATTGGGAATGCAGCTCGATTTGTAGATTCTAAAATAAACATCGTGTATATTTGTGAATTCGTGGTCTATTCTGTGCTGGCATAAATAAAACAACAATTGAGCAACGTTACTTTGTTCAGTAAATAAGAATTATAAAAGTAATTGTTTCTTATTCTTTGAATAGCATTCGCAATAATTTACAATGATTTACATCAATAATTCAGGAAAATTATATACTTATAAGAACTGTTTATGTAGATAAAATCTATTGTCGCATTCATTATCAATTAAAATATTTAACAGTTATCAGTAAATACTTCTCACCTCCAAAAATACAAACAATTCCAATAAAAAACATTAGTGTAGCACATAATCTCTTGGTGACGCGAGGGTCAGAGCCCGTGCACGATCTGCGCTCTATACTCATAACAAGGCACTAAAACCACTGATTTCACCCAAAATGATGTTTCCGCCACACTCTCTCAACGCGAAATGACCATTTCGTAACGTTCGCGGCCATGAATCCTGGTTTATTTATAGTGAGTTGTGTCTGGGGATATGGTTTTCTGAGAAATATCTATGTGTATTATATGGTGTATCGGAGTTCCCTGACGGGGTCGCGTGTTTAACCTTAGGGGGTTGAAACATTGCCAGTGTCGATTGTCATCCGTTACGATGGTGACTCATCATCATGCTTTCAGTGTTTACTTGGTAGTTTAGTTGGTACTGTTAATGAATGCGTGGAAACTTTGTTTCGAAATCAAGACAATGGTTTTTTGAGTTTACGATATCTATACACATAATAAAATTGTAACTGAGTCGAATCTGTACATTAAATATTTTTTGGAAAATCTTATTGAAATAGACATTATTATCGATATAGAGGCCGAATCTAGTTTTTAGAATTTTTTTCTGTCTGTCTGTTACCGCATCACGGAAAAACCACTGGAGGGATTTTCATGAAATTTGGTATAGTGATAGCTCGTTATCCGGGTCAACATATAGGATATTTTTTACCGCGGGAAAATACTTCATTTCTGAGAAAAAATACAAAAACTGCAATGTGAGACTATACTAATATGTAAAATCTAAGAATTTGATTTTTGGTCATCTAAACGCAGGCGGAGCCGCGGGCAATGCTAGTTTTTATTATAAGTTTTATTAATAACTGACATACATATTTAAGATAAGAAGAACGTATAGGTATGTTGTTTTATTACATTTACACTTTTCGATGTAATGAATGTGACATATAACTTTTTACTCACTTCTACAAATGAGGTATGTTTTTAAACTTTACAAATTGTTTGAATTGATTTTTATTGATTATTCTTTCCTTAATTTAATATAAATAACTGAACGTGGAAACACATATTGTATTGTACTCAGCTCTTTTTTAACGTCCCACTGCTGGGCACTGACCCTTCAATACGAGAGGAATCAGGCCATAATCCACCACGCTGGCCAAGTGCGGGTTGGTGGACCGTGGACTTCACATGTCTTTCGAAAACTTGTTAGGTTATCTCAGACGTGCAAGTTTCCTCACGATGTTTTCCTTCATCGTAAGTATAATCATGTTGGAAATGATTCGCAAATGAAAATATCGGAGGTGAGAGACCCGGGATTTGAACCCGCTTCACTCGGTTTCTCAAGCGAGCGCGTTACCACTGGGCTACCACTGCCTGTAAATGAGTTTTACATTAATTTTGAAGAAAAGCCAAGGACCCCATAGTATCTTATAATTTTGTTTTTTTTTTATAAATAAGAATTAAAATTTTGTGGGTACATGCAGTCTTCTATAGCTTTTGAGTTTTTTTAAATTCTTTTATAACGCCAGACATTAGTCTTTCCCGTGACCATGATTGCTGTAAAGCATTCGAAATGTCGGAAACCAAAAATTGAAACAACATCAAACAAAACAAAAAACAGCGACTCACTCTCGCTCCGCTCGGGTTCGGCCTTAGGTACCTTTTAACGTATAGTAGGTATAGATTTCTCAGAGATGAGATATTATCACGCAGTAAAAAGTATTCTATATGTTGACCCGGATAACCAGACGGTTTTCTCTTCGTGCGTTCCTAGCTAGACAAAAATTCTTAAAATTATAGATTCGGCCTCTATACCTATCGATAATTATGACTATATTATTAAGATTGGACCAAAAATTTTTAATATACAGATTCGACTTGGAATTTTATTATATGTATAGATATCAAATATTCGCGTAAATCTAAGAAAGTATTCTGTGAACAAATATTATCCTTTCATTGAAATAATCAACTCTTAGATCAGACGAATTCCCAAAAACAATACAAACTAGAAATAGATTTATGTCAATGACCACTTCCCACAACTGTAGGATGTGGTACGTCAATGTAGTTGCGGAAGTGATCATACATATTCCTATTTATATGCTACGAAAAGGGACGAATGAAAATTAAATCAAAGAGATCATATGAATCTAATACTGCAATTAGCACTCATAATAATCTGCAGTATCATTGGACATCGACATAGTATGTATGTATTCAGCTCTTTTTTTAACGTCCCATTGCTGGGCACATGTCTTTCGAAAACTTGTTAGGTTATCTCAGACATGCAGGTTTCTTCACGATGTTTCCCTTCACCGTAAGACAAGTGGTATTCATGTTGAAAATAATTCGTACATGAAAATATCAGAGGTGCGAGAGAAAAAAAATATTAAAGAAATAAATGTCAAAATGTATAAAAAATATATTATAAATATATTTTTTATACATTTTGACATTTATTTCTTTTATATTTTTTTTCATGGGGGTATACTCACGATAAAATAGTGAAGGAATTATTAATTCGATTTTGTCTTTTCAGATTATCAGTATGGATGAATCTGTTTGTATCATCTGCAATAAGGCAGATGATAAGCAAGTGTATGAAATAAAAAAGGTTTTTTGTTTTTTGCATTTTCTCAGAAGATTTACTATAGTAACATATATATATATTTCACCATCGGAAAGTAGACATTTCAACGAACAGAAAACATACAAACTTTTTGAAAAAAGCTGATATTTTGACGGGTGAATTTTCGATTGAAAATTAGGGTGTTTTTTCGATATTAATTCAAAATAAGGTGAAAAAATAAATATTTTTAATCAAATAAATTACAGCGTATTTGGGACATAAAAAGGTAAGTTTTCACGAAATTTCGTTAAAACAAAAACATTTTTGTAAAAGATAAAAATAAAAAACAAAAACTTGGTTTTTGAATTTTTCACATAAATTTTGAGGTTATGTGAAAAAGTGTAAATACAAAAGTTTTAGATCTTTTTGTTACCTACAACTTTGCCATTTGATTTTTTTCGATAGGACTTTTAGTTTTGCCGGAAATTGAGAAAAACCGTTTTTACCCTTAAAAGCTCCCCCCCCCCATCCCCTTCCCGATCTCAGATCGCCCGTAAATTATTTTTCCTTTCATTTTTATAATATTCCCCTCCTTTTCTAATGGGTTGCATCCTACTATTATTTTTTTTGGTTTCAAAAATTATTGACTCTGGTCTAAAAAGCATACAACTTCATACCAGTTATTCCTTCGGTTTTACGTATTTTTAAATAGAGAAGTATAATTAAAATACGAGTATTTTATAAAAACATGTATTTTATTTTAATAAACGTAAATCAATTCTATAAAAATAATATTATAATATCCCTACACTAAACATAATATTAAAATTTATATCATCATATCATTAATCGGTGGAAGTAATAAGTTGTAGACATAAAATCAAAAGTAATTTATTATTGGCACAAGCGTTTGCTGGACACACCGATATATTATTTTCGTATCAAATCCTATAAGTTTAAATTTCACAAAAGAGCTTATACAAAAATTTGCACACCGAAATTCAAATAAAACTAAAACTGTGTCACCGATGTACGGTGTCACTCCTTTAATAAGTATAATTGAAAATCACAATTAAAATCATGTATATTATTATATTTTTATATGTTGTCAATTTACAAATCCAATTCAATAACAAATGTCCAAAATTAAAAAATATACACTCGATGTCCTTCAATGAACATTGACCTAACGCTAATTTAAATTTACTTCTAAATCATTCAAAATATCCATCCTACTATTCTGTATTACGCACTGCGAGGTTGGATGTGTGGATAGATATGATTTCGATGAAAATACAATAATACAGCCAATACATTACAGGCCATATTTCATTGAAAAAATAAAAAATATAAGTAAAAATGCGAGTGGAGACGTTAGAAAACGCTATTACGCGACATTCTTAAGCAATGGACTGTGGACCCATATTGAACAGCATTTTCAGATCTTCAATGGTCAGTTTGGAGGCGTTGGTGTTCTTGGCGCCGGTGAGCACGCTGTCGGCGAGCGCCAGCTTTGCTTTCTGCAGCTGCCGGATGGACTGCTCTACGGTGTCCACGCACATGAACCTGGAGGCAAAGGAATATTCATTTATTACACGTTTGGCTCAGTTTGTAGTGACCCTACTTGCTGTGCCAGCGGTCGCGGGTTCGAGTCCCGCTGGGGGCATTCATTTGTGTGATGAGCACGAATGTTTGTACTCCAGTCATGGGTCACCCATGATGGGTGTTATAATGTATGTATTAAAAGATATATATGTGTAGTGTATCAAGTATCTGGTATCCATAACACAAGCCTCATAGCTTACCATGGAACTAGATGGTGCTGTGTGTTAATGTTCCAACATGTAAAAAAATATATATTAAAAGAACAACGAACTGCTTGTCTATTTAATGAGTACTATACAAACATTTATTTGATACAAAGGATGAACGCTGATTTTTATGCAGTTCCATAATTAGCCGAGATTTTATAAGTCTGATCGTAAAAACAAAATTAAATCAAGCGCGATCAAATAAAATTTGGAAAATATTTCGAATTATAAGACCTTTATTGTCCTATAAACAGAATAATTGGGGTAAACAGTTTATTTATTTTAAACCACATCAAATATTCGAGGCAAATTTTGAAATATTACTCGCACATTTAAATAATCTTACAAATCTAAGCGATCTAAAAATAAATGACCAAAGTCTAAAATAGAACTTAGAAAGATCGATTGACTCTGGCGTTGAGTCTATCAGTTAAATTCAAGGTGGATATTTGATAATAAAAATGCATTACATTCTATAACTACATATGTATGGACAACTGTGTGTAGGAATTTATGTTTGTACATTTAATAAAATAGCCATTATCTTTCTTTCAAATTATTGTCTATTTTTTTGGGGAGAGACACTTTCTGTAATAACTCTAACTTTTGAGATTTCAAAAACCTTTATCTTTCCCGTGACAAATTAATATATTACTTAGGTACGTTTTAATTTTTTTGAGCGGAACCCTAATTCTTCTTCTGAAATGAAAGTAGCCTATGTTACTCCCTATAACATCGGCTATTTTCCAAAATCAGTCCAGCCGTTTCAGAGATTATCCGGAACAAACAGACACAAACATTTTAAAAATAGTGTTTTTCCTATAAGTACCGTATATAAATTCATATGCACTAAGTAAAGCGCTGTTGTATTTTTAAAATTACAAACCGTCGACTTCAATTTTATTTATCTGTATAGACTAGCGACTCAACTCTCGCTTCGCTGGGGTTAGTCCCAAGGTACGATGCAACGGTTAGTACGGAATTGACACACTTTATAATATATATGTATATGTACATAAATATGATAAGTTATTGTGATTGTATTATATCGTATTTTCCCGTGGGAATGAGATAATCTCCCGCGGCAAAAGTCTATGTCTATGTCACTTCCTAGCCCTTTAACTATCTCCACACAAAAAATCACGCCAATCCGTAACTCCGTTTCGGCATGAAAGAAAAACAAACAAACAAACACACTTTCACATTTATATATCAGTATGGAATATGAATAAAACGTCGGGAACAAAAAAACTAAATAAAACGGTAAATTAATCTGAAACAATAGTTTTATTTAATATAAATAAATTTAAGTAGCTAGATTTACCCTCGCTACGATCGAGTGCGTCTCTAGGTACGTTTTAAATTTACGTTACGTTTAATGTATGTTTCAAATAGATAGAGAAAAATAATATTTGAGAATATACCTTAGAAGATAGACTTTTCTGTAAGCCTTTTCAAGATCTACAATTTTCTAGTACATTCTTTTGATGCAGCTCTTAAGATATAGCCAACTTTAGCCGTGTAAATTTCTAAGGACGTCTCGACAGAACCAGTTGTTTTCCCGTGAGAATTAAATCGCGATAAATTATCACTACACAAATTTTAGATAAAATCCGTTCAGTAGTCTTTGCGTGAAACTCACACAAATATACTGACAAACAGACAAAAAATTCAACATCTATTATTTTGGCGTTAATATTCTACAGAATACAAACAACAAATAAACAAATAACACATAACAGTCATTGTTTTTTTTTTAAATATTTCATTATCAGATTTCGGTTTGTTATTATACAAAATTCGTTGGCTTACTATTACAAGGTTCTATGTTAATTTTAATGAAGTTTAGTAATTTTTACATAGAACTTCGTTATTTTGTTATCCTAAAAAAAACGACATAGAACTATGTAAAATTGAATATTTTGTAGTTATAGTGCCGCTATCTAGTGGTTTGTTTTTGCAAAACATGTAGCTAATGACACATAGAACCTTGTAGCATTAATAACTAAATAAGTACTAAAATTGTAACATAGAACCTAGTGAGCCAACGAAATGTATGTATGTGTACTGAATAGATATAATATTAATTTTTTTATTTAACTTTTTAATTTTAAATATCATCTATAATATGGCAGACGAGGTGGGGGATCAGCTGTAAGTGTACAAACAATGTTCCTAGCCAAATTCCGGGAATACTCTTTCGCGGTGACACTACGGCGTTGGCGCGAACACTATTGAATGACTCTAAATTACCGGTGACACGACATAAACGACGCCGCGCATTTCTGTAGAATTGTTTTGAAAGAATATTTTACAAATTACTAATTCGCTTAAACAATTTACAGGACGTAATGGCGGAAAATGACTAACTCGAATGCCCCACTACGATGGAGGTTGCGGGTTCGATGTTTTTAGTCGTAAAATCGGTAAAAATATTATGGCATGTCGTGTGCTTTTCTCGTAGCGACACGTGAGCACATATCGTGCATATTTTAGCACAATTACATTTTATTCATATTATGATCTTTAATAGTCTAAATATTTTCCTTTATACGAAGAACATCTGTTAGGAAGACGAGAAATATAATGAAATAAAAAAAAACTATTTTGCAAGTGCATGATAAAATGTATCGTGAAAATCTACATATATGTAAGGTAGAAGCAAAAATATTTCAATTGAACTGGGTCGATGGTACCTACATATATCTAGTATCGATTAATAGCAGAATTTATAGAAATTATAAGAAATGAGAAGACTAAAGTGAAAACTGTATAAAAATAAACCAATTTCGCATATAACAAATAAAATAGATTTTCTTTAATTACAGATCAGTACAAAGACTTGGCATGTTGCGAACAAACAAACTAAACGGCGGCGGATGCGAAAAAAACCTGGCACGCTCTATAGAGAGAGCCATCACTCGTTATGGGTTTTTGTTTAATCATAGAAATATTTTTGTTGAAATTGTTTGTCTTATTGGAATTAAATATATTAATATTAACAACTAGCGACTCACCCACGCTCCGCTCGGATTCGTCCCTTGTTACGTTTTAAGGTTTAGTATAGATTTCTCAGAGATGAGATATTTTCGTAAAAAGTATCCTATATGTTGACCCGGATAAACCCGGACCCAACTATCATCATACCAAATTTTATCAAAATCTGTCGTGCAGTCTCTGACAGACAGACAAAAATTCTAAAAACTATAAGTTCAGCCTATGTATCGATAATAATGACTATTTCAATAAGATTTTCCAAAAAAATATTTAATGTACAGATTCGACTCAATTACAATTTTATGGGACAATGGGATTGGAAAAAATTACCCTAATATCTACTCCTAGAGGGGCAAACGTTTTTTATATATTTTTTTTTTATGTAGGTGGTGGATGTAACAAATAAATAATTAAAATCATCACACTAAGACTTATATAGATTCAAACCGAAAAAAAATGTCAAAGTCAAAAAGTTTTTTAAAGATTAAGAAATTTTTTACATATACTTATTAGTCGTTATTAACCATTTTAAAAGAGAATCTTATAAATAAAAATGAATGTGTTGCTAAGCGCAAAACTCGAGAACGGCTGGACCAATTCTGCTATTTTTTTTAAATATTCGTTGAAGTCTGACGACGGTTCTTATGAAAAAAGAAAAAATCACATTTTTAATTTTCCTTACTACACTATATTAATAAACTATTTGAATGCTTCTGTAGATATGACACTTGCTCTTTCTAGGATATACAGTTTAATTTTTACTTTGTTTGTTTGTCCTTCTTTTACGTCAAAACAGAGTGAGGGATTGGCGTGATTTTTTGTGTGGAGATAGATGGAGGGCTGGAGAGTGCTAATAATAAAAAGTAATATTAATTATTTCGTATTTATTATGCATTACTTTTCTTCGACTTGAAAGAAAGATATCATAGTATTAGCTTATTAAATACTTTTTTCTTTATTATAATTCCGTCAAATATTTTTAATAATTAACATTTATTTCTTATTATATATAATAATAAAATATAATGAGTATTCTATTAATAATATTTGTATACTAATTTAAAACACTACAATATTCCTTAGCCCGAGTTAAAATCATACTCAATACAATATGACAGTCAACACATGGTTCTAGTCGATAGCTATTTATAAATTAGAAGCAGTATACAATGGGTGAAGTTTAAAGAAAGCGCCAAAAGTAATTAGAGAAGGATAGAGAATAAACAAGGAAAGAATTATTTTGGACTAGCGACTCACCCTCGCTCGGATACCTTGGAAAAGTACCTAGGTACGTTTTAACAGTTAGTATGGAATAAATAGACTATATATTAGAGTACATAATATACATAATATATGTATGTAAATATTTATATATATATATATATATATATATATATATATATATATATATATATATATGTGAGGAAGACATTATTATAGTTAAGTACAGACGACACGTTTGGCTGTTTGTGGTGCCACCCTACTTGCTGTGCAAGCGGTCGCGGGTTTCAGTCCCGCTGGGGGGCATTCATTTGTGTGATGAACACAAATTTTTGTACTCCAGTCATCAGGCCCTCAGGGTGTTTATATGTATTTATAATACGTATACATAATACGTATATATTTAAAGTTATATATGTGTAGTGTATCAAGTATCTGGTATCCATAACACAAGCCTCATAGCTTACCATGGAACTAGATGGTGATGTGTGTTAATGTCCCAACATATTAAAAAAGTACGAACCTGTATATGTGGACGTGCTGGGTCTGGCCGACGCGGTAGATGCGGTCCTGCGCCTGCTCCTCCAGCTGCGGGTTCCAGTGCGGGTCCAGCAGCAGCAGGTGGCTGGCGCCGCACAGGTTCAGCCCCACGCCGCCCGCGCACAGCGACAGCAGCATCACCTGCGGGCCGTTGTAGTCGACGGTATGACGTCATTGTTACACATGAAATACTACTTCGTTGATAACATCTCGTATATTTTAATTCAATTTAAACTCTAATGAAACATCTTCAAATCGCCTTAGAAACTTTAGACAGCGCCATTCTAAAAACAACACACACACAAACAGTGCCATCTCTTGCAAAATATTAAATTAAAACTATTACACATTTTACACAGTCATTATACCAAAAAATAATAGGATGTATCTATTCGTCCGACAATCGGATCGGATGAATCTTACTAATATTATTAATGTGAAAGTTTAGATGTTTGGATGTTTGTTACATTTTCACACCAAATTCCAGAACGGCTGAACGAATCTAGATGAAATTTGGCACAGAGATAGATTATAGTCCAGAATAGCACATAGGCTGTTAATCCCGGAAAAATGTACGGTTCCCGTGGATACGTTTTTTTTTGTTTTTTTTAGAGGCGAACCCGAGCGAAGCGAGGTTGAGCCGCTAGTATATAAACCCGCCGCTAATTCTTTAACCGGTTAACAAAATCAACGTTTATAAAAGGTTGGATTTCGGTTTTGATATCAAAATAAACCGGTTAATTCATTCATAAGAAAGAAACGTACACATATCCTTCTACTAAGCAATTCACCATTAGGAACGATTCACCAAATGTAAACGCACTAAAACTCACTTTAACCTGTTAATTTTGATCATGGAACCTAACTCCGTTAAAAACCGTTCTCCAGAATTAAACCGGTTAACCGAAACCTTAAACCGGAAAGCCCTTTAATGACCAGAAGTCAGAACCAGATTTAAAAATAAACAGGTTTTCGAGCCCTACGAAATAGATAATAAATAGTTAAATAATATATACGAGTATGTACGTTCATACACTCACCACCTTTTATATGTTTAATCACTATAGAATGCAACTGCACTCGATTTTGACCATACTTTTTAAATAAAAACATGGCTATAGAGTTCTAAATATAACGAAACGCAAGTGTGATGTGTCTATCTAATTGTCTATATATATTATCTATAATAAAGATCTGATTATTTAAAACATAAATTGAATTTCATAAAGAGTACCGATAACCTACAGAAGTTTTACATCTTGCGCGTGTACACATTCATACACGCGTTCTTTAATAATAATTTTTGTAGTATATGCAACTGACCCTGACGTCGGAGGCGGTGTCGTTGAGCTGGTCGACGAGGCGCGCGCGCGCCGCCACGGGCACGGCGCCGCTGAGCGTGACGCAGCGCACGCGCGCCGCCGCCAGCTCGCGCGCCACCAGCGCCAGCACCGACGTCCACTGCGACACCACCACCGCCTTGCGCCCTGCCACGCACACCACACTATACACTATAGGCTCCCGACTCATGCTCCGAGATCCATCCGAGAGTTCAATTAAATGTTATCACACATAAAACCTAATTTTAATGCTTTTATAAAAGAATATGTAAAAAAAAATCATTCGTCACATTAAATAGATTATATTTTTGGTGCAATAAATGTATTAATATTTTTTATTTATAAAATTTATTATTTCAAGTTAAACAAGAAAGTAATATAACTACAACACAATCAGTTTAATTATTATCGAAATGGGGTACCATTAAAAAAATTGATCCATAAGGGTTCCGTGACCAAAAAAATTGGGAAACAGACCATTACTATATATACACTGTACCATACGCCTTGTGGCCTCCTCAATATACCTGACTCGTGACAGACCGATTTATAATTGGCCAATCAATAAGACCAACCATGTGCTCAAAAGATATTATAGTGTATAAGTATGCTCACAGATACGACCGGTGAGAGAGCACGAGCAACCAACTAACTCCTGACTGTAACTAAGAATTTCTTGACACAAAACATTCAATAACTATACTTGACGTAACTCGGGATTCGAACCCAGAAACTCCGGACCGGCAATACTAGATCACCGTGGCAGTAAAAAAAATATAATTTACATTTCTGTTATAGCATAAATAATTGTACTTTCGCTAGACAAAGTTTCTAAAAAATATTTAAAATTTAAATTAACTTACCCTTATGAGAAATAACGTTTTCATTCAAACAATCCATAACAGCTTTTATTTTTGAGGACGGATTTTGTAAATCAAACACTGGATTGTTCGGAGACAAAACCGTTCTGATTGCTTCCGCTACTGAAGTACCTTCTGACTCGTCTTGCTCTTCGTCTTCATCTTCTTCTTTATTACCCCCACTCTACAAATAAATAAAAATTGCAGCCATATAAATAATACGGTTCTTATCTGCGAAACAAGATATTTTTGTGATAAATTTTATTACATACTGGCGACTCACGCTCGCTTCGCTCGGGTTCATCCCTAGCTTGCTTCCCCATTCATTCCCATTCTCACCCCCTGCGATGGGAGGGATGATTTCCGGGATAAAAACGATTTCACTCACTCACATTTCATATCACGCATTTCATAACACGCACTAGGCCAACTTGGTGTACCATGCCCTTATCCCTCTCGTATTATAAGAGGCCCGAACCCCAAAAAAAAGGTCGAAATCAAATAAATAGAATTTTCTATACAATAGATTAGCAATGTCTTAATATTAATTGCTTGTGACCAATTCAAAGTAGCTGTTAATTAAGAGTACTTACCAAAGCAAAATTGATTTTACCGTTGTCGTGTAGAATTAACAAGATACATACGAGTAATTTATCTTTAACTTTAAAATTAAATATCAGGGAAATAAGAAATTTTGTCTGTCATAAATAATATATTTGCTGAAATAAAGTTGTAAAAACCACCGTAATAATATCTACATATTTGCTCAAAAGCTACAGAGCTTTTATAGACCAAAAAAGATATAGGAACAGAAAACTCAGTAATCGAGTTCTGTCCGCGGTTTCTTTGAGCCGTACCCAAACCCTAAAACTCTACATTTGATTATATGATAGGAAAGAGGAACGTTTCTTATAAAATCTGATTGTACAATTAACATTTAGACAGCACAATGCAATTTATACAACATTAACTTTAAAAAAATGTTAGTAGTAAGGATATATTGTAGGTTTGATAATTGATTTGTTAATCGTATACGCTACTTATGCTTGGTCAGTTTAACTATCAGTACAGCTAAACACGAATGAATAGTGGGAGAAAACTGTATAGGCAACCGCTGGCACGCTTTACATATAGTTAAACTGTAGGTACAGACAAAACTGTACAGGTATAAGGTACCTATAACAAGGCCTTAATTTCAATATTTATTCAGGCCGCAGCCGTGACGCACTGACTTAATGTAGGCAGAAAACGGGAAGTAAAGCGCTCACATTTCCCATCCACCTCACAAGCTGCACCATTAATGAAAGGATATTTATTAAAACAATACATGCGGTATCATGAGATTTAAAAAAATCTTATTTTAGTAAAAAAAAAATATTTTTCTTTCAATTATCATCTATAGAAAACTACCTGATAATAACAAACACAAAAATTAATAATTATCCAATTAGGTATAGTCGATCCGAAGTTATGCGCGTACACATTTCAGTGAATCATTTTTATTTATATAAGTGTATTATGTATGTATGTAGAATACATACATATATAATATGTATATACCACCTGTATATGTACATGTGGTGGAAATATGTATGTAACACAAAAGCATTCTTCATTGACTTACTTTCACAATCCGAGTGGATGAGGAGAATGACTGATGACTGAATGACCAATAATAAAAAGAATCAAGCACAGGAACGATGTACGTGCTGTACATCTTACTAATACTACACATGTGAAAGTTTAGATATTTGGATGTGTTTGTTACTCAATCAACTCAACAGCTGAATGGCTCTGTATGAAATTTGGCATAGAGATAGATTACAGTCTGGAATAACACATAGGCTACTTTTTTATTCCGGAAAAATGTACGGTTACCGTGGGATAGATTTGTTTTTGTTACATATCTATTTTGGCCTAGCCCATGACCGAAGCTAAGACTCACATATCTAAGCTCGTAAATATCACCAAACTAACAAAACTGTTTAAACGAGATTATTAAACGTTTAAAAGGAAAGTTGATTAATGGTTTCTTCTAAAATGATGTTTATACATAGAATATACATATACATACCTTCCTTCTAGATTCGTTAAGCGTGAGCTTGTTGAGCTCAGCGAGCAGGTCCTGGCTGCCGGCGTCCCGCGCCGCGTCGGCGTCGGCGTCGGCGTCCAGCATGCCGGCGATGAGGCCGCAGTGGCAGCACACCTGCCGCAGCCGCAGCAGCAGCACCAGGATCTCGTGGGACTTCACCGGTTTGGCGCCTGTTTTAATATACATATCTATTATATATCTAGTATTACTTCACTTGCTTTCGCTAATCATATTGATTAACAAATTAAATAATTTTAAAGAAAAAGTGCGTGTGTGCAATTCACACATGGTAGAAGACACATGATAGAGACATTTCAGAAAAGTAACCTATGAGAGAATGAGATGAATAAAGAATCTATGGGAGAATATACAGTATCAGGAGTAGGATAATTATAAGGTATATTTTATTTATAATATTTTTGCCATGTTTGAAAATTATTTTATATTTCATTTGATATAAATATATATTCAGTAATTAATTTTATAATTTTTCACCCCTGTCTAATGTATGCTATCTCAAATAATTAAATAAGGCACATTAGGCATATTACAATCATAAGAATATGTTATATATGTGTTAGACAATAACAACAGTCACCATGGCAACATGGCAATGTATTCTATCTCATTCTCTCACCGGCTTAATCCGAAATATTTATGTGTTTGTCTCTTTTTAATGCCGCATTTCCGTTTCATCGAGTTTCGAATCACAACGATTCTAAAGAAGTTTCACTTCAGAAATGTATGTATTTATTACTCAAAATTATTTATTAGATGCCTAGCAGTATATATGTCCTAGTATGACTAGTCCGTCTGTGTATTAAATGTTATCCAAATTTGTCCAGCTATAATATAAACACTGGAACACACTTCCCTTAAAAGTTAAAAGTGCCAAAAGCCTTGATAAATTTAAGCTGTTATTAAAAGAATATTACCTGTCCCTTTAGTGCTTTTTTATTGAAATGTATCTATAACTATGTATGTTTGTAGGTACGTATGTATATAAATTAATATGTATGTGTATTATGTTTATATATTTGTATTGTGTGTTTAAGTATGTGTGTATATATGTACGTTTGTATGTATATGTGTATTATGTTTATCTATTTATATTGTATGTATAATTATATCGCATAGCAAGTACACCGCCTACCATTTCTCTCACACTCATCTTTACCTGATAGTTGGTTGCCTGGAAGAGATCGCTTTAAGCGATAAGGCCGCCTACTGTGCATCTTTGTTTATTTTTAATTACTGTCTGTATGTATTTTCTGTTTGGTGTACAATAAAGAGTATTATTATTATTATTATAAACATGTTTTTGTAAATATACCTCGTGATTGAGTTTTGCTACATTGAGTCAATAAAATGATAAAATAATGAAAAACTACGTGTTATTGTGCGTAAAGGTCCGTACATGAATAGGTTTCTACGTGATTCAAGTGTATAATAAAAATAAGTGACCTTGCAGAGCGATCATCTTCTTATGAACTTTATCATATTCGGAGTCCTTCCCGGCGGCCAGGAAGCCCTGCGCGTCCGCAGCCTTCTCCGCGCGCTGGTGCAGGAATTGCGCGAACAGCGTCTTCGAGAACACCAGGACCTGATGATGATGATAATGATGACCGGCTAGCATGAATGCTATCCTTTGATTTTTAATTCCAAGTACCAAGAATCAGTTACAAGTGTATTTGATTAGTGTTTTCAATCAAATACACTCGTGAGCAAAAAAATCGACTCAGGACGCACGCTTGCGGTTAAAAAGCTCTAGCAAAAAATCAGAAGCTTTTATTATATTTCTGATTTTAACATCTCAAAGTTCTTTGTTTTAGCTTTAAAATGAGTGGTCTATGTTGTTATTAAAAAAATGTTTTCTGGTAAAGAAAATATATTGAATGAGATGGAGTCTTAAGCAATAAAAAAGTGATGGTTGACGGTAAAGAAAATACCACATAAAATTCGTCCAAACAATAATTTAATTAAAATTATTTTTTTAATATTTAGTGTTGCCCCCCCTGGCCCTAATAACAGCTTCCAATCGCTTTTTCATGGATCGAATAAGTTTCCTTACTCGATCTTATTCGATGCTATTCCATTCGTCGATTATCGCTGCTTTGAGGTCCGCCATCGTGTCTGGTGCAGGATTTCTAGCCCGAACTTTTCTTTTAAGATCATCCCACAAATGCTCGATAGGATTTAAGTCCGGGCTACGCGCTGGCCAGTCCATAGCGGCAATTGCGACCTCCTGTAAATACTGCCGGACGGAACTTGCAGTATGTGGACGGGCATTGTCGTGCATTAGGACGAAGTTTTCGCCAATGAAACCGGCGTAGGGAACGACGTCATCCTCTAAAATCTCTTCGATGTATCGGATCGCTGTCAAACCTCCCATTCGACCGCCAGTTTCAATAAAAACCAACTCGGTTTTTGCCTCGCTTGAAATGCCGGCCCACACCATCCAGGAACCTCTTCCAAAAGCAACATTTTCTTTGATACAGCACTGCGCGAATCTTTCCCCAGGTCTTCTGTAGACTCGTCCTCTTCTATCACTACCATGCAAGCACACTCTACTTTCGTCTGAGAAGAGAACGGTGCTCCATTGTTCGTCAGTCCAATCAACATGTTCTCTAGCAAAACGTAGGCGGGCTGCTCGGTGGCCTGGGGTTAATTTGGGACCAGTAGCTGGCCTTTTTGGCTCAAGCCTAGCTGCCTTAAGTCGTCTTCTGACTGTCCAGCCACTCACAGCTACTCCTCGCGTTTCTCTGAGCTCTTGTTGGACTTGAACGCCAGTGAGGGCCCGATTTCTTAACGATGTGCTGACAATAAATCGGTCATCTCTCTCTGATGTGCACCTTTTTCTACCGGAACCGCGTCTTCGATTAAAGCCACCAGTCTCCTGGTAACGACGGTAAACTCTGGAAACAGCAGACTGGCTCATGTTCAGTGCACGTACCACTTCACGCTGACTCTGGCGATGTCGCAATAGGGTGATCGCTTGAGCTGCTAAATCGCTAGTTGTGTCCATTTTCAGGTAGAATTCTTGATAACGGAGATGTGTATCGGTTGACGTTTGACGGCTAACTGATAAGGGTGGGTCAGGTAGATAACCTTTTATATGGGTCAGTAACCCTTAATTAGCACTATTGTAAACAAGCGTAAAAAGGGTGGTTACTGATCACAAGATATTGTTGGGTTGTGTGAGCAATAAACCTTACAATATTTTATATCATTTTGAAGCTAATACTAGCAGCTTGTAAGATTTTACTATGAAAAAAATATATTTGCTTTCAGTTTTTTTCCAGTGACTTGCGATTACAGATGTGTCGTCTGAGTCGATTTTTTTGCTCACGAGAGTATGTTGTATGCTTTTTAAATAAAATTATCTATACGATTTTTTTCACAGACTTATTTTGATTTATGATTCTCGACGTTTACAAATGTTTTACGGCAATCTCTCGAGACTATGATTATGTAATAGTTTAATATAAAATGTCAAATATTCACTTAAATCTTAAAAAAAAGGTTATATGCTTGTTTTTCTAAAAAAAAACAAGATGGCTACGCATCAATGTGAAAATTATGGTTTCATACAGGCCAAACGTCTTTGTCCAAGACTAGTCGTCTTTTGACGAGTATCCCAGTCACTACTGGTTTTACATAAAGTTAATAATAATAAATATATACCCCAAAAGGAAAAAAGGAACCCTTATAAGATCATTTCGTTGTCTGGCTGTCTATCTGTCTGTCAAGACATTTTTTCTAACGAACGCGAAAAGGTATCTAATTGAAATTATGTAATTGTACAAAAATTTAACTCCTGAGTGTACGCAATCAAAAAATACGGCCGTTTATGCCGCATATTTTGACATCCGGAAGGGAATCTAAATAACCTAAAGGTACTACCCGTTGACCAAATTGTGAAATTTGGCAAGAAAGAAATATCTTATAGCATAAGTAAAGGGAAAAATCCGTAAATCGAGAATTTATAGTTACACAATAAAAAATGTTAACCTTCTGGTAAACATTCATTTCCTCCTTATCCAATGTGACCTCCTTCTCGTGCAGGTCGCGCGGCGGCAGGCACTGCAGCTGGCCGCGCTCCTGCAGCTGCGCCTTGGTGCGACGCAGCATCAGGCATTGCATGATGATGGAGAGCCGCTCCTGCCCGCCTATGCTCTTGTTGTCAATCCACTTTTGCCACATCTGGTGGACAAATGTATATATATTTTTTGGCGATAGTTTTTAAACAGTTTTGAACTATGTAATTAATTATATTAGGCGTTGTCGAATTTCAAAATTTAGTCATTATAAGATTTTTCGGTTAAGAATATTTGTCAACTCACAATAGTAATACTACGTATGGCAGCAGATTTGGAGGTCCTAGGGTCGAATCTCGGTTCGGATAAGTGTAAATAATTAGTTTTTTGGTTACGAACCCCGTCAATCTAAGCCTGACCTTTCACCGGTTGAATTGAAGCATAATTCCATTATACTTGAAAGGATGTTTTGCACAGATAATTATGCACTTTAGATAACTAACGACGAACTTGTTATTACTAGATATTAGGTTCAATCGAGAATATAGTCTAAATCTAAATCATTTAATCCGGAGCCGTAGTGCCGCTAGGTTAGTAGGTAATGGAGGTCAAAGCGGGGGAAGGTTTTGTTGGGTTTTAATGGGTAGTACTGGCTTTTCTAGCCGGTGGGACCCGCATAAGCACCTGTATGTATACAGGTGGTGTGCGTAAATGCATTTCACAACATAAAAAAAAAGCAGGTAATAGAGCGGATTTATTTTGATTTTTGGTTCCCGACGTTTCGAATGCTTTACAGCATCCATGGTCACGGGAGAGACTGAGGTGTTACATGTCTTAAAGATATAGTTGTTACAGGCAGCCTACCCACAATTAACAAAATGAAAATTGCACCAATTACATTACAATTTTTTTTAACTTAAAACATTTTTATAATTTTAATTATAATTGAATATGGAAAATTATTTATTTAATTTTTGCTATTATTTTTATAATTATTACAATTTTAAAAATATTAATTAGTAATCTATATTTAGTGTTGCCATTATTATATTTATAACCATAAATAAAAATATAAAAATATAGTATTAATTATTAAAGCCATATAATTGTTCTATGTGTAATTTAAAAAAGTTAAAATTAATTAAGGATAATCATTTTAATTTAGTTTGCTATTATTTAAAAACAACTTACTAAGCAACACTATTAATATATACTTTTACAAATGAAAAATATTAATCTGATAAGCTGTCATTTTGATCTACACAGTATGAACTTACTACATCTGCCTGTCTGTTATGTTTATATTTATTATTTGATTTTATTATATTAATAACAGGATCCCATGACGATGGTAGTACCCAGCCATCTTCCCTATTGAAATTTGGATGTTTTTTAATTTCTATGGCTTCTCGAATCATTCTAGGGCGATATCGGTTTTCTTTCGCCTGGATTTGACGTCTATCGAAACGAATATAATGGCTTAAATGGCCCAAAATTGTAATAACTATAAAAATAATAGCAAAAATTAAATAAATAATTTTCCACATTCAATTATAATTAAAATTATAAAAATGTTTTAAGTTAAAAAATATTGTAATGTAATTGGTGCAATTTTCATTTTGTTAATTGTGGGTAGGCTGTCTGTAACAACTATATCTTTAAGACATGTAACACCTCAGTCTCTCCCGTGACCATGGATGCTGTAAAGCATTCGAAACGTCGGGAACCAAAAATCAAAATAAATCCGCGAAATAATCCGAAAAGATAGTTTTATTTAATAATGTCAAACATTCGCGTAAATCTAAGAAAGTATCAGGTAATAGAGGTTATACTTTGAGGTCGTCGAAGGGCGTGCACTTGAGGAACTTGAGCAGCGCGAACAGGTCGAGGTCCTTGTTGTGCAGCGGCGTGCCGGTGAGCGCCCAGCGCCGCCGCGCCGCCAGCGCGCACACGGCGCCCGACGTCGCCGACTTGTGGTTGCGCACCGCGTGCGCCTCGTCCAGGATCACGCGCCGCCACAGCACGCGCGTCAGCACGCCGTTCTGTCGCGTTACGTTTGTCTTTGTTACATAGGCAAGTCGAGCTATTGATTGATGGGATTGTTTATACAGGGTCATTTTTAATTTACTTAAAACCTTTTGGGAATATACTATTTACATCATAACAACAACAGCTGTAACAAGAAAAGATAATATTTCTTAAATTCTAATTTTCATACAAAAATAAAAATATATTTTTTGCACCTTCTAAACTTTAAAGTTCTAGCATCTGGCCAAGTTTAAATGAGTAAGCGCGGCTTCCTTCACCCCTCCACCGGACACGCACTTTCTTTTGCTAATGCTGGACTATTACCGTTGAAAAGGTGCAATAAAATTATTTTTATTTTTGTTAAATTTAAGATATATATTTTTTTCTTACAGATGTTGTTATGTTGTAAATAGTGTATTCCCAAAAGGTTTTCAGTAAATTAAAAATGACCCTGTATAATAATAGTGTGAAGGCTAGAGAGTGATTAGCTATGAGAATGCAATTTTAATAAATATGTTTTGAGTTATATTAATCATATATTTTTTCCGATAAATAACTAAATTACTCAATTTTTTTTTTTAATATTTCTCTTTCAAAAAAACGAAATTTACATATTTTTTTTACGAAATTTTATTTTATAATAAATTGAAATATATTGAATCTTTAAAATGAACGACATTAGCGCAAAAAAATACTACGTATCACACATTAATACTCTTTTATGTAGTCTGTAGTGTCCACGAATAAACAGAGCACGACATCCCCATGTATGTGCGTGCAGCGTGCAGCGTGCGTACCTTCTCGCTCTCGCGCTGCAGGATGTGGTAGGTGGTGAGCACGAGGTCGTGCGCGGCGAGGCGCTGCGGCTGCGCGGCGCGCGCGGCGCCGTGGTGCAGCGCCACGCCCAGCGCGTGCGGCGCGCAGTGCTTGCGTACCTCCGCCGCCCACTGCGCCATCAGTGACGCCGGGCACACCACCAGTGTGCCGCCCTTCACCACTGGAATTAATTAATACAGGTAACATACGACTATAGCTGTACAAATAGTGCTTCCTATACTGACGCCGGGCAGATTACCAGCGTATCGCCGTTCACCACTGGAATACAGGTAAGACACGATTATAGCTGTACAGATACCGTACCCTATACTGACGGCTGGCACACCACTAGAGTGCTACCGCACAGCACTAAAATACAGATAACATAGTATTTTAGCTATACAGAGACTCCGTCCCTGACGATGACGATCTGACAATGGATCCAGAAAATAGGCAGTAAAATACCTCAATGAATTTAAATAAAATTTACCTTTGAATACCTTTGAATAAAATATAATTCTAATAATGTCAAATCTCAATGTCGTGTATAAACAAACAACTTTATATAACAATAACTGATGAAATATCTAAAACAGAACAAAATTTGCACAATAAGAGATAAATACTTTAAAATTTAAATGTAAGCAGTACAATTTTTTGTAAACACAAATTTATATAATATGTACTTTACTGTAATTGTAAGAAAAAAACCAACAAACAAATAATGCAATTATGCTTTATATACACTGTATTAAAGTACAGAATTCGTAACGTATAATAATATAACGTATATAAAACTCACTACGTTTTTTATCGTGATAGTCTTCATCGTCGTCATTGTCTATGGAGGACTCCTTGTCGCTGAGGACGAGCGCTATCATCGTGATCGTCTTGCCCAGACCCATGTCGTCAGCTATTGGTGGGTTATAAATTGTTTACTATTTCATGATTTTTCAAATGTATTAGGGAAAAATGAAAGATACTAGATATACTTTATAAATTTAGAAAATCTTAATTTTACCTGTTGTTAAAAATGTTAATATAAGACGAAGCCAGTACATACAGGTAGGTGGTATTTTAATTTCTCAAAAAAACTAGAATGGTTGATGTAATGCTAAAACTAAATTACAAACCATCGAGTAGTTTACCAGTCGCTTTACCAATGTATAAAAAAACAAAGCCAGACCAAGAGAGATAGTCCAAGATCCAGACTGTTATAAACCCAGTAATCCAAAACTTGGTCTATGCATTTCCCGATTTAAAACAAAAATGAAATCAAAACATGAGCCCCTTGACCTATGCCTACATTTCCAAACATCAAAAAAAAAGCATATCCACCCAGCAGTCCGCCCCGGGGGCGCTGCGCCTCCCGCCAGCGCAGCCACAGCAGCGCGTGCCGCTGGTGCGGCAGCAGCGTGGCGCGCAGCGCGGCGGGCGCGGCGGCCGCGGCGCCCTCCGCCGGCCGCGACTCCAGCGCCGCGTACAGCGCGCGCAGCCGCTCTTGGATCAGGTTGCGTTCAGCCATGTGGGTTGCCATCGCTGCACGAATACGTTAATTAAGGGGGTTTGGCTCAAAATGATGGAGGGAGGGACCAATAAAACCTCATCAAGTCTCATTTAAACTGAGAAGGGCATAGTTGGGCATCAACTTTAAATATATAAAAATTAAATAGATTTTTCTTTCATTTCTTTTGAAGTGTCCTATTTTAACCACTGAAAAAATACCTGAACACAGTACATACTTATATACGTTTTGGTTATGTTTATTTGCCCGGCACTGGCGTCAGTCGCGATAAAACCCGAAAATAAGGTATCAGTACGCAGACATTGGTCCACATCAATCTATTCTGACTAATAAAAGATCACTTTTCTTATATTACATAGGTTTAATGTTTTTAATTTATAAAAAACACATTTCTATAATCACTATTAATATAAAAAACTTGATAAAACAAAATGAACTGAACGATTTTTTTCATATAAATAATTTAACTAAATTACCCTGTTTTCCGAACATTCTTGGTTGGACCGCGTTGCTGGCCTTCTGTATTTCGTCCCAGGAGAGACCATTGTTCTCAGTAGAAAACCCATCTCTAGCTATGTCTTTAGGCGTAGGCACATCTAATTGCAGGACAAAAACATTTCCATAAGACAAACTTTAATCTTAAAATGATTTTTTTTCTAGTATAAATTTAAATTTATGTTTGTTCGAACTAATCTCGTGAACTACTGTACAGATTTTCGTACAGTTTTTCATCAATAGAAAGAGGGTTTGACAATATTTCTCAATGAAATCGGAAATAACTCCCTTCCATATAATAAAACTAGTAATATTAGATGATATTGATAAAAAAACGTGTGTGTGTACTTATGTAGTCACGTAAGAAGTTATACTTCTTTGGCATACAGAACAAAAATAGATAAAAGATTTCATCCCGTGTCACAACTCGTTTGTAAACGGAATGATAAATTAATAAAAATAATTAAATAAGGCATATTAGTCATATTACAATCATATATTTATAGAATATCATTTAAGAATATTATATATCATTTGTCAGACATTAACAACGGTACCATGGCAACAAACATCGTAAAAATTTTACTCTCATATTTTTTTCCAAACGTCCCAAAAGAAGTATAACTTCAAAAACGCAATACCTGGCTCGACCACCATGTTGGCCACCTTATCCCCCTGCAGCCGCACCTGCGCCTCGAGCGACGTGAGCCGCTCGATGAGCTTCACGCCGCCGTCCGGGAGAGTGTTCACGTCCATGGTCTCCAGCAAAATCTGACAAGACGAAAGAAGTATGTGTTTGACTGTCACTGTACGTATGTATTTAGGTGTGTACATACATACATATTATGTCCGACGGCTTAAATGATATTGGTTAATTATATGTACTTAGAGTCGTCTTGATAATACAAGTGACGTAGGGTATGCACCTCCAGGTAAATTTCTAAGAAATTAATTAAATTTCTAAGAAATCTATTTTTAATTGTAACGCTGGCGTGTCTTATCGAGGGGATACCAAAATGAAAGGTTTTGGGGCGATCAAAAAATGTACAACTTATTAAAAAATAAATACATACATAATATGTTGAAAACTTGTTTTATCTATATTTACTATAAAATGCGCCATATTACTCTATTCAAAAGTTTCTCATGTAAATATGTGTTAGAAATGTTCGTGTATATATGTATATAAATATTTATTTACACCTCCATTACATTAAAACAATACTTACCCGAATACCTTGCAATTGGTCTCTAAGAACATTGAGTTTGTTGAGTTCAGTCTCTCGCACATGCTTCTTGACGTACACCACTTGGTTAGGGTAGCTTTGTGGCAGCATATACTGTTTAATGTTGCTGTCAACTCTCTTTGCTTTTTCTTCATTTTTGATACTCTGTGACTTCTTCGAATTTTGAGATTTCTTCTCGTCTTTGACCTGGAAATATTTGGCGTAGTATGTTTATCTGTACTTATACAACTACGGAACTTTTTTTTATTTCGATACAGGTTAAGTGGAAATTGGCATGTAAAACGCTGTAAAAACATATTTTTTACATTAGGATTAGAACCAGTATTCATCATTTAGGCTCAGGAGGGTCGGTTACCGGGTGTGGCTAAATTTGTTTGTCTCAAATAATCGTTCGTAAAAAAAATTAACTGATTTCAAATTCATATACTTAAATTCGGATTTTTATTTAATTTTGTCCAACTAGGTCGGCATTTGCAACTAAGTACACAATATTTATTATTAGAAGATTAAAGTTTCAAGTTCCACAAAGATACGATCTTCTTACATAAATATTTATAATTTTATTTCATAATCTATACAAATAATAAAATTCTAAGCCGAATCTGTACATTACATATTTTTTAGAAAATCTTTTTGAAATAAACATTATTATCGATACAGAGGCCGGATCTATAGTTTTTAGAATTTTTGTCAGTCTGTTACCGCATCACAGAAAAACCACTGTAGGGATTTTGATGAAATTTGGTATGGTGATAGCTGGTTATCCGGGTTAACATATAGGATACTTTTTACCACGGGAAAATATATCATTTTTGAGAAAAAATACAAAAACTGCAAAGTAAGAATATGCTAATATGTAAAACCCAAGAATTTGGTTTTTGGTCATCTGAACGCGGGCGAAGCCGCGCGCAATGCTAGTCTATATATATAAAAATCAATTGCTATTCGTTAGTCTCGCTAAAACCAAAAAACGGTTGATCAGATTTCAATATTTTTTTTGTTTTGTTGGAGGTATATCAGGGATGGTTTAAATATAAAAAAAAATTGGAAAAACCCATAAGAACAACTGGAAAGTCGAAAAGTTCAGAACTGGTTATTTTGTATGGGAATCGCTACTTCGGATTACTTTCAATAGTGGTGGACCTACCATCTACAACAATACGTCAAGTTTAAGTTAGAAAAAAAAATGTAGGTATATAACAGTATATAGTCTATCTATTCTATACTAATCGTTAAAACGTACCTAGGGACGAACCCGAGCTAAGCGCGGGCGAGTCGCTAGTTTGTAATAAAAAACTGTCCTATTTCTAATTTGCGAGCAGCCAAATTGATAAGAGCGATTTATATAGATTGACCAAAATGCAATGGTAAATAAATTATTTTGATCTCATATAATTACCCCATATTTTTTAAAAGGAAAGATTTATTATTTAGTTTTGTGATGAAGCATACTGATTAGGTATTTTTTTAAATGAACATCAAAATAACGTTTCATGAATATATAGTAGGTACTGAGTATATGACCAGTAGCGGATTTAGGTTTAGGCCAGTGAGGCCCGAACCTAGGGCGGCAAATTTTGAGGGGTGCCAAAATTTTTAAGACGACTAAAATTAAAAATCGATTGGGTTTTCTGTAAACTGTAAGACCAAATTTTAAAGTTAATTTTCTTGCGCTCTTACGATCTAAACATAGTACCATTTCAAGGGTAGAAGAATTTCTTTGTTAAAATCATTATTCTATATAATATACTATTAAGAAAGAAAAAGGGTGCCATATCGACTTGGGCCTAGGGCGCTAACGAACCTAAATCCACTACAGCTATACATATAATATGACTCAATATTATTTATTCATTTCTCATAATCACGAAATACCATCGAAATGATCATTAAATTACTTACGGATTTAGGCATTTTCTTCTAAATTGTTATATTACCAGCACATAACAAATTATTATACGATTTAATCGCGAATAATTTACACACAGCAAGTATGCTAAAGAGACAACAGAAATACGTGAGACACAGGACATCGACTAACGACTTTTTATAATCATTTTTAAATCTACCCTAATTATTAAAAAAAATAAAAACATATGCAAATTGTATTTTTTATATAGATAATAAAAATTGAAACATAACCGAAATCAACAAAGTTTTTATAAGTTTGTTTTTCTTTTATCGTACGATTAAAATATTTTTTATTAAACAAGACCATTAGGACAGAATTGTATCCAAGCAAAGTTAAAGTTTCGTTTTAATAAAATGAGTTAAGCCTAAAATAAACGTTTGTCCGTTGTTCTGCGATGTAAATAGTGGTAAAATAACAAACTGCTATGTTCATAGCGCTGGATAACTTGTAATAAATCTTCGAGATATTCCTTGTTTCTTTTTCAGCATTAAAACCAATTCATGATATCTCTCGCTTTCACAATAAAAAGCGCGGGAAAAATATCAACCACCGCCTTTTCTTTTTAATTTTTCATTAGCTCAATGATTGATATTTAAAAAATAAAACCAAGTTTATCTGTATATCTGTGTGCATTTCACGCAAGAAGTACTGAACCGATTTTAACTAAATTTTGTGTAGTGATAACTTATAACTCGGGTCCACATTTAGGATACCTTACACTAGAGGAAAAACTTTCATTCTCACGGGAAAACACAAGAACTAGTTTTGTTGAGTTGTCTTTAGTACCTGGCTTATAACACTGGCTAAACCTTAAAAGATACATCAAAAAAATGTGCTAGAAAATTGTAGATCTTATAAAGGCCTACAGAAAAGTTAGCAATAGTATACTAGTGTAATGTATGTCTCCTAAGGTATACTCGCAATAACTATTTATATCTATATAAAAGATAGCTAGGGATGCACACGAGCGAAGCAAGAGTAAGTCGCTAGTATTTGATAATAAAATAATATTTAATTTCGGATATTTTATATTTCAAGTATGTGATATAAACGTAAATTTTTCACTTTGTTCTGACCATAATAAGGGAAGTATACGCCAATACGATGATATCGCAAAACAAATTATTAACTTTTATTTCCAATTTACAATATATTATAATATATTTTATTAAAAATAACAAATATATTATAAAAAAATATATGAATCCATTTTTTGCTTACTTAATAAACTTATTAGTTATTTTCTTTTAGTACTACCATGTTATCTACTTTGCGACATATCAATATTACAAAAAAAAACACATAGTTAATCAATAAAATATAAACAACCAAACAAAAACTTCTTGCCACTTGCTTTGCAAAAGGAAGTTTTTTTTAAATTGCAATACTGTATAATGTTTATATAGTAAAAAATTAAGGCTTACCTCATCTTCATCATCACTACTCAATGCTATAATTTCAGGCTTCATATCAATCATTGTTAGATCGTCATCAATAACTTTTTCTATGGATTTCATTTTTATATCCTTACTACTATTTAAACTTCTAAGTTTACTATCATTACATTCTGATCCAGTTGAGGTCTTTGTATTTGAACTGTTACTTTTGTTTGAGATATTAAAATCATTTTTAATAGAATTATTAATTTCATTGGTTATATCTTGGAGAGGACTTGAAATGGGGGAACAAGTTATCTTCGAGGTATCTCCATCAACAGCTTCTGTGTTTGGTGAATTAGATTCTAATATTTGTGGATCTGATGAGCTAGATAGAGAATTTCTTCTGGAAACTTGAGGAGTCTGAAAAGTTTTTATATTTTCAAATCAAATCAAAACATTTAATTCAGCATTAAATTATTACAATTTTTTACTGAACGTCATGAGTCTACTACCAGTTCGGAAAGAAGAAGCCTCAGACCTGATATATTATACAATAACGATAAAAAGTATAGGTTAACAAAATAAAGATGGTATTAATTGGTATTACTAAAAACCAAATAAGGTCTTACTTACATCATCAGATTGAATATAGTCAGAATCATCACTGTCATTTTCCTTAGGTATTATACCCATGATGCTCATGCGTGTTGCATGAGACATCACCATCTGATCTTCATCAAGACCATCGTCACTTGTGTTTATTCTATTTTGACCATCACTTTTATCATTTTGCTCATCATCATAATAGGTTTCTTCACCAGGCTCACTATTTGGTATGTTATCTTCATTATCCTTTTTGCTTTTGCTGTCACTACTTTGGCCGACAGTTTCCTGGCAATTATCAACATTTTCTACACTGTTCTCACTCTTGTCACTATCTTGTTCCTCTTCATCACTACTATGGTTACTCTCATTGCTTTGTATGCTCATATTTTTTATATCTCTTTTATTTTCTTTCAAGCCACCAATTTTTAATGGAGTATCTTTTAAGCAGGCTAATTTCCTATTTTTATCACGTTCTATAATTATGGAATTGTCAGTATCGGAATCTAGACACATAATTCTCTTCTTTGTTTTACGTCCAATAAAAGAGTCAGATGATGTTAGAGTTGTTTTCAGAGGCAGTCTTCGTCTTGGTATAATTTCTGGAGAAACTTGACCTGTATTCAACACATTTTCTAGTCATTGTAACTATCTTTTGTTTAAATTTAATATTACAATTGTTTTTTATTTAATATTAAAAAAGCTTACCTTCATCTTCTGAAGAACTAAATACTACTTTATTGGAAGAACCTGATTGCCTTCTAATGCTGCCATTCTTGCTTTGGTCTAAAAATTTAATAAAAATTAATTGTAATTATAAGATAAATGAACTTAACTTGAAATATAAAAGGCAATTATTTACCATCATCACTACTTAGGACAATGTGATGTACTTTAGCGCTACTTCTTCTGGAGACCGACTTAGACAAGTGGGTAAGAGCGTTCTCCTCTTCTGACTCACCTATATTAAAATATGAAAAAAGAATTGATATTTAGAATAATATAAATGTAAACAGCCTTTGCAACTTATTATACAATACAAGATTAGCATTGTTTTGAATACTGTTGCAAAGGTTGTTTATTTTTATATAGAATTAAATGTCAACTGTAAATATGAAATTAGTACACTTATTTAAAACAATAGTTACGTTACTTTACCTCCAGTTTTAGAATCATCTGATTCTGGTATAAAAGCTGTTTGATTTCTCTTGGCTGGTGTTTTTTTGGGAGCGATAGATTCATCCATACTGTTATCAATAAACTCTGATTCTGAATCACTTCCCACACCAGTTTCGTCACGATATTCAAAAAATGAATTTTCTAATTTTTCCATTTTTTATTTTTTTATCTTTCCATTAAGAATTAAATACAACAAAGTATGTAAATTAAATATCGCAATGTGTTTCATGAAACAACGAATCAAAACATAATTTGAAAACGACAATCGTTGTTTTTGACGTTCTGATAATACACCGTGCATTTAATGATCATCAAAATCATAATAGGTAATATGATGTCAATATTTTTCTTATATATACTTTAAAGTTTAATACAAGCATGAATAATAATTTTCTCTAAAATAATAATTTATAAAATTTAACATAAACTTTAAATAATATATACTCGTATATATATATATATATATATAAAATTAACGAATAGTATGTCTGTGCCAATATGATATTTATGACATTAGATTGTAAAATATATAAAAATAATTTTTAGTCTGTATTGTTTTAAAACAAGTCTAAGTAGTCTTCGTCGTTCAGCTAACCAATATTATTTTTGTTTGCTATGTTTTGCTTTTGAATAGGAGTTTTTACATAAATTAAAGTTAAACATATAGGCCCTTACTCCATATTTATAAAATGACTGAAATTCAATTGCAAGAATTTAAATTAGAACCCGACTCAGAACTCCGTTTCGAGGTTGAATCTAAAAATGAAAAAGTTGTTTTGGAGGTACGTTTATAATTTAAACAGAATCAAACACTAATTTAAAATAATTGTTTTGTATAGTTAACACAGTCATGTAGTAATATTATTTTTTTGTTAGGTTAAAAGCGGCTATGCAGAATTATTTGGTACGGAGCTGGTCAAGGGAAAACCTTACGAATTCCATACGGGAGCCAAAGTGGCTGTATTTACGTGGCATGGTTGCACAGTTGAACTAAGAGGTCGTACTGAAGTCAGTTATATTGCTAAAGAAACACCAATGGTAAACAAAAAATATTTCTGTTATTCTAATATAATAGTAAAACATTGTAAGTTACATTAAATCATTTTTGTCATTTAAAAGTTTGTTCTATTGCCTATATATTTATACTCAATTTAGCAGAGTTTAGTGCTGAGTTTTAATTTTAATAACTTAATCTAATATTCAATGTAATGTGTATTAAGTAATCATTATTATTGTGGACATTATTCTAGGTAGTTTACCTAAATGTGCATGCAGCTTTAGAACAACAAAGAGTAGCTGCAGAGCAAGAGAATACAAGAGGACCTGTCACGATGGTTGTTGGGCCAGGAGATGTGGGGAAGTCCACCTTAACCAAAATTCTTCTCAATTATGCAGTAAGAATGGGCAGAAGACCTATATTTGTTGATTTAGATGTTGGACAAGGGCATATAAGTGTACCTGGGACTATTGGTAATTTTTATTTTTTATATAGATTATAATTGTTGAGTTGATGGCATTCATTATTCAAAGTTTTAATTTGAGTCTTAATTTTATATAAATTTATGCTAAGTTATGACATATATATCATAATAAAATATTAATTATTTCTTATTTGAAATTGCTGTCCTCTGTTTTTTGGTTTTTTCTTCTATTTAACTTAATTTTTAATTTTATTTTTAAATTGTTTTCAATATATATGTATATACAATGTTTAAATTACATACAAACCCATTTTTTTTTAATTATTCTAGGTGCATTATTAGTTGAAAGACCTGCATCTATAGAGGAAGGTTTTAGTCAACAAGCACCATTGGTGTACCATTTTGGACACAAGTCCCCTGGAGATAATCTTGAATTATACAACACAATAGTGTCCAGGCTAGCAGAGGTTGTTGCTGAAAGGTGTGAAAATAATAAAAAAGGTAATAAGTAATAATAATTCTTTTTGTGATGTAACCTTAAACTTTATTAAAAAAAATAGTACTTTAGTTCTTTATTCACAGAAGAATAACACTAACATATTATTTAAAATAATTGCAAGCAAGTTTCAGTTTAGCAAGAATTTATTTGTTACAGTCATTATTACTATAATTGTTTTCTCATTTTAAAATTTGATGTTAAAAGAAAAATTAAGTGGAATTTTCCATTTAAGCAGTTTTCATTAAAATACAATATGGACTTTTTTAAATATATTTTCCAGCGTCAACATCAGGTGTAATAATCAATACTTGTGGTTGGATTAAGGGAGCTGGGTACAAAGTACTGACACACGCTGCTCAGGCGTTCGAAGTTAGTACATTTACAAACTAACTAAATAATATTTTCTATTTTCAACAGAAAAATGTACACATTTCTCAAATACAGCTGTAGATTACTTTCCTTCTTTATAAAGTACTATAAAACCCATTTATCTATACATATAATAAAATTCTAACCAAGTCAAATCTGTACATTCAATGTTTTTTTGGAAATTCTCATTTTGGACATTCTCATTTAAAGTAATTATTATCGATGCAGACCGAATCTATAGTTTTTAGAATTTCTGTCTGTCTGCGAACGCATCATGAGAAAACCACTGGATAGATTTTGATAAAATTTGGTATGATGATAGCTGGTTATCTGGATGAACATATAGAATACTTTTTACTGCGAGAAAATATCTCATCTCTGAGAAATCTATACTAAACGTTAAAACGTAACTAGGGACGAATCCAAGGGTGAGGAGTCTCTACTTTTAAATATAGTACAATAACCATATTACAGTTCAAATCAAATAAAATTTGAAAGTTCAATTGAATTTCATGTCTAGAATATATTATAAGCAGTTTTTTTTCTATACTAAACAAATGACTTACCAGACTATTGTTTTTTGTGGATTTTAAGTACTTTTTTAATAGAAACTAAACAGAAAGAATTATTTATAACTTTAAAGGAATGTGTAACCTGAAGTATTGTGATTGAATTATTTTTTTTTTTGTTCAAAAAAGCAATATATTTGTTTTTTAATTTAGATTAGGGTTTGAGAATTATTTTCTTATTTTGTAGGTCGATGTGATATTAGTATTAGATAACGAGAGGTTATACAATGAGTTGAAGAGGGATATGCCAAAGTTCGTCAAAGTTGTGTATTTGCCTAAAAGTGGAGGGGTAAGTGTACCAATGAAAATTTGTGTTTATTTATTAGGTTTTATTGGTTCAATAAATATGTATATGTATATAAACATATACCCTAAAGGGTCTATTTAAAATTACATACAAACATTATATAGGTGGGTAGATGTGGGTGGAGCTGCAGGCAAACACAAGGAATCTTGTTATTTTTAAAGCGTTTTTGCTGCTTAATGAGAGCCTTAAAGTAACTAACGCAAAATTCTTGCTAAATAAATATGAAATTGTACATATATTTTAGGGCTATAAAACTCTTTTTTTTAAAATTAAATATGAAGATAAACAATTAAGGATTTATTACAATAAAATATATATACTTTTTGATAAAGGTTGTGGAACGCTCATCTACACAGCGAGCAGAAGCCCGAGACGCGCGCATACGAGAATATTTCTATGGGAAACGCACACCTTACTACCCACACTCGTTTGATGTCAAGTTTTCGGATTTAAAAATATACAAGGTAAGCTATATATTATGGAATTATATTTATTTTTTATATTATTTCTATGAGGATTTGAGAGGTGGACCGTCGGAGAATTTTGAATTAAAATCATTTTGATAATTTCTTTTTCACATTGGAGTATTATTTAACAAGTGTTAAATTAAGTGGTTTTAAAATGTAATACTCATCATTTGGAATGTAGTTAAACTAGCAAGTATAGGTATTCCTCTAAAGATGAACTTATGTAATTGGTATATAAAAACATAAATTAAAAACGAAATTTAATTTCTTAATTGCAATTACATATTACTTTTTCAATATACTGTATAAGTGACTTTATAAGAGCTACTCACGTATTTATCGACATAACTATAAAAAAAAAGCAGTCGTGAGGACTGCTGGCACAAGTAAAAACTTGAAACTATAATGAAGCAGTTGCTATTTTTGGATAGTCAAATTGTTTGATCTTAAATTAAAATCTGTAAATTGAAACTGTTTACATTTATCTGGTTTTGACATCTATCGGCACTCCGAGTGTTAGCTTTAACACGTCACGTGATCATGGCGATGGCGACTTACATAAATTTACTCCCCATCCAAACCTGCCTATAGAAGTTTTCACTTAAAAAACATATAATTTTCCTAAAACAGGAAAAAATTACTTGCTTAAAAGGGGACATCAACCAAAAACTATCAAAACTATAATCTCTTTGCGCAAATAAAATATGTTTATTTTATTTATTTATATGTGTGTGTGCGCGAGCAGGTGGGCGCGCCGTCGCTGCCCGACTCGTGCATGCCGCTGGGCATGCGCGCGGCGGACGCGCTCACCAAGCTGGTGGGCGTGTGGGCCACGCCCGCGCTGGCGCACCGCCTGCTGGCCGTCTCCTTCGCGGCCGCCGCCGACGACCACGTGCTGCACTGCAACCTCGCCGGCTTCGTCTGCGTGTACGTACACACCACACTGACACGACACATACACATACACGCACGCACACACACACACTCATAACTATGCACATACCTACTTATATTAGGGTGCTTCCATCAAATGGCAAATTTCACTTTTTTTTCAATTATACTTTTTTATTATTATTATTTATTGCATTTAATCAAGAAATTTCAGAAGGTATAATTGCTACATACTTGAAATTTAGCAGGTAGATTTCTCTTTAGATTTAGGGGTTAGTCAGTTAGTACCCACTAAGAAACCCACAATTAAAAATCGGTTATTTTTAAAGTTAACAGTGCCCAAAAATTGCAAAATTAAATTTTCATTTTTAGTCCAAAAAAAAAGTCCCTCGAAAAACTTGGGGGTTCTTCTATGCATATGGATACTAGGGATGAATATCTTCTAGGGATACATGACAAAACATACAATCAGCAGGATAACGCTAATTCTATAAATTATAATCAAAAAAACTTAATTTTTAACATATTACAAATAAAAGTTTAGATTTTTTTTTAATTTTGATAAGTTTAAGATTTTTTTGTTAGATAAATAAATATAGTCTAATTTTGATGTTTATTCCAGGACTGCAGTCGACATGGAGCGACAGACCCTCACCATCCTGTCTCCACAGCCGAGGCCGCTGCCTAACACAGTGCTACTGCTGTCCGAGCTGCAGTACATGGACAATCATTAGCATTATAAGTTTTAGTGATTTGGTCGAAGTAACTGTCTAATGTCTTACAAAATATTACTTTGAAGTTTTGTACTAAAAATTCGTTTCCTATTCCAATTGTTTAGTTATGTACAGACCTTCCAAGATATCTTGTTGTGTCAAAGACTTGTTTGATATTGTACTACGCAACGTTGGCGAATTTAATTGTGCCCAACTGGCACTCCTCGACACCACGAAACAAAAGAATTGAATTGATATAAATATTTTCTTTGTCATCTCCACAATCTATCTTGAAAAAACATTGCCTACAACAATGCCTTCTCACTCACCATTTTTTAAATGTTATGCAATACTAAATAGTATAGGTAGCTTTGTGGTCAATTTTATCCAGATTTAAAAAAGATTCTGTATGGCCAATACAAAAATTCACCTTGATGAGAATCGAACCCATAACTCCCATGTTGCATATTCTCTAAGATTGCTCAAATAAAATTTGTTACTAGCACCATTTTCACTAAAAAAATTGTTTTTAATACTTCTTAAGTATTTATTGTTCAAATAACTGTGACGGTATCATGCAAAAAGCGTAATACGATTTAAAATAATGTTAAAGAATATTTTGATATGCATTTATGTGGTATGCGTATGTACCTTTTAGCATAATACCGTCCATGTAGTATAATGAATATAGAATAAGGTATACAAAAGTTTAGTAAATAAAATTGTTATATTTTAAACACTTTTTTTATTTCGAATAATCCGACTAGAAAAATAATAATTCATTTTGATCATTTTTAATATAATCGTATAATTTAATTGCTAAAGCAAATCTTATGCCACTTTCAAGTGGCATAAGATTTGCTTAAGCAATTAAAAAAATGCCTGGATGACGATGGAATATGCTGTGTGCCTGGAAGCATAATTTTTAAATATATTGTGTAGTAACATAAGAACAACAATAAAATAAAGAAACGTGCTTCTTTATGCGCTCCATATAAAAATAATTGAAATGTCAATGAAAATGTCTCATTTTGAACGAAAATCCCGGTTAGACCAAAGTTTGGTGTCTCACAAGTAGTATTCATTGTAGATTTTTTTCTCTTATAAATATACTAGCATTGCCCGCGGCTCCGCCCGCGTTCATGACCAAAAATGCAAATTCTAAGGTTTTACATATTAGTATACTCTTACAATGCAATTTTTGTATTTTTTCTTAGAAAATAGATATTTTCCAGCGGTAAAAAGTATCCTATATGTTGACCCGGATAACCAGCTATCATCATACCAAATTTCGTCAAAATCTGTCTAGCGGTTTTCTCGTGATGCAGTAACAGACAGACAAAATTCTAAAAACTATAGATTCGGACTCTGTATCGATAATAATGTCTATTTCAATTAGATTTTCCCAAAAATTATTACAGATTCGACTTAGTTGCAATTTTATTATATGTATGGATTATCATATCAGGCACATAGTCTACTTTCAGAATATGTAAAGAGAAGATCAAATCATATGACATAATTTTTTCGTTACTTATGGAGGGGAAAAGGAGGGGGGGGGGGATAAGGACACCCTTTCTTTATTGCACAGAGTAAGTAATGTCAAAAGAACATTCTATTAAGGAATAAAATATGTCAAAAATAACACTTAGATTTCTTATCAAAGAGGCCGACTGATAAGTTTGAGGAACACAATAAAATGGGTTATAAACTTATAATTAAAATAATACTAAAAAGTCCAGATGAGACTTGACTTGCAACAGAATTAAAATTAATGTAAAAAACATTGTTCCAATATATAATTGGCTGTAATTTTAATAATAAATAATAATTATTAAATTACATTAAAAAAGAAATTTAATAAAAATCATAAAATAATAGCATATAATCAAGAATGTAGGCTATCTCCTTTCTAAATTAAACACAAATCCGTTGAGCTGTTATTGTGCTAAAATCTAACAAAGGCATTCACAAAAAAGTAGTATTTATCATATTAGTATTATATAGCATGATATAAAAACACATTGTTATAGTCAACTCGCTCAATTAGTGTCTGTACATTTAGTAAAAAGAATTTAATATATTGAATTTAATTAATATATTTTGCACTGGCGACATTAATTTAGCGAATAGATTATACTTTCTCTTCATAATGCAATAAATATAGGCACAGCGGCAGCTCCCTATTATAGTCTAAATTCTACATAGTATTTAATGTGGCAGTATATACTGACTCTCTTTAAATCATTATCGATATTAATTATATCAATAAGATGCAAATTTGCTTGTAAAGGTAAGGTTAAAGGAGATAGAACCTTCACCTTCCTCATCGTCTCATTTTTTTTCTAAACTGGCGGCGCAAAGACGATAAAAAAAGCCATAAGAAAATCATGACAACCATTAAAAATGGACTAAGTTATTCATAAAATTGTTGCCATAGTTCCTATTTACATGATATTTAAGCGACTTACGCTTCAAAACACCTGAAACGGGCACCTCAGGGACCGTCCATTAATCACGTGAGGGGGAGCTCGAAAGGAGGAGGAGGGGGTTTGGAAAAATCACGAAACATCACTAGAGGGGAGGGGGGATGTATTGAGATATCACGTGTATTTATTTTGTCGTTGAACTTCGTCGTTCGTTGTTTTTCGTTGAATTCATAAGCCTGGAGAAGTTCTCATAGAAGTGCGGAATAATATGGTTATCGACGGCCATGACGCCGTAGCAGAGTATGTCAAGCCCGATGGCAGTGCTGGAAACTTTATTCCAGATCTGCTTTCTCCGCAGTGGTATAGCGATTAAATTAGATTATACCTTTATTTAAAGTAATATCCTGATTTTTTAAAAAATACTTTGCACCAAAAATGTACAAGGGATTGATAGAGGAGGTTAGTCTAAAAACTCACTACGGGGGGAGGGAGATTTAAAAAATTGTTAAAAAACATCACGTGATTAATGTACGGCATAGCTACGATCACATAGCTATAGTTTAGCAATATTTTAAATTATTTAATTTCAAGTATCCTCTATCTGAAAATATCGATTACATCATACGCCGATACTTTGAATAATATCAAAACGGCGGTGTATTGCTAATGTCAGTGTTTTTTAATTGAAAATATCTATATATAAACTCCTTTTAATGTCTCAAAAATTCGTATAAGCTACCGCGCCTACTCGTGCTCGGCGGCGCGGCGCGCAGGGCCGGGCGCGGGGGAGGCGCGCCGCAGCTGCGCCTGCGCGTACTTGATGGCGACGCGCATGGCATCCTGCACCAGCTGCTCGCACGTGATCAGGCTCACCTGCGGACGGTGTTGTCATAATAATAAAGATGTTGGGACAATTAACACACAACACCGTCTAGTTCTATGGTAAGCTACGAGGCTTGTGTTATGGATACCAGATAGTTGATACACTACACATATATATATCTTTAAATACATACATATTAAAAATATAAATACCCATGACTGGAGTACAAACATTCGTGCTAATCACATAAGTGTATACCCCCAGCGGGACTCGAACCCGCGACCGCCGGCACAATAAGTAGTCACTAAAAACTGAGCCAAACATGTCTTTAATTGTTATGTGCTACACTCATTTCTGCATAGAGTTTCATACGTATGTTTCCTAACCGACTTTAAGAAGAGGTATTTAAAAAAGTTGTATATGTGTGTGTGTATGTAAGTTACATGATATCTTAATTAATTGTAAAACTGTTAAGGTGGAATAATTGGCAAAGACAAAAATCACGCTAAAATAAAATTCATACATAATTAATCTAGATTGTCAACTAAGTGTACTTATAATCTATACTAATATTATAAAGAGGTAAAGTTTGTGACGTTGTAGGCGGTAATCTCTGAATCTATTGAACCGATTTAGATGAAATTTGGTAAGGAGATTGTTTGAGACCCTGGGAAGGACATAGGATTCTTGTTATTCCGGAAATCATCCCTTATGATGATTGGGGTGAAAATGAGGATGAACGTTTGTATGGGGAATCAACCTAGGGACGAACCTGAACGAAGCGAGGTCGAGTAGCTAGTAATAATAATAATTTTAATTCAAGATATTACATCCATATTTGTTAGTTAGAAAACAATTTAGCCGTAATTGCTAAAAAGTAGATTAGTAGATTAAATTATTAACAAATTACTTTATTTTTTTTATATTGAATTCATTACAATTAATATCCTAAATAAAAAAAAAAAACAAATTATTCAATACATTTTAATTAATTTAATTAATGTAATAAACCTTAAAAAAATAATTTATATACTTCATCAGGTTCTAGGAATACATATGCATGTTGATACAATTCTTATTTTGTTATGTGTATTACAAAATAGCTGGAAAGATTGGAAAGATTTGAATGAAATTTAATAGACTAATATTATGACCTAGCCTAAACTAATTAGATTATTATTAGGTATGTCGAGGGATGCACACGAGCAGAGCAAGAGCAAGCCGTTAGTGAAATATAAAGCATACCTTCGTGGAGCTCATTTCAGCGCGTGTGAGCAGGGATTGTTCGCTCGCGGGCAAAATGTGCGCCTTGAATATCGGCAGCACGCAGGACAGCCATTTTTCCGCTGTGAACGTTGGTGTTACCATTTCCTGAACACATATATTGTTGTTACTATATCATTACAGTTGTACCTTATACTTTTTTTTTAGATTTATGCGTTGACATTTTAAATAAAACTATCTTTTCGGATTTATGTTGAGATTTTGTCTATGGAGAGATGCTGTATGATGCCATTATTTCTGTAAAGCGAGATATCGGGAACAAAAAAAAAACAAAAACCAACTTCAAAAAAACACTAAAAAATAACTGATTGGTAGTTTTCATTTACTATAGATAGGTACCTAATCAGATATTTTCGAAGTTAGTGTACTTTGATTTGTATTTATTTATTTTTTGCAATTTTTAGTGTACACATACTAAGACGCAAAAAAAAAGTATTTTAAAAATTCATTTGGTGAAAAATCAATTATCCTCTATTTTCTACACTTAGAGATGGATTTCTTCTTTAAATTTAAATAGGGCCATTTCGGAATAAGCCCCGCCCCTTTCGAACAAAAAAAAATTTTGCAAATTTTTCTATACTATATAACGGAGTTATGCCCAAACATATATACATAAAAATAATAAAAACATCCGAATTGAGAACCTCCTTCTTTTTTGAAGTCGGCCAATAAATCCGCAAAAACATACTAAAAGATAATCTTTAAAATTAAAAAAAATGTATTTGTGTCGGCAAAAAAGGTAAGGTTGCGCGACAACTTCTATACATTCGAAAACTTGAACGAGACGTATAGTAGTATTAGTTGTAGCGAATCCTGCCCACTTCTACAAATAACAACAAATTACTTGCGGCACATGCGCTGCGGCAACCACGACGCCGCCGGCGCAGCCCAGCAGCATGGCGGGGCGCGCGGGGGCAGGCGGGCTCGCCACGCAGCGCCGCGCCGCCGCCGCAGACAGCAGGTACGACACGCGCAGGAAGTGCACCGTGAATAGCCGGCCTTCAGCCGCCGCCGCCGCGCACGCCTCCTGTATCTCCGACTCAGCTATTGATCTGTTTCGCACCAAATAGAATAAAATTTTATTTAAACGGGATTCTTGTGACAGGGTTGGTCAGTTTTCGTCTTGTCAATATGCATTTTTGTTTTAGTACCAAAACTAAAATATTTTCATAATTATCTTTATACAACAGATTTACATAAATGGAAATTTGATTAAGGAAGGTGATTAAGAGTGAGTAAAGGAACTTCTTAAGATCAAATATTTCATACATAAAAAAGTCAGGTTTAAAGTGTGTCGTCCCACCAACGAGTGGAGGGAATGATAATAACAACAAAAAGGAAAGTGGTAGGGAATATGCGTGTAATTTATAATAATAATAATATTCTTTATTGTACACCAAAAAGAAATATATAAAACAACACAAAGAAAAGATGAAGGTTTAAATAAAGGTGTTTTTTTAATAACTTTTATTACTTTTGAATTAAGCCTATAACAATATTTTTAAATGTAATTTCTTTTTGATTAAGAAAATAATTATTAAAAAGTGCAAATATAGGTGAGAGATTTAAAATAGTTGAAACGAACGCCATTGGTAAGACCGAATATGACGTCAGAATATATAAGAACAGAGCGATTAGTGACTACAAATTGAGTCGTTATTTTTCTGTGTATATATTCATACTGTGACACCACGCCGAGCGCGCGAAATGGCGTTTAAAGTATCCGTATCGGTATGATATTAAAAAGAAAATAATACCAAATTTTAGTTTTTTGGAGTTGAACATTTTTTTACAGAACTTATAGGATGATGTAAGTTATAATATAAAAAAATAAAAGACAATTACGCATATTTCCTATTAAGGACTATTTTAAACCTTCCTTTAAAACTTCCGAAAGTCATAATTAACTCAAATAAAAAAAATTGCTACTTACTGCAGCACAACATCATTCTTGTCAGTAGCTCTCTTCAGCAACGTGTCCAGCAGCTGCAGACAGTGCGCGTGGTCGCCGCAGGGCGCGCCGCCCGCCCAGCCGCACAGCCGCGACAGCTCGCCCCTGATGACGGACACTTCCTCTCTGATCCTGTCAGCGTCTGCCAGATCCGCTACTTCTGACAGCTTCTGCGCTCGGCAGAACAGCTCGCGTGCCTGTGAGATATGGGCGCATTGGGTTTTTTGGGTGGTAATTTTTGGTTCTTTTTCAGAAATGCTTTATCAAAGAATTTTTATTTATGCTATACATTATCTAAATTCGTCAAATTATTCTGTGTAAGGGAGTTATTTGTACTTCTTTTTCATCTTTAAGGCTAAGATTTGATAAAAAAACATGCCTATACATAGATATGTAGTGTACGAAATAAAAATAAATAGAATGAATGACGTATGAACAAAAAATATTGTTTGTCTAAAAAAATATAACAATTAATTATAAAAACCACCTTTATTTTATGTAAATAACATGAATGAAACGAATGATATAAATAAATAAAAAGAATGAAGGAAATGAAATAAATATAATTTGTGGTATATAACAATTCTCTCATTGCATTAATAGTAAAGTAAGTAAGCTACATAATATATTGTTTATTACACGTTAAAAAAGTCAAATAACATCTAAATATAATCTATGTATATATAATAAAATTGTAACTAAGGCGAATCTATACATTGAATATTTTTTTTGAAATTCTTATTGAAATAAACATTATTATCGATGCAGAGGCCGAATCTATAGGTTTTAGAATTTTTGTCTGTCTGTCTGTCTGTAACCGCATCACAGAAAAACCACTGGAGTGATTTTGATGAAATTTGGTATGATGATAGCTGGTTACCCGGGTCATCATATAGGATACTTTTTACCGGGAAAATATCTCATTACTGAAAAAAAATACGAAAACTGCAATGTAAGAGTTTACTAATATGTAAAAGCTAAGAATTTGGTTTTTTGGTCATCTGAATGCGGGCGGAGCCGCGGGTAAAGCTAGTTTATTATAAATGTGAAAGTTTGTATTTTTCAGGATGAAATTTGGCACAGAGATAGATTATTTTTATCCCGGAAAATGTACCGTTCTCGTGGGATAGATTTGTTTTTGTTTTTCTAGCGTTATCATTATATTATAGTGAAGAGGATCGCACCTGCACGGCGCCGGGCCCGGCCAGCGCGTGCAGCGCGGGCGCGTGGCCGCCGCCGCCGCGCAGCGCCACCGCGCACGCATCGCGCAGCGCCGCGCCCGCCGCCACGTGCGTGCCGCAGCACAGCTCCCTGCGCGCGCCACACTCACATACAGTCTAACTCATTATTCTCAAATAATTACAAATACATGAATATATATTTAAAAAAATAATTTATTAAATGTTCATTTTTACCAAATCTTAAAATTATAAAAAATAGAAAAATCTTTAAAAAGTGTTAGTTTTTCACTAATATAAATTATATTAACGCAAGAGGAGAGCAAAGACCTTTCATTAATTGAACCGGAAATTTGAATACCAGAAAACAAATATTTATAAATTATAATCGTAATAAAAATACTCTCCTGTCTGATTTTAGCCACCAAATACAGCAGTCAGAACTCAAACTCTTATTCAGCACGGCTTAAACGCAACCGTCTTCCCAACTCCAACTGAATATTTCTAAACATAAGATCGACTATTTTCACCCATATCGGAACTCGAACCCAGAACCTGCAGCCGCACATGCTAGCCACTAAACCAAACGATGAATACTTACTTGGATACCAGTGGAGGCGAAGAGGAGACGAGTCTTAGACCAGTTTCTGGATATGTCTCACCAGGGACGGTCACCACGTCTTCTTCCATCGATAGTTGCGTACTGTCCAACACTCGCGTTTGTATCGAGACGTTCGCTTTGATACTTTCCCTGGATATCATAGAAAATAGGTATTTTTTGGTTTTCAGCTATTATTATTATTAACGGGGTTAAACGTAAGGTTATTTTGGTATAAGATATTAGATACCTTATATTATATACGTATAATATGGCCCTCATAATATGGGCCGCATAATATTGATTTATTGGATTTTTTCAAAGAAATAAATTTTTGGTTTGGAGAGGCGGAACGTGAAATGAACACACAGACGGACAAACAAGCATTTTGGTACATATTTTATACAGAAATAACTATTTTACTATATCGATGATCATAATCTTGAAAGATTATAAAAATACGCTTTTTACAAACGTTATTCTTACATATCTATATCTATATATATATATATATATATATATAATAAAAACCAACCCAATGAACCAACAATAAAAAAAAATACTAGTAAACATTGAATTCATTAAAAAAACCCACCTGACTAATTCTTGAGCTTGTAAAATCACCTTCTGAGACAATTTTTCGCCGTAAACCGACAAATTTAAAGAGAACCCTTTTTCTGTTACGCTAGATCCAACTTGGCATATCACACTATTAGGCAAAACTCTCCTCAGTGCAGCATTCAACAAATGTAAAGCTGTGTGATTTATCATAATATTCAGCCTTTTGTCACTATTTATTTCTAAACTAACACTATTGCCGTTTCTAACGTACACATCACTATCTGTCACTTTCAATATAAATTGTCCTTTATGAAAAACTATGTCACGAATTTTAAAAACGTTATCCACTTTAAATTTTATATTTTCATTAAACATTATATGACCATCGTCAGCTATTTGACCACCCTCTTCACAGTAGAAATTTGTGCTCTCTGTTACTATGTAATAAGGCTTATTTTCGGATGGCTCTGAAAAGTCTATCCATTCGCCATCGTCACTCAATATGGCTACCACTTTACTTTTCAAAGGTTTGAAGGTAATTTGGTTATTTGTTTCCATAAAATTGTACTTGGGTTGATCGTCAGTGACTGTGACGCCATTTTGGTGTAAAGTTTCGATAGCTTTATCAAACATAATGCCTTTATTTGAAGACTGTTCTTTAAAAGCAGTTTTATGTCTGGATTTATGGTTTGATAGAAGTTTCCAGAAGCTTTTTTTGTCTATTTCTAGATTATTTAACTTTGCTATCCTTTCAATGACGTCGTCTTGGAGACCGTGAGTGTCATATAGTTTGAACACTAATTCGCCGGGTACGACAGTGGAGTTCACTTTGGACATTGTCTGAAAAGAAAATGTTACAGCGATTGGATTTTTATAGTCTAGCAGTTCTATTTAATTTTTACAATGCATTTTGTTATTAGTCATCTAATTTGCACTTTTCAAATATTAAGGTAATTTACATTCAAAACACTATCATATTCAGTAAACTAGATCAAATACATGCACTGAACTACCTTAGACCTTTCCGGATTATTAGCCAAAATGACTTGAGTAATTTTGAACGTATACGCCGAAATTCATATGAGAAGCTTCTATACTTTATAAAATTAATATTTTTATACAAAAAAAAAACGCATTTCAGCCTTTTAAATTTAAATCCAATATAAATGGATGAAATGAAACGAAATTGTCCATTCAATCTTACCTCCTTAAATTCCTTATAGCCTAAAGCAAACCCTGCGCTTTCGATGTCACTCATCGCTTCTACCTCAGGGTACATTTTAACCAGCTCTTTCCATTTTTTGGCCATATTTGATCTTAACTTAGCATAATTATCTCTTTCATAGTCGATAATCAACTTTGCGTCTTTCTCTCTGGCAACGATTTCAGGATACGTTTCTCCAAGTGTTGCCATCACTTCATTGTATAGAAGGTTTAAAAGATTAGGATTTTGGAAGACATCTGTGCTTATTTTGAACGATTTGCGCATCACTTGTTTTAAATTAAGGCTGCAAATAGAAACATATAAAATATTTTAATACCTTATTTCATTTTAGCAGCAAAAATTACTAAATAAAGTGGAGTTAGTGCTAAGATTCCGGTTTCACGCTACGAAAATAAAATACTTAAAAAACAACATAAAAATGTAAATAAATACCACAAAGTTTTAAAATAAGTTACGATTGTGTGACACAAATTTACCTGTAGCAATACATTAGTTAGTATTGCTATATTATTATTATTTTTTGTATTTTTTTTTTGAAAACCATCAATATTTGCACATACCTAGAGGAAGGGAAGGCTCTATCAGCGAGGCACACGGCGACCATGCGCGCGTGGTCCGCCAGCCGCCGGTACGCACGGTCGCGGCGCGCGTCGGCGCCGTAGCGAGAGCTGTACGGTGGTACATGTTTGCTATTCTTTGTATATGAAATAGATAGATACATTATTCATTAACTATTAATGTTCGAATATTTCGAATTCTGGTTCGGTGGATACATTTTTCATTGTTACTTTTACGTATAAAATGAGTTTAAAATGTAATTAATTCACCGTTATGGGTACAATGTTTTATTAAAAATAATATAGAACACCATTGAGGTATAAGCCATTTATTGAAAAAACCAAAAAAGTTTTAAAAATTACGGGAGATGTCGCATAAAATATAAGAAAAACATATGTCATCAATAATGACGAAACTGATACGATTTATTATACATATAAGTAGATTTGATATTATCAACAAATTAAATTAAGCATTCCAAACGTGGGAAGCAAAAATCAAAATAAATCCGCGAAAAAATCCGAACAGATCGTTTTTTTAATTATAAATATTTCCTTACCTTTTCAATAGCAGCAATGATAGGTCGGAACAGGTCGGTGTCATAGTTGGAGCGTACGCCCTGCAGCAGCGCCGCCATGCGCTCCAAGCCCATGCCAGTATCTACGTGGTGTCGCCTCAAACTCGTCACGGAACCGTCTGATTCTCTGAAAAAAATGACATACATTTTATAAACTAGCGACTTACGTCGTCCGATGAACAGTAGCTTTATGCCTAAATGTATATTAAATTTCATCAAAATCCGTCCAGTCGTTTTAACGTGAAAGGGAAACAAACACACAAACACGAACTCACGAATCATTGGAAAGTATGTAGATGAGTACTGAGTATGCTTGGTATTGCTTCAACCTGTAACTATTTAATACTTATAGTTACAAGATAGAAGTATCACCTACTATGCGAGCGGATTTTCTAGCAAAGATAAAATATAAAGCATAAGAAAAAAATATGTTCTGATTCACTGGACTACAGGACAAGATTGGATACAGATCTCTGTGTACTGTTGTATTTATCGATCTGTTGTGTGTACAGAACCCTATGTGCCAGAAAGTTTGGTTCAAATTAGTTGGCAAAGTCCAATTACCTAGATGCAGATTTGGATAATAATAAAAAAATAATGAAATACAACTATTTGTACAAAGTAATGATATTGGAACACTTTAAAAGTCAAAACTCTCATTAATTATTATTTATTTAGTTCTTAAATAGTACAAACACATAGTTACAAACATACACACCCACCTACATAATTTTGCATTAGTAATAATTAATAGTATAGTATTAATATTAGTAGTATAGTAATTTTCAGTGGGGTGATAAATTTTGCAGTCATGTATGTTATCTTTACCTATTGCACTGAATAAACACCAGGTTCCATATCTCCGTAAGTGTGCCATCAGGGTGAATGTAATGAATCTCTGTACACGGACCACATGGTCCTGTGAGGCCCATCTCCCAAAAATTATCCCTTGCACCATGAGCTTTTAATTGGCTTGAAGGTACACTGAAAATTAAAAAAAAAGAACAATTGTAAATAAGATTAGCAAAGAAAAGGGTTTCTCTGTGTAGGTGTTCACTTTGTTGTGGAAAAAGGATTTAGTAGGGCTTGGAAATCTAGCCAAAGTTTATAAGGGCTCTAGAATAAAGTCTGTCTGGGTGGGCATCGAAAAGTGTAACACGGATTGCTCCTGATAACTTTCTGATAGCAGTGTGAAAGACAACTATGGTTGTTGTGGAAATTATTACTCTAAGCTGGGCGAGACAAGAGGATGCATTGGCAACTGGCTTTAATGCCAGGGAAAAAGTCTGCAGATGATTAATGTGACATTCATACAACAGCACCCTATTATGATGGGAAAATTGACTTGAATTTTAGTGGGTAGTTCATGGCATGGTTTTTCTAGCTATTGTGTCAGCATATTCATCAATAAATATATTGTATCAAGTAAATTCAAAATATATTATTTTTTTCATTAACAAAAAATTACCCAAAATGAGTGAGATGACAAGAGGTGACAATTATAATACAAACATATTATGTATTACCTAAATAAAAAAGTATTTAAGACACTTTAAAATTGTTATTTTTTTCACATAGTACTTATTTACTTAGGTGTAGTATTTACCCAATCTGTTTCCAAATATCCCTGCATTCTCTATCTTCCTGCAGTCCAATAACAGCATCCCCAGCAAAATATGTCACCAATAAATTTTCAGGCTTAAGACGATATGGACCAAGTAGAAGGTCCCATGCCATTTGACAAGCTTCTTTCTATGCAATAAAATTACATAAAAGCATTATAAGTTTGCCATTTGTGACTTTTATCAATTTACATGTTGTTGTGACAAAACAAAATATAATATAAATATTATGATAAGAAATTAAGTTATTGGTCGAATACCTTGTAATAATCTCCAAATGACCAATTGCCGAGCATTTCAAAAAATGTATGATGTGTGCCATCCATTCCAACTATGTCTAAGTCATTGTGCTTGCCACCCACACGAACACATTTTTGTGAGTTAACTGCACGAGAACATGGAGCTTCCACTATGCCTAAGAAAACACCTTTAAACTGAAAGTTAAAATAGAGATATGAATATTAATTCTAAATCTATATCATCATTAAAATATTTATGTTAAAAATAAAAGGATTATTTATGTATATACATGCTACATAGAATACAAAATATAAATAACAAGTTCGTTTATTTGAGACTTTATTTTGAAAGATCTTCTTTTAAAGCATGTAAATCTCATGTCTTGTTTGTCTATAAGAAAAAAGATATAAGAAACGTACTGTGAAAGTAGGTAGTTAGGGATACTTTATGGATTATATATACTTCTTTGTTTTCAATAGTTTACCTGATTCATGCCAGCATTCACAAAAGGTACTGTAGGATCACATAAAGGCACAACAGAACTGGATTTGATATATTTATGGTCATGATCATTTTTAAAGTAATTTATAAAAGTATTCCTTATATAACTGCTCGAAGAATTCATTCGTATTTGAGTCTTATTAGGAAGCGGTCCTCCTAAAACCGTTAGTCGAAACATATTTTCAGTTAAAATAATTTAATCGGCTACTTTAAAATGATAATCTTTTCTCTGTTCTTCCTTTCTCTGTTAATGTTTATTTCTATACCATTACGGATGGTTTTAAGACTTTGAAAAATTTTGCAAAACAAATATTTTGCACACTTTTTGAACTTTGGGTCTGTATTCTGTCATTGTCAATTTCTCAGACCCAGACTAAATAAAATTAAATATGTCAAGTGTCAAAGGGAAAGAAGTTTTCCTTTGGGAGTATGTATATACCTGTTTAATTTTTTCCAATGGGAAAGAATTTTGCTTTTTTCACCAGCCAGATGTCGCGATTACTATAGCCCTCAGTGTATTGTAAGGCTCTATAAAGTTGATGGATTTTTTTTCATTTTATTTAAAATTTAATTAAAATGACAACTTGTACAGTGCAAGAATGCAAAGAAAATGTTCCGAAAGAAAATATCATTTGTTCCCAAAGACAAAAACTGAAGAAATTGTGGGGTAAAGCAAAAAGACGACCAAAATTGGCGAAATCACAATCTCCATATTTAAGGCTATGTAGCCATTATTTAAAACTCTTAAATCATCTACAGATGAATATATATTGTTTATTTTTTGTCCTTTTTAAATATTAATTACAGAGTTTCATAAAAACGTTCAACGCCCATTTTGGGATTGAATTTCAAAAAATGCTAAAACATGTATTTATTTGATTGTATTAAAGAGCATCAATACCAAATTTCAAGTGATTCTGATCATATTTAATTCTAGCCCATATAAACTTTATTACTCCCTTTTAGCCTTTTAAGAGATGAATTTCGAAAAACCTCTTTCTATCGGATGCCTATATTAGATAAGAAATATGTCCATCAGTCAGTCAGGACCACCACAGGATGCACCTCTCCTTCTCAATTCTTCCTTCAGCTGGCCTCACTTTCATGTACAATACATTGCACAGGTAAGATGCGAACATAATAGAAGCAAAAAACCAGGTATAAAAGAGATATCACAATAAATTGCCTAACTTCAGACTGAATGTAAATAGGCCATACGAGTGGCGCCCTCCTTTCGAGAAATCTTCCTCATCACCTTAGAAAAAACCACTACCCCAGCCTGCAAATTTATGATATTTGCAATGAAAAAAATACTAATCGATAGATGAAAAAAAATTAATTTATCTGTATATTCAAACTACTATATCTTTTGATGTATACAATATTTCAAATTGCTCAAAGTTCTAAAACACTGCTCAAGCATGGAATATATAAAATCCTTGGAAAAAACATAAGCAATATTTATACTCTAAGGTTATCACAGATTAAGGATACTACGATCGCTTATGTAGTATGTACTACTATTTAAAAATTTAAAATATGGATGTATATATTTTATTAATTATTAAGAATTATAATCATTAAAAATAATTACGCATAGAAGATAATGAAAACTTAAATAACAGTCTATTATCACAAGTTTCATTAATATTATTTCTATCTGCTATTAAGCATGTGTGCATTCAATTTTAGCACTAGATTTTTTGTCTACACTGGCATGGCATTGACATTTGACAATTATCAAATTTTGTCGATTTGCTAAATAAATATTATTATTTAAAACATGTAATTACTAATTAATACCTACCGAAAGTACACGTGTATATTTGTAAGTGGCTACTGGCAATTGTGATAATAAATATAAATAGTAATCAAATTATGTTGGTAGGATTTATTGTTACAATTACAACACAATATAATTTCTTTTATAGGGACACGTAAGTGAAATCTTAAAGAATCCTATTCTCTAAATGTAAAAGAAAAATGAAAAATTTAAAATTATACATTTTGTGGTTGTGTGTGGTGATATCTACAGCTAAATTATTAGGACCTGAAGATCAAAAAAAAAGTGAAGACTCTTCTGAAGATGAAGACAGTACTTTAGGAAACTTAGTTATAGAAGGACAAGCTGATCCTGAGTATTATGCTGAACTTACTGAGGCTATAAATAAACAAATAAGATCTATGCAAGATCATGCAGATGCTATTAAGAAAACAACAGGTGTTCTTAAAGAAGAAGAAGAAAATAAAGGTAATTTATTTTAAATACATTTTCAGTTATAAATGTTTCTGAAGTTCTACAAGTTATTGCTATATCAACCAATTCTGTTCCATTTTGTTAAGTTTTTTACTCATTTGTATTTGTATTAGGAATTTATCTGAATTTTAATAGATTGTAAGATTAAATTTAAGAAATTTTTACATTCAATATTTTTAATTTTACCTCTCCGATTTTCATTATGGTTCCATACCTCAAAAGGTAAAAAAGGAATCCTTACTATGATCACTCTCTTGTCTATCTGTTCGTTTGTGTGTCACCACCGATTTTCTCAGGAACCGGTGGTGGATCTAGCAAGTTTAAATTTATACCAGATACTGAGGTCTATAGTCCCTATTAGGTGTATTAAAATCAAGGTCCTGAGTCAACACAGTAAAAAGATATGGCCAAATTTAGATTTTAGCGAAAACTTGTAAGTTCCAAAATTTACCTTTATTTTCAACTATTTTTATTTTTCTGAATTTTCCCTTTACTTGTGTTGTTAGACCTTGCTTTAACCAAAATTGATAATTCTAGGTCAACCGGAAGTACCCTATAAGTTTTGGGTCGAAAACCTACATGGTAGTTCCCGTTGACCTAGAATCATGAAATTTGCCAAAAAGTTGAAAATTAAAGTTAAACAGATTTCCTACAAATTTGTACTGAACCCTCGGTGGGCGACTCGCACTTGCCAAGAGTAAACATAATTTATAATATTTTTTAGAAACAACAGATCCCTTGCAAGCAGTTAATAACTTAGAACAAATGGAATATACTCTAAAGTTGTTAAGACAGAGTCTGCTAAGACATTCAGAGCCAAACTGGGTACATGATAGTAAAGGTTCAGACTTACAAGGAAATGACTATGAGGTAATTTGTATAGTTAACAAAATATTATCTTAATGTAAATATACTAAACTATGTTTATAATATACTAGCTTTTGCCAGTAGTTCTAATTGGACCTTAACCTAATAACCTTTTTATGTATATTTCTTTTGCACCTAAGAGTTATTATATATATATATATATATATATATATATATATATATATATATATATATAATATATATGAAATATTTTTTTTTTACAGAAAATAGATGAAAATCCTCAAGACATACTAGATACACTACCTCCATTACCTAAAGAGGAAGAAGTAGAACTGTCACCAGAAGTAAAAGAAGGTATTTACCATTATTTTACATCTCAAATTCTTTGTAACTTTAACTAATAAACTTAAAATATTTATCCCTTTTTTTGTAAATGAATTTCAACTTTATTCAATTGGTAAAAATTATTGCTTATTTAATTTGAGATAAGGAAGAGAAGTAGAGACGAGAGGAGATACCCAATACCTGTCTTTTATCCCAATTTGAATTTATAAATGCAATGTAAAAAAAATACAATATTATTAAAAATTATAATATTATAATGAAATGTAAAATGGTTAGTTATTTTGTCTCTGTCGTGCCTTTAATCTGGCTTCATTAATCGTATTCCAATTACATAATCCAAAGTTCTGGCCGCAGAATTATTTTGTCTCTGTCGTGCATTTCCACCATTTGCAAAGAAACACTCAGTTCACTCTTTATGTCTATGACCAAGACCTAGAGTTTAGTGTAGATATTTTTTCTGGTCAAGTTTTTAGCTAAAGTATAAAAATATTTTGCTTGTTGAATTTAAAAAAGTTATAATGACACAAATGTTATAGTAAATTAATAACATATTTTAGCAGTTATAATTCCTTATAATAGCCCTCATTATTTTTACTTTTAATAATAAGTTATTAAATCTTCCTTTCTACTCTAACCTATTTATCTCTATATTACAATAAATACATAAATATTTCAGCAAAAGAAATATATGATGCTGCAATAGCAAAGCTTAACCGTAGATCACCTGATCTTCGCGGTGCAATTTTACAAGTGAAATATGCAGCTGATAGAGGATATTTGCCCGCCAAGAATAAATTGGCCTGGTCTTACATATATGGCGAGGGTGTCGAGTTGGATGTGGAAAAGGCGAAGAAAATATTTGAGGAGTTAGCTGAAGAGGGCAATGCCGATGCTCATGCTGTAAGTAACTTATTTTACATAAAAATCTCTAAAAAAAAATGTATATAACTAGGTGATTGAAATAATGCTTACAAATTATATAATGGTATTAGTAATTAGTAAGATAACATATTGAGAAATAATGCTTACAAATTATATAATGGTATTAGTAATTAGTAAGATAACATATTGAGAAAGTCGGTAATTTATAAAAATCGCTCATACAGTTACAGTTAGGCAAAATCATGCTACTGCTGGGCAAAGGCCTCCCCACTATGTTTGCAAGTTTTGCAGACTTTCGCATTGATTTGTTAAATCAATCATAATACTATAATAAAAAATGTTTGGTCACTTTCTAGCTCTATTATAATTATATACCACTAGCGATTCACTCGTCCCTCGTCGTCACGGAGTTCGTCCCTAGGTACGTTTTAAAAGTTAATATGGATATCTCATGGTAACTGATATAAAAAGTAACCTATGTGCTATTCCAGACTATAATCTATCTCTGCGCCAAATTTCATCCAGATCCGTTCAGCCATTCTGGCGTGATTGAGTAACAAACATCCATCCATCCAAACTTTCATAATTACAATATTAATTATTGGGTTTTCCAGGGGATGGGCTTCCTCTACGCCACAGGTATAGGGGTCCCTGTATCGCAAGCGAAAGCATTAGTACACTACACGATGGGTGCCCTTGGTGACAGTGACTATGCACAAATGGCGCTCGCATACCGGCACTGGGCCGGTGTGACGCTGCCCAGCTCCTGTCCAAAAGCAATGGACTTGTATATGAAGGTTGCTCATAAAGGTAAGTTTATGGAAAACAACAAACAGAATCTGTGATTTTTACTGTTAAGTAAAATACTTTTTAATTAAGATATAATTAAATCAAAAGTTAATCATATATAATGTAAATAGCATTGCATCGCAGTCTTATATAAAGAGACAGAGTTTGTTTGTTTGTTTTTGTTACAAATCCGATTTGAAAAATTCGTTTTACATTAGATAACCTATTTATTAAGGAAGGCTATAGGCTATATATCATCATGCTACTACCCAAGAGAGCGGAGCAGTAATCATAAGTGTCAACAAATCGGGCAGACTCCACACATTATTAAAACTGATATTAAAACTGAACTGAAAAATTTATATTAAAACTGATGTTTATAATCAAACAAATTTAATTGTACTTCTGCAATCGAATTAGGAACTTTCTGTCTTTCCATGAAGCTAGTTTAAAAGTATTTAAAACTTGTTTTTCCACCAGTGGCAAGCCAAGTGAGCCTAAGCGGGGGTCCCGCCATACAGCGAGTGCGGCTCATGGACGAGGCGGAGGGGAACTCCCCGGGCGCCGCGCTCGACACCGACCTCATCGAGTACTACCAGCTGTTGGCTGAAAAGGGAGATGTGCAAGCGCAGGTAGAATATCTGAATTGTCTTATTGTTTCATTTTTATTGTTTTACTACTGACTCACCCTCGCTTCGCTCGGGTTCGGCCCTAGGTAAGTTTTAATTTTTTTGAGCCGAAACCTAATTCTTTTTCTAAAATAAAAGTAGCCTATTTTACTCCCTATAACATCACCTATCTTCCAGTAAAAGTCCCGTCAAAATCAGTCCAGCCGTTTCAGAGATTATCCGGAACAAACAGACAGAGAGCCAGACAAAAAATTTATAAATTGTGTTTTTCTTATAAGTACCATATATAATTTCATATGCATTTAGTAAAACGATGTTATTTTGACATTACAAACAGATAATTCAATTTTATTTATCTGTATACATGTTCATTTGTTCTTGGCCGATTTATTTAGATTGGAGAAATGACTGGTAATTATTTTAATTAATGTGAACAAATACTATTTTAAATCGTTTGAGCTCTTTTGTAAATTAAAGAGGTATGAATTTGGTATAAAATATGATATAAAATATCCATATGATATTGAACACAATTTGTGGTAGCTGTATTGTTATCACAGTATATTGATAATAAATAAATTAAGGTAATTCATGAAGGTCTCCACAGGTAGGGCTCGGGCAGCTCCACTTCCAAGGCGGGCGAGGAGTCACTCTGGACTTGAACAAGGCGCTGCACTACTTCCAACAGGCAGCCAAAACTGGGAATGCTGTAGCAAATGCTTTCCTCGGCAAGGTGAGTTAATATTATGACGTCTCAGTGCTTATTTGTCCAAACGACCGAGTTTAATCTATAGACCTTTTTATCGGTTAAAAGTTTATTTATATATTTTAAATTCTAACGATATAAATGTTTTAAATAAAACTATCATTTCGGATTTTTTCGAGGATTTATTTTGACTTTTGGTTCCCGACGTTTCGAATGCTTTGTAGCAATCACGGGAGAGAGTAAGGTTTCAGACATCTCAAAAGTCAAAATAAATCCACGAAGAATCCAAAAAGATAGTTTTATTTAAAATGTCAAATATTCGCGTAAATCTAAGAAAGTATTATTAAATAAAAAGGTTTCATTAAAATCTATCCAATTAGTTCCACTTATTCTCAAATGAATTTTAATGTCACTGTTCTTATACTAAGTTTCATTTTATCAGAAGTATTGATGCAAAGTGATTTCATTTTATATAAAGAAAAGTTTTCATTATGAATATGCTTCTTATTATAAGACTTCAATATTATTATTATTATTTGTTAATATAAAATATTAAAATGTTTCAGATTTATTTAGAAGGAGGGGATGGTATCAAGGCAGATAATGAGACAGCATTACGCTACTTCAAGAAAGCAGCCGAACTGAACAATCCTGTAGGTCAGAGCGGGCTTGGTATTATGTATTTACAGGTATGTAATATCACAGGTGATATAGCACTATTAGGACAGTTTTTTTCATGTTAGGAAATGGATTTACGCGAACCACCTGTATACATACAGATGGTTACGGGTTCACTGGTTAGAAAAACCTGTACTACACACTAAAACCCAACAAAACCACCCCCATCGAGGGTAGAGAGGGGTATATCGGTACACAGTGCCGGATTTAACCTTAACATCGCCCTTGGGCATAGAAAAAAATGCAGTCCTATTATATATCGAAATATTGAATAAAATGTTGAAAGTATAATTTTCATCATCAATTTTTTAATCCAGCGCTGTAGTTACAGATACCTCATCCCATGGAAAGATATTATATCACCCTAATTTGGGCAATATTGCAGGCTAATTTGTTTCTTTTAAGTAGTCAGACTGTTGTTGCTATTATAAATGTTGTAAAATGTGATGGATTTAATAATATATTTTGAAATTCCAATATAATATTTTTTGTATGAAATTATTTAGCATAATAGTAGGGGAGCCCAAGAGGGGATTTTTGTTGTTACTCAAGCGCGGCAAATTAACATAAAAGAGGTTACCTTGCACTCTATTGAGTACTTTCACCATAATATAAGTCTTCTATATAAAGGCGCGCGTCTAGGGAAGCCGATCAAAATATTTAAAAAATGTTTTGATAAGGTAGAAATACTTGAAACCGTCAGATTAAGGTGTGGAAGGCTAGTCACATCCTGAAAAGTGTCCAATTCAATAATCTGCCGATTTGCACAAGCCGAAGAAGCAATAATCATCATAAACTTTATAGTCGATTTTTGTCTCTTCGGCTTGTGCAAATTGGCAGATTATTGAATTGGATTATGTTTATTTGCCGCGCTTGAGTAACTACAAAAAATCCCCTCTTGGGCTCCCCTACTATAAAGTCTAGTCTGTGCCTTATATAAATATTCAATGATAAAATGTATATTTGATAAAAAATAATAATTGTTATATCGGACATAAAGACTGACTAATAAATTATTTTAAAAAAAATGTAAATAATATATTTGACTTATTTTAATCATTCAATCTATAATTTTGAAGTTTTGATTGTTTCCAGGGTCGCGGCGTACCGAAGGATACTTCGACCGCGTTCAAGTATTTCGCAATGGCGGCCAACCAGGGCTGGGTCGAGGGGCAGCTTCACTTGGGCTTTATGTACTTTGGTTTGTACAAAATGTTATATATAATAATAATTATTATTAGACTTGCAACGAATAGTATATTCGGTCATACCGAATATTCGGTGGCCTTTTTGACCGAATAGCCGAATATTAGGCAAAAGTATTCGGTCAGCGCAAAACTTGAGGCGGGAAAACTTGAATCGACGTGTTTTTTGTTCGTGTTTAGCGCCAAGTAAGTAGTATTTATTCAGAGCGTCATCTCTGAAGCTGGGATTGTTACTTGTAAATTTTAAATATGATTACTTTAATGATTAGAAGCGAAATATATTAGCATAAAATAAATCTATATTTTCATTTTTCCAATTAAGTATCTGATTACAACAAAACATATTAGTTAAATGTTCGTTATTAGGCTGAGTAATATCTACATACATATTCTGTATTCGGCCGAATACAAAAAAAGTAGTTGAATAGGCCGAACACTGAATATTAGCCGAATATTCGTCGCATGTCTAATTATTATCAGGATTTGATTATTATGATTGTGTCAGGCGGTATCGGCGTGCGGCGCGACTTCAAGCAGGCCAACAAGTACTTTTCGCTGGCGTCGCAGTCGGGCCACGTGCTGGCGCTGTACCACCTGGCGCAGATGCACGCGCAGGGGCTGGGCGTGCTGCGCTCCTGCACCACCGCCGTCGAGGTTCGAACCCACACTACTATACGAGTATATCAGGACTTGGAAACCCGTTTCATTTTTGAACTGGTTTTGGTTTAGAGTAACCGAAAGGCTCTGTTGGTTAAATACTGGTTATGATTAAACTCTGCTGTTTTTTAAATGCGTTTTGTGTGAAAAGCCTATCGTATAGTCAATGTGAGATATAATGACGAAATTCTTATAACATAAGATTTATATTCATAATATATACGGGGCATTCCACGCCAAATCCAACGGTTTCAAAAATGTTAAAAAAGGTTTTCTGGTAAATTTTGAGTTTCTTTTTGATCAGTGCTTCAAAAATATCGAATTTTCAAAAAAACGCTCTTTTTTTTCATGACTTTCTTAAAAATGGTCAAAGTTCAATTTTTTTATTACCTTTACATAAAAAAAATATAAAAAAAAATATTTATATATAGAAGGATAAACACAGTTTTAAAAACACGATTGGAAACTTAAAATTCAAAAAATTTCGATTAAAAACATTTTAATTTTTTTTTATTTTTATATTTTATTTGTAAAGGTTATCCAAAAGCAAAAATGGGTACTAAAAAATACCAAAATATTAAGAAATTAAAAAATATTTTTTTTGAAAACATCCGATTTGGCGTGGAATATGTATTTAAAGTTATATATGTGTGTAGTGTATGATGTATCTGTTATCTATAACAAAGGCGTCGTAGCTTATCATGTAATTAGAGGGCGGTGCGTAACGTGTGAGCATGCCGGCAGTTGTTCAAGAACGTGTGCGAGCGCGGGCCGTGGGCGGCGCGGCTGATGCCGGCGCACGCGGCGTGGCGCGCGCGCGACGCCGACTCCGCCTACCTGCAGTACGCGGCGCTGGCCGAGCGCGGGTTCGAGCTTGCGCAGAGCAACGCCGCCTACCTGCTCGACGACGGTTAGTACTAATTGAAGCGAAAAATTAGCTTGATACTAATCACTTGTAAAAATGGACCAGGGATCCCTGACTATTAGAGTTCCGCTCGAAAACATTAAAAGTTATTTAGAGACGAACCCGAGCGAAGCAAGGGTGAGTCGCTAGTGGCAGATAAAAAATCATGATAACATGTAGTTATATGTGTAAATAACGGTATTATTGTCTGTGTGTACGTAGGCGCGACGCGACTGTTCCCCGAGTCGGAGCGCTGGGCGCGCGCGCTGCAGCTGTGGGCGCGCGCGGCGGCGCAGGGCTGCGCGGGCGCGCGCGTCAAGCTGGGCGACTACCACTACTACGGGCAGGGCTGCGCGCGCGACTTGGAGCTGGCGGCGCACCACTACCGCGTGGCCGCCGACGCGCTGCACAGCGCGCAGGCCACCTTCAACCTGGGCTACATGCACGAGCGCGGCCTGGGCCTGGCGCGCGACCTGCACCTGGCCAAGCGCTGCTACGACCTGGCCGCCGACGCCTCTCCCGACGCGCGCCTGCCCGCCGCGCTCGCGCTCGCGCGCCTGCACGCGCACTCCGCCATAGAGACCATGCTCGAGGTAACTTCTACAGTCCTGTTCCAGTTCTTGTTCTTAATGTCTAATGTCGCGTTTATATAAGGGGTTTATATTATTATTTAGGCTCTTCGGAAGTTTATTCGTATTTTTTGATAACCTTAGTATTTGACCACATTTTCAATGAGCGACCATCAGCTATATTGATTTTTACAATACACAGTGAATTTAAAAATTATTTAGAATACTCATAACGGCCCTTTCACTAAATTTTTATTGTTAGTTTGATCTTAAATATATTTTAACAAATGTCATTTTTTTATCTACTGTTTAATTTTTTGTTTAAGACACTTAATTCAAATTAAGAAGTTTTGACATTCTATGTAAGGCTTATCGTTAGAGATTCTTAAGATATGACTAATTCATTATCAAAAAACCATGAAGATTCAAATTATTTTTTTTGTAATAACAATCAAATTAATTATTATTATTTTAATCGCTTTTTAAACTACAAATTATTTTTTTCATACTTGTATAATTTATGTAAACATTATACAACACATCTAATGTCGGAATAATTGTCAGTCTCTCTCGCAGAGTCCGCTGGCCATGATCTTCCTCTCTGGCGAGTCCGCGTTCCTCTCCAACTGGGACCTGTACCTCATCACGGCACTGCTGGGCGCGCTGGGCGTGGTGGTGTACCTGCGCCGGCCCGCCCAACCCGCCAACTGATTTGGGAAAAGTCACCTATTATGTACACTGTACAGTTCAAAAAAGGCCTAACTACATTGATATACAAAATATTATATATATATACTTATGTACGCACGTAAGAAGTTATACTTCTTTGGCGTAACAGAACAAAAAAAGATAAAAGATTTTATCGCGTATGTCACAACTTTCTATTTGTAAAAGGACTGCAGTTAACTTCATCATGTCGCTTTTCGGCTGTCGGTGTGCGCGCACATCGTAAAAATTTTACTCTCATATTTTTTTTCAAACGTGCCAAAAAAAGTATGACTTCAAAAACTTATAATAGCGTCTCAAAAGTATTCTCAAAAGATGTGCATCATTCTAAATTGAATTGCGCTTTTTTCAAATCTCTTTTGTTTCTTGTTTGTTGTCAAAATTTAAAAATACGTTGTTTCTTTTAAAAAAATACTTTATGTGGTGTGCATAAGTTCGAATTTGTGTTTCGATTCTTGACCTTTATTCTTTGACTTAACTTAACGACACATGTCGACGCCACTATATAGAAATATTTGTTAGGAAATGTGTATGTATGTCTTTATATATCAATGACTAACTACAATAAAATTAGTGTGCAATAGTTGGGCAATATTTATGTATGGTATTTTTATTATTTAATTTATTGAATTTTATATTATAAGACGCTTTTTTAAGATTTAGTTACTTCTAAAGTTCTTTGAAATCCTTATATGTAAACGGGTTAGGCCATTTTTGTACTGTCAGAAGTAAGTGGTAATTAAAAGAACGTCCTCTATAGTTGATAAAGTGCGTAAATGTAGTTATTTTGTATGTGTAAAAAATTAATGGTACAAAAATAACAATAAAATTTGAACTTAATTTTTAATAGTATACTTTACCTTGTATATAAAAAGTTTTTGGGTTCAATTTTTTTTTAATTTAAAGTAAATTCAGTACTCTTTTTGTAAATCTTTATAAAACTGAATTTGTACAACACATATTTATAAAAATGATATGTGGGTGTATCACTTTTAAATGACAAAAATCCATACAAACTCCATTCATTATAAATAAATAACATTTAGTACTGCTGACCAAAACACGCTGTCCTATCTAATTTTTTATGTTATGTAATCTTTTTATTTACATACATATATGTTTTTATTTATATACATACGTACATTACAATATATTGGACGTTCTAAAAGAAAGGATTATTTAACGACCAAAAACGAATTTTAGCTCAACGTTGAAAATTTGAGCAGTGACTAATATAAATAATTGTGTGAAAGCAGTTTGTGGTATAGAACTAAGTGAGAGTAAATGGTAAAGGAATAAGATGACATACACGACAAGACCGTTCAAAGTCAAAAATGTTAGTTTATATGTGCGTATGTAACGCACAAACTTCACACCAGTTAAAATGTTAAAAATTTAGTTTCGCCTTCACATCTTCATATAATATTTAATAATGATTATATATTAATTTATTAAAAATAATACCGTCTTATGTACTAGCAGGGCTCGGAAACCCGTTCAATTTGTAAACCGGTTTTGTATATTGACCCCAAACCGAAAGGCTTTTCTGTTTAAGGTTTCGGTTATGTTCTTTAACCGGTTAAAACCCGGAAAACAGTTTTAGACGAATTTAGGTTCCATGATCGAAATTAACCGGTTAAAATGAGTTTTTGTGCGTTTACATTTTGTTGCTAATGCCCAATGGTGAATTGCGTAGTAGAAATGTACATACATACGTTTCTTACTTATTAATGAATTACCGGTTTATTTCGGATTGCGTTGGATTTTTATTAACATAAGTCTATGCAGCATTTTGGACGGTGATATCTCTTTTATTACAATATAACGACCCATGTTTATTGTTAATAGGATTTCTATAATAAGAAACAATTTTGTATTTATTATTATTTAATACCAAAAAAATATATATTTATTTTGGATATAATTATTTCTAATTGTTCTTATTATCATCTTTCCATTAGTATATATACGTTGTTTGAACATCGTTAAATAGTGTTAATTTTGCATTAAAGTACGGCTAAAATACAGATAACATATTTTGACCAAGTAAGCAATCGTTTCTGTACTTGCGATTTTCTTTTTATTATTGTTCGAACAATTTTAGTAAATTTCATACTGGGAGAAAACATTTGCAATACACTATACAATTTCGGCGTTTTTGTAAACTGTGTTAAGATTTAAGATATGCGCACATTCGGTATTGTCTGAATAAATACGCTTGAAAATATTTTCATGATGAAATCACAAAACATATAGATCATAAAAGTGTGGAATGTGCGCACGTCTTTATTTTTTTATCACTTTTGATTGTAACACTGTTATCATTCTGCTGATAATATTTTATTTTTAGATGTCGTGTAAAGTATGTACTGTAAATAAATATAGATTTTATAAGGTTCATGTATTTTTATTTCATTTAGTTTCCTTTAAGTTTAGTTTTGTTACTTTGTAATATAGTCAAATAATAGGTTTCGATTTTCGCGCTGGAACCCAAAATGTCTTTGGAATCAAAAATACCCTTTAATATATAGTCCTGTAAACTTCTCTATCTTTCAGTGAAAGTTCCATTACAATCGGTTAAGCCATTCCAAAAACCACAGACAAAGACAGACAGACAAAAAGTTTAAAAAGGGTTGTTTAGGTACTGGTATCATATTAATAATCCTATATACTTGAGAAAACAGTTATTTTGATATAACAGACAGACACTTCCAATATTATTTATATATACATTTACACGAAGACTAATTTTATTCAAATGAACACCGCCTTCAATTGGATTGCTAAAGTAAATGGATTTAAATAAATATTTGGGAGAATAAAACACAAATTAGTAGTTCTATTAACTTTTTATACAACTCAAGTATCATTATTCTGTTTTTCAAACATTTCAATTCTCTTCGCGATATCGTCAGCTGAGAACGTGTAGTCCATCTGTTCCTCTTTTATATTTGTATCTTCTTTCTTAGTTTTCTGAAAATATATAGGAAATTAAAAAAAAAATATATAAATCTAACCTAAAAACTACATTAAAAATAATCATCAACAAAATAAGTTATATTAATTTTAAGGTACCTATTTTGTTGTATCTATTTTTTATGTTGTCTCAAAAAACTCAAAAATCACAATCTGGTGTCTATCTCACAAGTGATTAAGTTAGAATGATGAGTCGGTTCAGTAAATAGTATAAAAATCACAAAATCCTTTACATTTTTTATTAACTTTTTTTACTTAAAATTTAAATAAAAAAACAATATGTAATTTTTACAGATAAGTTTGTACAACTTTTGTAATGATTTTATATTTTATTTTGGGGAATGGAAACAAGTTAAATACAAAAATGGACGAGAAATTCCAAATTGGACATGAACACGAGTTTGTACGAGATTTTTGGAGCCAACATAGATAACACGCTAAAACAATTGCATATACAATTCATAACCATATACATTCATTCTTCAATTAGCCTCTATACTCTATGTACCTCATTTGATTGAATTTAATCAACAAAACATAAGTTTGAAATACAAATTCTCAAATCTCACCCAAAACAACGAATATTCTGGAGAAATAGACTGCAAATATGCAATTTTATCCTCCATGTCCTTCAACCGTCTGTATATGTCCGGCGCGACGGGACCGGTGCTGAGGTAGGACTCTATCGCGTGCACCCTCTCAGCAATGGCGCCGGGCAGCTCAGCCTTCTCAGTCCTTATCTGATGCTCCATGGACACTGTTTGGGGTCCCCATTCATTATGGACTTTGCGGACTGGAAATAGACCATAATAATAAACCTATTTAGTTTTCCATATGTTCAATAGGCCTTACGCATTGATGGATCTCGACTGTTGCGTCACATTAAGCAAACTTGAATCTCTTAAAGGGCCTCTACGTGTTGGACCTGTGTGCCTACGCAAGCCCTCTAAAGGACCGGGCTCCTCCGATCCCATGAAATCAGAAAAGGTACAAATACAATAATAATAATAAACATTATTATTATTATATTTATATAAATTTTAGTGTTGTGCTAAGTTTTAACCCATTTCAAAAAAGGGAGATTGTCAATTCTTCAGGTGTTTGGTATTTTTTTGAAATTTCTTTAAATGAAGTTTAATTTGATTAAAAATTCATATTCAAAAGGCTGAATCATAATTTTTTATTTTAAAATTAATTCTTTTTTGTGTTAAATTATAAAATAATATTTTTAACTTTATTAAGTTAGCTATTGCTATAGGTAAAATAAAAATTAATTTATTTAAATATTATATACTCATATTACATATTTTTGTCATTGTTCAACTATAATTTTGAGTTACTTACACAACTTATAGTAAAAAAAAATGTTACTTAATGTTATCTAAGTGATATATCTCATAACCTACTTTTTAAATGTCCCTTAGAATCGGTTCTCTTAACGAACTGCGTTCTCACTCTAGCACATGACTCTGCATCTTCCGTCTCGCTCTCACTCTTCGAAGGTATAAAGTCCCTTATGTTGCTTATATTTACTTGCTCACGTTTTCTTTCAATAAAATTCTGTATTCGCTTGTCTAATTCTTCATTTGAAACATTTATTTGTATAAGATTTCTATCTATTGGCTTTTCTAAGCTAGATTGTGATATTTCTGGAGTTATTTTGCCTGTAAGGGACATACTGTCATAAGCAAGGGCTCGACTCGAAGGACCAATAAATAAAAAAAGACAACTGCAAAATAAACCATTTTATTGATATAACAACTTATAACTTATATATAATATTTAATAAATATTCATTTTTTTCTTCATAGCGAGGCAAGAAAACAAGTTTTTCATTGAAATTGCATGCGGATATAGTTTTTTTTTATAAAAAATAAAGCAAACATGTCTATGTATATATGTCAACAATAAACTATTAAAATTTCTTTTACATAAAAATATTATTGGTAGCAAACTAGAAACTAAAAAATATAAAATCATATAATTCAGCACTATTTTATAGTAACTGATGATATCATCTATAAGGAAATTGCAAGCCCTTATTACTAAAAAAACTTTCAACAAAGTAAAAATTAAACGAGTTGTAAAATGTACTCAAAAAATCGCCTACTCTATAATGTAATAAATAAATATACCAACAACCTTTGATAACAAAATAAACACAAGTCTATATAATATACGTATTTCACAAACTAAATACATATATTTTGGCTAACTGAGAAATTAAATTAATTTAAAAGGCTAAAAAGCTATATATTGCAAAAATAAATAATGATTAACAACATGCTTTAGACCTCTTTATAAGAAGCCATTGCTCAATAATAGGGAATATGCGTGATTTTTTTATTTATTATACAATAGCTAGCATCGTTTTATAACTCTAAAAAAATATCCAGCTTAAAAAAACAAAAAAATAATAATTAAAAAGTAGTATATTTTTTTTTTAAATATCGTATCAATACGGATACTTTAAACACCTGCCATTTCGCGGGCTTGGCGTCACATCAAAGTATCATACTTGAAAAATGTCAACTTTAGTTTGTAGCGACAAAATCGCTAATCGCTCTGTTATGATAATACTTTGACGTCATATTTGGTCTGACCAATGGTGCGCGTTTCGACAACTTTGAATTTTCCAATATTTGCACTTTTTAATAATTCTTTTTTTAATAAAAAATAAATAACATTAAAAATTGATATAGACTGAATTCAAAAGCAATAAAGATCATAATATTAATATATAATAATAATATGGTGTGACATTAACACACAGCACCATCTAGTTCCATGTTAAGCTACGAGGCTTGTGTTATGGATACCAGATAGTTGATACACTACACATATATAACTTTAAATACATACATATCATAAATATAAACACCCATGACTGGAGTACAAACATTCGCGCTCATCACACAAATGAATCCCCCCAGCGGGACTCGAACCCGCGACCGCTGGCACAGCAAGTACCCTACTTGTAAAAAAAATCACCTTTATTTAAATCATACGCATATTCCCTATTATGCAAACTTAAAAAAAAAGAACAAAAAGGCAAGCAGAATAAGACAAGTTACACTTGTCCATTAACTGTACGCTTGGTGGACCACGCACATTCAACGTTCTCCTTCCATACAGGCTCGGAACCCTCGTAGACCTCCTTTTTCCATATTGGCACGTTGGCTTTAAGCTGGTCTATGGCGAAGGAGACTGCGTCGAGGGAGTCCCGTCTGTGGGGACTGCTGACCGCGATCACCACCGACGCCTCCCGGCAGGGCACGCTGCCCAATCTGATTAGAAAGATTAAAGCATTTAAACTTTACAATATAATATAACATAACTAGGTACTAATCCCATTTGTCTAACGGGCTATCTTTTTGCATTAGATAACCCGTTTATTGAGGAAGGCTATCTTATTATATATCACTAGCATTGCTCGCGGCTCCGCACGCGTTCAGACGACCAAAAACCAAATTCTTAGGTTTTACATACAGTAGGTATACTCTTACAATGCAGTTTTTGTATTTTTTCTCAGAAATGAAATATTTTCCCGCGGTAAAGGTACCCTAAATCCAAAAAATATATAATGTACAGATTCGGCTAAGTTACAATTTTATTATATGTATTTATTATATCTTTCTATTTATATTTAGTATATCTATTCTATTCATACTAACCGTTTAAACGTACCTAGGGGTGAATCCGAGCGAAACGAGGATGAGTCGCTAGTCTTCAATACTTTTAATTTTTGTATCAACATTTAACTCGTTAATGTATAATTTTTTTATGATTTTAACCATCATTTACATGCAATATAACACTATTTAATAAAGGTATTTAATTGGTTCAATGCTTTTCTGAAATTGCACTTTCTAACATTGAACTGAATATAAGTTTCTAATCGTATTTTAATGTATCAGTAATCAGGTATTGAATAACAAACAAAATGTCATAGGAAAAGTAAGGTAATATCGAGTTATTAATTACTATACTATAAATAATAGAAAAAAAATGATTGTTCACAATATATAATTATTTCATGAATATCTATGAGTGAAAAATAAAAAAAAGCATTTGCACATCAAATGCATGTTCTAACATCTGTGTCATAAAAACGGTAGGTATTACGAATACTTTTTACACCGATAGTTAAATTAATCGTGACTCGTATCAAAACTGGTTTACAAGTAACAAAAAAAGTTTAGAACTCAAGTGTAGTTTTTGATCAAAAATTTTAACATATAACTTTTAGAAAACAGAAATCAAATGTAGTAAAATGAAGCTACAAACATAAAATTCTTTTTTTCAAACTTTAGATAAGAGGACAATTATTGAAGAATAGAAAAGTTATTTTTTTTAAATTATTATTTTACCCTGAAACACCTTTAGTGGGATGTGACAGGTGTGACCTTTTTGACCTTTGCTAAATTGTTCTAAAATACATTTAAAAATCTTCATACAAATATAGCGTCTGAACTCTGAAGACACAAACATGTCGAGGCCGCAGGTAAAATCTAAGGTAAAACGACGGTTATAGCCTATACGTCATCTTAGCGCTTATTTGTTCAAACCAGGGACCGTAAAACCCGGGTTCTGAGTTTAGCCTAATAAAATAGTTACCCGTTTAAAATGATTTTAGAAAAACCTTGTTACACATTAAATGTGTAACCCACATTCTAGCAAATGGAATGTAATAATCATGTAATGATAACCCTATTATTGAATTAAGTATTAACCCTATCGAAGGGGATACCACAGCGTTTATAAGTCTATGAGATTAACCCGAATGTTCTTTTTAATGTGTCAGAATGGAATTATCTACATCTATACATAATATAATAAAATTCTTAATCGAATCTGTACATTAAATATTTTTTTTAAATCTTATTGAAATAGTAATTATTATCGATACAGAGGCCGAATCTATAGTTTTTGGAATTTTTGTCTGTCTGTCTGTCTGGGAACGCATCGCGAGAAAACCACTGGACAGAATTTGATAAAATTTTGTATAATGATAGCTGGTTATCCGGATCAACATAATACATATATGATACTTTTTACTGCGGAAAATATAATTTACATTTATAAGTCAATAACTCTGTACTAAAACTCTTTCGGTAAATTGGTCCTTAGGACAAACAAGCACTGAAACGGCGCTGCGTATAGTAGATAATCGTCGGTCGTTGTGTATAACGAGTATAATTATTATGAAATAGACTTTGCATTATAGTGTACAGTATACAGACTACAGTGTACACAATAGGGATACAATTATTTATTAAGTGAAATCACATCAATGTCAGAGGATATGTACAATTACTTAAGTAATTTGGTCAATTGTTATTTATTTCTAGCAAAACAGCCATACATTCGATCAATGTACTTTAACTGACTGCGAATCTTGTATGGAAAAAACATATCTCTGGAGTCACGAGCAATGTACACATATTTTATATACCTACCTATTTGGTAGATTTATTTTTTATTTTGGTTCGGTTAAAAAACGGTATATTTCGGTAATGTAACCGATTAATGAAACGAACGGTTTAAGAAACCGAAATAATGATTGTTAACGGTTATTCTAAGAGAAAGGTTGGATTTCTGGTTTAATACCGAAATATTATATTATTAGTGTTGGGTGTGGTGCCGAGGTCGGCCCTAGCTACGTCGACCAGTTTTGGTCCATTGTAGCTCATACCGAAATAACCGGTTAATTCATTCATTCGTAAGTAAGAAACGTACATGTGTCCTTCTAAGCCATTCACCATTACTAAAGATTCGCCAAATGTAAATGCACAAAAACGCGTTTTAACCGGTTAATATCGATCTTGAAACCTAAATTTGTCATACGCCGTTCTCCGGGTTTTAACCAATTAAACAAAACCGGTTTAAAAAAGCAAAAAAATATTTTTAAAATTAAAATTATAAATATAGTAATAATTATAATAAATTTTTATTTTTTCATTTTAATTTGTCACTACCTACTTAGTGTCCCGTGGCTCTGCTCACATTTAAGAACAGGGGCAGGTAGCCTAAGCCGGTACCTATGATGTCTAGTCTATTTCCTTGTTAAATTTCAATTGAAATCTGTTCAGGAGTTACAGTATAACTTTCACTATAACTTTCACATATATGTAACAATGGTATGTATAGGATAGATAGCTATCATGCAATACTGAGCCAATTTTAATAACTAATAATACGTTGAAGTTGGCAGTGGTAGCCAAGTGGTAACGCGCTCGCTTGGGAAACCGAGTGAAGCGGGTTTCAAATCCTGAGTCTCGCACTTCAGATATTTTTATATGCGAATCATTTCCAACTACCACCACTAATTATCTTACGTTGAAGGAAAACATCGTGAGGAAACCTGCATGTTTGAGAGAAACTAGCAAGTTTTCGAAAGACATGTGAAGTCTGCCAACCCGCACTTAGCAAGCGTGTTGGACTATGGCCTGATAGCCCTCGCATTGAATGGAGGCAGGTGCCCAACAGTTGGATGTTAAAAATGGGCTGAATACAATAACATGCTCGTACATACATATTTTACTTGTATAGAAATATACACGTATTTAAAATTCCGCTGCGATATCTTTTAACAAGAGTTTTGTTATGTAAATAAGAAACTAGCAAACAAAAATTAAGAGTAGATATTTTTAATTCATATCATATAGAGTAAACAGACGCATGCCATGACCTTATGCGTAGTCTAAAGTGCTGATAATAAGTAAAGTGATGCAACCTTAAATAACATCAGATAACTTACATTTATACAGATAAATAAAATTGAAATGTTTGTTTGTACTCGTAATGTCAAAATAATAGCTTTTTACTAAATGCAAATGAAATTATATACGTTACTTATAATAAAAACCCATTTTTTTAATACTTGTCTGTCTGTTTATTACGGCTAATCTCCGAAACGGCTGAGCTGATTTTGACGGGACTTTCACTGGTAGATAGCCAACGTTATAAGGAGTAACTTAGGCTACTTTTATTTTAGAAAAAGAATTAATGTTCTGCTAAAAATTAAAATAAAAAAAAATTAAAACGTACCTACACACGTAACGGACGCACCCGAGCGAAGCGATGGCAAGTCACTAGTATAAAATAAAGATAGTTTCTATGTATGTCATTTCATCAGTCTCTATGAATTGCTATGCTAACGAAACCCTTTCAGAGTTTTTTTTTTTTTTTTAATCTTTATTTGAAGGACTTGTTCACATAACAAAAAGCGAACATGTCGTCCTTGTAAATTTTACACATGGACAAATAACGAGTAAATACTTAATTATAAATAAAATTATGCGCAGAGTAAAGAATACATAATATAGAAAAGATTCTACTAGTTTAGCGGACATAGCAATATTATACTAATTTAATATTATTACAGATACAAATAACAATAATTATGTACCGTCTTGACTAGATCTAACACGTAAGCCAACCTTGGTTAATTTATACAAAGCTTTGGCATGATCTGAACAAGGATTTGCTAACATTATGTTACAGCTACCAATTTGTTTTAATTCGTGATAATTGTTAACAAACATATTTCTCCTCATGCGTTCGTTCCGAGTACATTCCACTAAAATATGATACACATCTTCGGTTTTCCCACATTTAGTGCAATTCGGTGATACGGCTTTATTCATCTTAAATGCGAAATAATTCAGTGGAATATGCCCGGAACGCACTCTTAACCCTGTCACAATAGAATTTCTGTCTAATCTACAAGACTCAAACCAAGGCAAAGAATACGGGTCAGATCTCAAGATCCTATACCAAATCCCTTTATTTACCGATGTATTTTGAAAGTGTGCGGTCCACAACTTATATACATATTTTTTAAGCAATACTACGATGTCATTAATAGAAGGTAACACGCTGAGTGGTATACCTTTTGATACTGCGTCATTCGCTAATCTATCCGCACGTTCATTACCTGCCAATCCTATATGAGATGGAATCCATTGAAATGTTACCCTCTTATTTGACGCTTCCAGCTTACAAATAGCCTTCAATATCTTATATGCTATCGGAGCTCCTCGAAAAGTCGAGGTGCACCGAGCAATATGTTGGAGCGCGCTTTTGGAGTCCGTAAAGATAACAAAATTTTTGAAATTACTAATACTGCTGATATACTCCAAAGCCTCATACAAGGCAAACAACTCAACATACATAATAGAAATTATTGATTCAATTTTAAATTCGATATCAGTATGAGATTGAGGGTCGTAAATAGCAGCTCCGATACCTTTTTTGCATTTAGAACCATCTGTGTATATTTTATAAAAATTTCTATATTCAATATTAATCATTTCCAGACTATTGCTTTTTAAAACCGTAGCATCTACTAACCGTTTTGACTGTCCAATGTTATCTATAGAGCAAAATATCTTATTATCTAAATTAATATTTTGTACCCATGTGTCAAGACAAAACATTTCCAATTTTCTAGATGATCGAAAAGGGTAACATTTCAATATTCCATGGACTGACGCTAAGACCGGTTTCTTTTTATTCGCCCAATAATTCGAATTATTGCATTGTACCGACAGCTGATCGATCCTTTCAGAGTTATTATTTAGTTTTATTATTTATTGGTTTACAAGTATATATCGAAGAATAATATAAAAATATATTAGAAGTCACCTAGTACATAAAATATAAACAATTTTTAAAACATCCATACTATTTATTATTACAGAGCAAACTAAGGTTATGATAAAGGGCATCCAAGTCATCCCCTCGCACTGATATTTTAATTGCGAGTTAAAAATAAATAAAAGGTATATATAAGTACATACATGTATGTATACATGTACTTGTCCTTTCAAGCTAATGCGAAGCTAAATAAAATACAATTTTAATGAAATCTAAAAATATGAGACTAAAAGTTAAAGTAACTTATGCAAACAAAACTATTAAAAAATAGTAAAGATGTTTTGTTAGTATTATGATATATACCTGTGGTACATAGCTATGCCGTGAACAGCTGGCCACCGGTTTCTGACATCATCACATATACACTTCATGGCTTTCAATGCCATGGCCTCATATGCTTCATATTCCAATCTTAGCACCTGTATCAATAAGGCATTCATTTAAGAAATGAATTTTATTTATAATATACGTTCCACATCTAAATAAATAAATTTTTAATTTGTTTTCAACAATATAATTTTTTATAAACTAAGGGGAGAGGCTATCATATCGAATAGTATTTGAAGCCCATAAAGTTAATTCGACTCTCTTTAGGTCAGTTACAATATTTTTTGCTTCACTTTAAGTTTACACAATATTTGTTCAACATTGCTGCTTGTCCAAATGACTTTTTAATCACTATATTTATCAGCACAATTAATTATTCACTATATTTACATACAAATTACCTTTTTTCCTTCAAAATTATCTCTTGTAGTTCCAACAAATAAAGACACTGCACCACAACTATCATTCACAACCAAGTCACTAATTTCCTCTACCGATAGTTTATCTACAGTTAATTTTAAATGATCCATAATTATATAAAAAATATATCAACTTCTATCCACCACTTAAAGGTGGAATCACAGCAATATTATCACTTTCCCTTAGCTCTATAACTTCAATATCAGAACACACTTCCTCATTCTTTGCCAGTAGAATATTACTTTTAATAGTTTCCAAATTAAAATGTTCAACAATAAAATTTAAAAGTTGTTCATAACTTATTTTAGTTGGCAAATGTACAGTTGTTTCTTTTATACCAGCCAGTTCCTTTGAGTGTGCAAAAAATAGCAACTTTACTGGCACATCATACTCAATTTCCATATTTCATCCTAAAAAAATAATAGCACATTATATAAAATCAATTTAAAAGTGTAAATTGTATTGTGCAATAAGACTAATTATTTACCAAGTGTTTTAATTAATGTTATGTATGCATAACTATGATAAGTTCCACTGGTTTGAAGCCATGTGATATAGCCTTAAAAATAAAATGTGTAACACTAACACATTAACCTATCACTGCAGTGAAAGACAAACTAACTGAAGTGAGTATGTAGGTAATTGATCACTACATAATTTTGCAATATGTTATGACGTTTACTCACTTAATGCGAGTGTTGACAATTGATATGCAAGTACAATCGAAAGTGGTAAATTTGGCAGAATAAATTAATTAGCAAATAGGTTTTTTTATTTTTTATTAAGTATTAATTTATTATTTATTGAAGTATAATGTATTTAATTCTAAAAAAAATCATAAAAAACAGGTTTATTAGATAGTAACTTAGCTGGACACATATGACAGAAATATTTTACATACGTACATAAGTAGTTTTCTTAACTGATCAAATGATACTTTATTCCGCATGCAATTAAAGTAATCCTAAATATTTTTCAAACAGAGTGTATGAAAAATAGTTTTATTTTTATTTTAAAGTTGAATAATTTGAATTTGACATTTAAGATTCCAATTTCCAATCACAGAGCAGGAGGCAGGAATCCAATTTCCGATAAATATCCACAGACAAATAATATACTCATCACGGAGCTAATGCGTATGCAGCATAAAAGACACTTTCGTCTTACTTTGCATAGATTCCTTATTATTATTATTATTAAAAAAAGAGGAAAAAGAATTTAAAGCTTTGTTTTGAAATAAAATATTATTTATAGTGTGTGTGTGTAGTGATATTTTGTTTTGTTACAGTTTTTAAAATAATTACACGTAGCCTACTTTTTCTTTTTCTTGTATTTGTGATGCATTATTAATAATAAAAGTACCTGGGCCACCGAGCTTCACTCGGAGTTTTTGGTCTAAAGTGCAATTTTCTTTTAAAGAAACTAAAAACTTGAATAAATACAAAAAAAAACAAAAATCTAAATTATACTTTTATATCCGACCGGGATTTGAACCCGGACACCTATGATTATCAATCTTGCGCCTTGCCGCTTGACCATGATGCTTATGCCCAAGTGTGCGAAATTATCCGATGAATAGTTTCCGAGATTCAGATTATATATTATACAAGTATTGCTCATTTAAAGATATAAGATAATAGTACTATAGTCTATAGAAGTAAATGATAAGAATACAAAGGCCTGTAAAATATTTAAACACCAAAACAAATTTGCTTAAGCCTTAAATAATATTCAATAAGACACCTAACAGAAACACAAATAATGGTAGGCGCCACATGTGTCGCCTATTTACATTCAGTCTGAGGTTAAGTAATTTATTGTGAAATATCTTTTATACATGGTTTTTTGCTTCTATCGTGATCGCATCTTACCTGTGCAATGTATTGTACCTGGAAGTTAGACCAGCTGAAGGATGAATTGAGAAGGAGAGATGCATCCTACGGTGGTTGAAATTCTATCCCATACTGGGGTAAAATGGGGGATGAAAATTTGTATGAAACTCGGTAATTAATAAGTAAAAACTAAAAAATACACAAAATAAAAAAAATGTTAACTCGTATACGATTTAAGAGTTTTAAAATCACTTTCTTTATAATGATGTCCACATAGCCTTAAATATAAAAATTATGATTTTGCCAATTTTATTCGTCTATTACTTTAGCTCACAATTTATTAAATTTTTGTTTTTTGGTAACAAATGATATCGATTTTCGTTACATCCTGGCACCGCACAATTTGTCATTTTAATGAGATTTTAAATAACATAAAAAAATTTCATCCACGCTTTAAAGCTTTTCAATATATTTTATCTACTGATATCGCGACATCTGGCTAAAGAAAAAAGCAAAATTCTTACTCATTGTAAAACAGGAACAATGATTGTTTTAATCAAATATCACTTTGTTAGTTCTATAAATCTTTAAAAAAAAAGCAATTATTCCATTCAGCAAAAAAATTGTATAATTTTGATAATATTTATATATTTATTAACAATTTCCTTACTATATATCATACAAAATAAGACACATTATATTATTCAAAATTTTACTAAAATGTTTTTTGAAAATTTAATTTAAAATAAATAAAAAGGTCTCTATATACATTATACTGGCACAATACACAACAAAAATAAAAAAAATATCTAATTTACATATAAGTAAATGTAAAATCTAATACTGTCGTTTCGTGTATAGAAACTTCTGTTATTGACAGTGACAGTTGATATAATTCAAACGGTTTAAATCCGTGACCGGTGATCGTTCGAACTGAGCGTAACTGCTTTTTGGCAAGGTTCCCTCGGGCGCGCGTTACATAAAATGAACGACGCATTGCTTATAGTACAAAAAGGTTAAAAATAGATTTTCAGAGTGAGTTGCGTCTTCGGACATTTTTGTTTTCATATGACATACATTCCGCGTTGCTCTTCTGGCTGCGCTTGCACTTAGAAATCAAAGTGAAACTATGAAATCAAATACTGTAAACATTGGACTTATTTTTTGTTAAAAATATCGCTACGTTTGAATTATTTAATGTAAATATAGAAAGAATAGTGGTGAAGTTGAACGTTGTTTTAAATAATAACATTTTAAGACTGCAGTGTTTCAAAGTGCGTGGAAATGGCTTATGTTGAACCCATGGATGTTGATATAATTGGGAGTGATTTTGATGACAAGGAGAACTCTTTACAAAATAGTAATGTGTTGCCAAGGACACCCTGCACCGAAAAGGGATATGAAGAGCTAGATGTTTCAGAGCTTAATATGAAATTAAGATATTCAATCACACCAGCATCATCTCCTATGTCTAGAAGTTATACAGCAAATTATAAAGATAACAGAATTCTGAACCAAGAAGATAATCTAAATACAACAATTGTTAATGAAAATTGTAATTTAACCCGCTCTCTCAATTCTACATTAACAAAATGTGAAATTGTTACAAAATCACATAAACTTCCTTTACAAGCTTTATCAAATGATCAATTTCATGATAATACCATAAGTTCTTCGATAAGAAGATCTTTTGATGCTGATATTAATAATTGTACAATAACAGTTAGCGAGCCTGATAATGTTGATGAAAACTTGTCATTGCCAAGCACTTCATCATCTTGTGTGCAGACACCTGAAGCAACTACACCAACAAAAGATATCCCAAAAGATGATGGAGGATCTCCTATTATGAGGGGTCTTAAAAGTGTGTTGAACATGTTTCGTTCATCTCAAAGTCCAATACCACCTGAAGAAATTAACAGTAAGGATCTTAGTTCTGTAGAACCCCTTGACAAAGAGGCTTCATTGCCACCGACAACACTAGCATCTACACCTATCAATGTTAATAAAAATAAAGAAAATAATTCTTCAAAAAGAAATAGTCCACTAAAGGATAGTGTAACTTTTAATGATGATTTGGAAAGAGAATTGCAATGGAAGGATGAGACAACAATAATCTTTAAACAAGAAAAAATTCCAATTCATAAACTTTTTTTCCAACTACCAAAATCAGCTGTTGAACAAACAGTTGTGGCAAAAGTAAATGAGAATTTCAATACAACTGTAGATTATATGGATATATCAAATAGTGAATCTTTTGTCGTTGATAAAACTGTGACGGATATTGAAAGTAAACCTGCCTCTCAAATTGGGGAACCATTCAGTGGTGTTGAATCTGACAATGAGTTTGTGGATTGTGAAACAACTTACACTAAGAATGAAGAACAATCAACGCCAGGATTGAGTGTGTCAATTCCACTTAATACAGAAAACAATGAAAAGCAAGATGTATCTACCAAAAAGGTTGCAGATTACGTTGATAAAGAAAATGAGGCTGTAATTGATAACTTAAAAAAATCTACAAACATAACTCTTGAGGAGAGTGATATTGAAACAAAAATGAAAGTTGTGAATATTGTAAAAGAAGCTATAATTTCAAATGTAATAAGTGAAGATAATGTGATTTCAGCTGCTACATCAAATGTAAATAATTGTAGTATCAGTGACAGTGATGAAGATCATGTTACGTCAGTTACACCAGTATTGGATGAGTTTAAATTAAATGTGATAGAAAATGACTGTACACAATCAAATAAAGATGATATACATTGTTTAGACTATAAAAATGACCCAAATGCAGAAGTAAACAAAAATGGCTTGGAATTGGCTCAAGAAAATCTGCCAAAACCATATGTCAATGACAAAAATGTTAAATCAGAAATTGAAGAATACATAAATGATGTAACAGCACCTTTAAATATAATAACAGATTGTCAAGAATATGTAACAGAAAATAATAGTTTTGTTGTTGATGATGATATACAGGAAACTGATACTGATAAAAATTCCACACAACATTTAGGATTATTAAAAGAATGTGACATAGAAGATAGTGTAAATAGAATAAAAACAAATCATGACCTTGATAATGTAAAACATGAAAATATAAAAAATTTAAATAATAATTTAAATATAACAGGTAATACAACAAATGCAAATAATGAGAATATTACATTAGATCCCAGTGGTGATAGACAAGATTTAACATACTTTGAAGAAAATAACTTAGTAGATGTTAACAACATTAAAACTGAAAAGATATTTGAAATGAATATACAAGAATCTATGAATGAAGAGTCAAATATGACTACCAAAAGTCAACAAAATATTGATCATAACCATTCTATTGGTTCCGATCTGCAAAAACTTGAGCGCGTAGATTTAAAACATAACACTTATCATAATACTAAAATTGGCACTGACATTCATAATGTAGATAAGATTAATACTAATAGCAACACACTAGAAAATAAACTTGAAAATGTTGTGGATACAGCAGAATTAAAAGAGTTATTAATGAACGAAATATGTGATGTACCCTCTGACATTCCTCTGCCACTTGATGATGATATAGAAAAAAGTGATTCAAAAGATGCCTTGGGAGCACAAGATGAAAATATTGTCTTAGTACCAGATGATAGTGATGTTGTTACTGATATATTAGCAGAAAATTCTATTGTAGCTCCAGTAGTAATTCAGACAATTGATCATATTTTGTCAGGCTTGCCAGTAAGTTCAACTGATATAGACGAAGTTACAGCGCCCAAACCAATATTTAGCCCACATAATGAAATCATTAATGAAATTCAGATGACACAAGGTTGTATCAATTTGGATAAAAGTCCAGCAAATATAGCCAGAGATAATATTGAAGTCAGTGCTTCTAAGAAGAGTAAAATTAACTCTGAAAGTTTTAATTCCATACCAAATACAGACACTTGTAACATAGATATACTAATGAATATAGATGCTTGTACTAATAACAGCCAATCTGTATTTGATGATAAGTTAGAAAAGTCGTCAGATATTCAGGAGGAAAAAATAATTTGCCATCCTGTGGACACAACAAACAAAACCGTAGTTGCAGATGACGAAATTATTATATCTTCAAATGATAATTTACATGATTCCATTGAAAACCTAAATAATCAACAAGATGTTATTGAATTAGAGATTATTGAAAACCCATTTGAAACAAAAACTAAATTAGACGAATCTCCATCAATTTCTCCAAAGCTGGGACGAAAAGGGTATAATATAAATTTCGATGATATAGATGATCCTTTTGCTACAAAAACTAATATAAGAACGTCGCCGCCTCCTCCTACTTCACCGTCTCCTCCTACTTCACCATCTCCTCTTACGGTACCTTGCACTGAAACTCCGAAAGTAACTCCAAGGGACACTCAGAAGAAAATTGAACAAAAGCGAGTGCAATTACGAAATCGACGAAAGTCACAACCTGAACGAAAGAACCAAAACCTTATAAGGAAACCCTTTAACAACTCTTTTGAAACTGGGTTAAAGCAACATAAAGATGAACAAACTATAAACATCGATAAACCAAGTGTTTTTGACAACGAAATAGAAATTAAAAAGCAAAACGTATCATTAAACAAGAGTATTACTGATGAAATTGTAGAGTCAAAGGTTAGTGACGATTTAAGTATGGAAATTTCTGCTTCAGTAGTAAAAGAAGGCCCTAGTGAGGTACTTGTAGAATCAAATAACGAAGTTGACTTAAGTAATATTGCTAAAGTCACATCAGAAAAAGCAGATGTAGAATTAGATAAAGAGTTACATGTATTTTCAAAATGTGATACTGCACCCAGAAATGTTTTTAATTTACCCGAAATCGATGATGTACACTTCAATCCTTTTGCTACCAAATCGAAAATTCGTCAATCTCCGCCGTCAACCCCTTGCTCTCCAAAAATGATTAATGATAAAATTGGGAGTGAAGTGCAATCAGTAAATGACATCACAATTAACATTGAAAATACTAATCAAGAACATAAACATTTATCACCCAATGTATGTAGCACATCTTGTTCTTTGAAAAATACTGATGATAAAGCAAACACAATTCGAGAGGTTCAAACTGAAGATGAAGATACAATTGAGGGGCCATTTTTCGAAGCAGATGAATTGAATGAAATTGATAAAATTTCAGATTTTCAATCTAATAAAGATATGGAGCCGTTAGAAGATTTTCCTGCGGAATCGGAAAATGATAAAAAAGAGGAACTATTTATTGATGCTGAAGCATTCGAATTCCTTCTTAATCAAAATAAAACTAATGTCGTAGCAGATAGTGGCAAAGAAAGTCTATTTCTTAAATTTGATCCACTTTTTGCTAAGCGTATTTCCTCAGATGGCGTTCTTTCTGCCCTTAGTAGGATCCAAAAGAGACAAAGCACTCCGAAAAAACTTACAGCGGCAGATAAGATTAATGAAACTATTGATACAACATCTGCGAGTACATCAACTAAAAATGTAATTGAGGAAAGTGTTGATGAACCTACTTTTATGGCACCAAAACCTATGATGGTTGTGAACCCGGCAGTTAATTCTCTTGTATCGCCAAGGAAGTCCACTACACCCCCTAGAATAAATAGGCGGTCTCTGACTTTCACTTCACCAGCTATGGCTGTAATTGATAGACTGCTCTCCTTGAGCGGTAATACGTCTCTATTGGACCACGACGACACTGACATCGATCACACTCAACTAAGAGAACTTTTAGCCGAAAAAGAAATACACGTTCTTAATTTAATAACAGAAACCAAAGAATTAAAAGAAAGATTAGCTTCAATGGAATCACAAGTAAGAAGTTTAGAAAAAGAAAGTGAAGAAAGACTTAAGAAAGTTAATGAATTAAATAATCGACTAGCTGAGAAAACTAAAATGAACAAAAGTATGTCAGTTGTGGTTGAGGAATATGAAAGGACGATTGCTAGTTTAATAGCTGAAATGGATCAAGAGAAAAGGCGCAATGCCGAAGATAGAACGAGATTAATTAGTGAGAGAGATGAACAAACTGCTCATCTCTCTAGTATGGAGGTGTCATTTAGCGATTTGCACAGTAAATACGAGAAAAGTAAGCAAATTATACTAAGCATGAAAGCAAATGAGGACACTTATAAGAAATCGCTTAAAGAATTTGAAGATAACATAATAAAAATTCAGAAAAATTACGAGCTGATAAAACAGCACGCGACTTCGAAACTGAACCACGCTAACCAGGAGTTGGAGAAGATTAACAGATCGCACGAAGCCGAGGTCCTGAAGTTAAACGCTATGTTAAAGCGCAAAGAATTGCATATAACGTCCCTGGAAGAATCGCTCACACAAAAGACCAAGGCCAATGAGGAATTGACGGCTATTTGCGATGAGCTCATCAATAAAGTCGGTTGAATCAATGTTAATTATAATACAGTGTGAAGTGCCTTTGTGATCTCGATTTTTTCATGATTCGCTTGTGCACTTATCTTGCGATACGTTGCTTTAAGTAACCTCGACCAAGTGCCAACTACCGAGCAAGACTGTTATTGTGATACTGTTTCGAATTTCGTTAATAGATTTTTAGTTATATTACTTATGTGAGCTGATATTTTAAATAAAACAACTGTATTGGCGATACTTTTAAATAATTAATTTCTTCATTAAAGTTTATTTATTATTAAATTCTCTGTAATCAGTAATAAAAAATGCTACATATAAAAACATTATATTCTCTCACTAACATTAATATTTATGTTTTAACGTTGACACATTTAATATTATGCTGGACATAATTTGTATTATAATGTGGACATGATATTTTGAAGAGTTGACACAGTTTATTATTTCTGCCAACAGTCAGTTAATTTATAAATCTATTTCATTTATTTTGGGAAAGCTTGATCTTTACAAAAAACTTTAAGATGTCAATTACTGTAATTTGATGAGTTAACATGTAATAATTGTAAAGAAATGCAATGTATACTGGACGCTACTTTTCTCCTCTTCATTTTTTTTGTAACTAACATACATGACAAATATTTTTATAGATTTATTGTGTTTGCTATTATATGCTATAAAATTTTGTTAAGAAATAATAATTAACAAGAGAATATTTTTTGACTTTATATAATTGATTATTAAGATTTGTGACATTATTTTTGTAGATATTTAATAAACAAAAACTATAGAGTATATTATTACAATGACTGTTAACTGAATTTCCAACATTTTATTTAAATTTTCAATTATAACATTTTATGGGATAACTTTTTTTTTTTAATAATTATTATTTTTAGTGTGTGCCTTATTTTAGGTATTTAGTAAGCCATCATAATTGATATTATCCATAAAAAACCATACATATTATTACAATTTATAATTTTTCTTTTTTTTAGTGGTAATATGTTTATTTCTCCATGAAGCGGGCCCAAATATGTAATCACTTACCATTCCTATAATATTTTGTTTACTTAAAACCTATTCACATGTATGTATGTATGTATGAAGAACTTGCGCAGGTCTATCATGTAACATGTTCGTATGAGCCCATGTACATTTATTTGTCATTACAATTGTTGAATCTTATATTTTTGTATCATATTGTGTTATAGAAATTAATAATTATTTTAGTTAATAAATGTATTGATTTTGTGACATAACAGTGTTTTATTTGTCAACTAAAACTTTATTGCTGATTTAAATTGTACCTTGTACACATGTCAATAACAACTATTTTGTAAAAATTGCAGAAGTCGACCCTTTTTTTTGTTATCATTCGTTTGTTTGCATACCTTTTTTTTTTAATCAAATTGTAAACAATGTCTTTATGTTTAAAAGTTAAATACTGAAGTACTTAGTTTAAAATTACGCTTTAAAATAATAAAAAAAAAACATAAGGCTCTTAAATTGCAGAATGTCTAATTAATTTACAGTGACATGAAAGTTGTAGAGGAAATGGTACAGAAGGTTGTGACGGTCATCGTCAACTACACCAGAGGTCGCAGGTTCATATACTTTCTATTTTTTTTTACTGATAAAATAATGTCTTAAGAATCTATTTTCTAGTGAAAATATTATCTATACCAATATTGTAAAGAGACAAAGTTTGTTTGTTTGAACGCCCTAATCTCAGTAATTACTAACTACTAATCCGATTTGAAAAATTCTTTTTGCATTAGACAGCTCATTTATTAAGAAAGGCTATATATCTATCATCATGCTATTATACCCAAGGGAACGGAGCAGTAATACATATAATATATAGGTAGTCTATCTACCCTGTTGAAAAACTTGAATAGAATCTCATCAAAAGCAACGAAAGCCACATAGAAACCAATAAATATGTATTGGTTTCTATGTGGCTTTTGTCGCTTTTGATGCGACCCTATTGGAGTTTTTTAATAGGGTATTCCATACTGAAGCGAGAATAGAGCTGCTAGTTAGATATAGAGATTATTGGGTGGGGTATTAAAGTAAGGTTTGGGCACCGCACGTACATATATGAGGATAATGCGAAATAGAGAGTACTTAGACGTAAATGAAAGATCAAATCTAGTACAGGTAGTGTAAAATATTTTTTAACTTGTGCTAAATGATGTTATAAACGCGGTTTAATTCAACTTATTCATCCTGGAATTAAAAAAACTGCGACCGTAACGGCAGCACGCACTGCTAAATATAAATAATAGTTGTTTAGTTACTTGGACGTATAATTTTATTTTGTATAAACAGGTTTTCTAACTAAAAAGAAGGATACCTTATACTCTATATATTTTGTATTTAGTGTGAGGCCTCGAATAATTTTAACAAATTGCAGGATCTAATTGAAAATTAATTACTTAGGTTCTTACAGTCTGGTGGAAAGCCATTTAGTACTTCGCAAACATACTTTCGTGCAATTAATAGCAGCCTTGAAAGAAGTATAGGGGAAAGATATTAGATATGTAATATACAATTTGTGTATTAAAATACCTAAGTTTCACTTTTATCTACGGTTTCGTCTCCTAGTTTTAAAATCAGGAAATCAAAGCTTTAGATGTATACCTACATATTGTGTTATGATTCATAATTCGCTTGCATTGTGATTTGAAGGAAGAATTTCGGCAGAATCCCTTTCATTATAGTGTCAGTATTTACAAATCCAAAATCAGCTCCCTGTTTTACTGAATGTCACACAATCACCAACGGACTACAAAAATTATAAAAGCGAAAATTTGTGTATGTATAGATGTATGTTTGTTCTTCGCGCTATAACGGCTGAATGGATTTGGATGAAATTTGCTACATAGATAGGCTGTAACATGGAGTAACACATAGGCTACAGCTTGTAATAAATTTTGCCAATAGCTGGCACTGTCTGTATATAATATTATGTATGCAATAAGCTCCAGAGCGAAGCGAGGGTAAATCGTTAGAAGTATAATATTTATCCCTCATATTTAAGTCAGTTGAATATACTTAAATAAGTAAATATTTTGGAACATAACACAGCACCATCTAGTTCCATTGTAAGTTACGAGGCTTGTGTTATGGGTACCAGATAGTTGATACACTACACATAGGTATATAACTTTAAATGTATACAGCATACATATTATAAATATAAACACCCATGACTGGAGTACAAACATTCGTGCTCATCACACCATGCGGGACTCGGACCATCCGCGACTACTGGCACAACAAGTAAGGGTCACTACAAACTGAGCCAAATTTATACAATTTCATTGCGCAAACTAAAATTGTTTGTGATATTTCCAGTGCAACATGTACTCTTAGATATTACGTCAATATATCATCCAAGAAGTGCTATCAGCCATGACCGAATTATAAACACATTACATTCTATCGGTACCGTTTTTATTAAAAACTGTGAAAGCTGGCATCATTGCGCCTAATCGCTTACATCGAACGAATGACGATCCAATTTTGTACTTGTAAATATTATTGAGGTTCGTTCAATTTAAAATTTATACTCGATTACCATACCTTAAAACAATCTTTTAATACCTACCTACTACTTAATTATTCTATTTGTTAATTTATCTAATTATTTAGTCACATAAAAAACATATATAGATAATATTATAAATACTTTTTTTTAAATTATCACCTTTTGCATTCTATAATATTTTACAATAATATTTAAATATCCAGGCTATTTATCTTACAAGAATGACTAAATCGAATTATCTACTTTTAAATAAAAGTGGTACAGTGTACACCGATAATAAAATATAAATAATGATTTTTTTCAGCCTCTTATCCACGTTGGGCCTTGTTTGAAGTTGGTAAAAACGTGGTCCAAAAACCAATGATATATGTCCGTTCGTCCGTCTGTGTGGCACAATATGGCTTTAATTTTACATACGAGGTTCTTCATTATAATTACAAAGAATAAGTATGTGTGGATTGTAGTTATGAAATGAAGTAGTTGTGATTAAGAAACAATGATAACAAGTTATAAAAAAAAACAAAATAAACAAATATACGTTTTGACTTTCCTGGTCACTGAAAATAATTTTAAATAAATTTTCGGAGTCTTCTATGAGAATGTATTTTTTTTAATTTTTGTTTAATCCGTATATAGGTACCTACTTCTTTTATAGCTAGGTTGTCAACCCCATAGTCCACACAATATGAAAAAACGTAATGAAAATATATCATTGTAATTTGTAAGGTGGTATGAAATGTCGATTTAAAGGAAATTATGTAAACTTATAGACACATCAGCAAGTACTGCAGCAATCAAAGCTTGGCGTGAGAGCTACTTATTAGGTATCTAGCTAGGAAACTTGAAAATGCTCATGTATGTGACTTGGTCGTCCACACGCGACGCCGTGCCGACTAGTGCCAGGAGTAAAAATCCGGGACGCTCTATTTATCATGCATTTACTGCCTTTCCCTCGCCCTTTGCTAAGGTTTCATATCTCGCGTTGCCATGGCAACCAGGGACAAACAACATAAGCACTGTCAAACGATAGCATCCAGTCCAGTGTCAGGGATAAAAGGAATGTACGACGAGACTGTGGAAGTGAATGCTAGAGAGATAGAAAGCCCTAGTTCAGACGAGGAAGCTGTGAAAGCCGCCATGGCGAAGTTTAATCCACCGGTGAGACACACGGCCAAACACGACTTTGACTCTGAGAGTGAAAGTGATTCCAGTCCTGAGAAATTTGGTAACGTTTCTGAAGAAGATCAGGTATTTATGCTTATAATTCATATACAATATTTATATTTAAATATTTAATAATATATTTTTCGATGCTGAGGCCGTCTATTTCTATAGGTGATACTATAATAAATAGGTTACGCTTGTCTGATGAAATTTATAAAGATTAATTCGTTGCGCATCCGTTTTAATATTACGGGTATTATTGCTTAATATTTTTATACACACATTTAGTATATTTTTATTTTACTTTTATAAATCAACTAGCGACTAACCCTCGCTCCGCCCGGATTCATCCCTACTTACGTTTTAGCGTTTAGTATAGATTTCTCAAGAGATGAGATATTTTTTCCGCAATAAAAAGCATCCTATATGTTGACCCAGATAACCAGTTATCATCATACCAAATTTCATTAAAATCCCTCCAGTGATTTTTCCGTGATGCGGTAACAGACAGGCAGACTAAAATCCTAAAAACTATAGATTCCAATAAGATTTTCCCAAAAATATTTAATGTACAGATTCGGCTTAGTTACAATTTTATTATATGTATAGATTACCTACTATATATTCCCAAATAGGTTTTGATAAATAAATATGGTAGATTAAAAATTCAATATAAACTGTATGCCTACTTAATTCAATTAAATTCTTTTTTTAGTAGTTCTTTACCTATTTAATAAACGAAACCATTAACCAGTAACTTTATTAACAAAGCAGAAGAAATCAATATGATATATCGAGACGGGATTATGTTGTTATCATCTATGCAGATAAATAAAATTGAAATGTCTGTTTGTAATGTCAAAAATAACACGTTTTTACTAAAATGCATGATTGGAATTATATACGGTATTTATAAGAAAAATACAATTGTTTCGGACGACCAGAACCAGGGTATGTCTAGTACCCGGAGGTCGACCTGGGACAATCTCCCAGACGTTCTTGGCGTACACGGCAGTATGTCCGTTCGCTGGTAATGTACGCCACCACGCACCCCTGAATGCGTAGCTTGGGTCCCGATCCACTAGGGTTTCTTCGTTGACAGGAGACTATACTTAGAGGCGATGAAATAAAACACAATTTTTCCTTTTTTCTCTCTTGGTTTCGGTTCTTCCTTTTCCTTTTAGTTGTTGCCTCTTCGGTGGCTGTCTTGCGACTGACTCGAATCGAGAAATGGCTCGCCTTTTATTTGGCCCGTTAATACCTTACAGAGAGCCGCGTACTTTGAGCTCATTTTTCGAATAAAATTTCCCTAAACCGAAACCTTGAGAGTCCTTTTATTTTATGTTTTCAGTAAAACACCTTACACATATTTATTTATTTACATGCCTTACACACTATTATACAATATTAAAACATAATATTCAATATATAATAATTAATTAAAAAAGTCTTAAAACAAAAATATCTAAATTTCTAGGTTGCTACATTTTTACTATACATTTTCCCTTATAACTTTTGAACGGATAGTCCTATCGACCTAATTCTTGTTTTATTATAAGTTTTATAATAAAATCTATTATTTAAAACATAAACTATTATGCTATTGCAAGAAACAAAAAATCTCATTTTCAAGTTACGTAATTATATGCTAACATTTTACTTACGTACCTATTCCTTTCAAATTAATGTTAAATAGTCTTATATGATTCAAATAAGCAAAAAATACTCTAAACTAACCTTATTACACTAATTAGAACTTATTTTAACATAATAAATCTAATAAGAATGAGATTTCATATTTACAACAATTATTCATAATACGCTAAAATGACATTGTCCCTATATTAATACACACGTTACTCGAAGATAAGTTTTCCGTCGCCGACATTCTCCCCCTCGTGCTTTGCACCAACTCCTGGACTCGGCGACGCTCCCGGCACCAACAGCACCACTCTCGAACTGGGCCTCCGTAGAACACCTCCTCTGGTCTCGACGTCGACGACTCTGGTCCGCCCGTCTGGTCCAGGATACACATGCAGGATTCTTCCGCGTGGCCAGATGCATCTTGGTAGGCTGTGATCGACGATCAGTACGATGTCTCCGACTTGCAAATCTGTGGCGCTGACTCTTCCTTTGGTCTTCCTTGGTAGTAGAGTGGGCAAATACTCTCTCAGCCAACGTTGCCAGAAGTGATCGGCAAGTCGCTGCGTAGCCTTCCAGGTGTGTCTGCCCACAAGCTCGTTGTCCTCGAAGCTGCCGATTCTTGCTGCGCCACATGATCGCCCGATGAGAAAGTGGTTCGGTGTAAGTGCTTCTTCTTCAGGGTTCTCGGAGAGGTGGGTGAGGGGCCGAGAGTTGACTATGTGCTCGGCCTCTAACAGGAGGGTATGAAGTACCTCCTCTCGTGGTTGCCTTTCGTTGAGCGTGGCGTCCAGTGCGGTTTTAATGGATCGCACCAGACGCTCCCATGCACCTCCCATGTTTGGTGCACCAGGAGGTATGAACTTCCACTGCACACCGATCTTCTCCGCTTCCGAGATAAGGTCTTCTTGCTTCATGGTGTCTAGTGCTTCTTTGAGTTCTTTGTTGGCGCCAACGAAGTTAGTGCCATTGTCGGTGTAGATTATCTTTGGCATTCCCCTTCTCGCGGCGAATCGTCGTAGTGCCATGATCATGCTGTCAGTGGAGAGTGAAGGAGTGAGCTCAATGTGTACAGCTCGTGTTGTTAAGCATGTGAATAGAGCACCCCATCTCTTCTCATGGCGTCTTGCTACGGTGATCGTCATAGGGCCGAAGTAATCTATTCCCGTGCACGTAAATGGAGGGTTTCCGTGCATCAGCCTCTCAGCAGGTAAGTTGCCCACTGGTAGTTCTTGAGGTCTTGCCTTTCTTGTTTTGCACCACTGGCATTGATGTTGAATGGTCTTGATCGCTGACCTCAGTCCTAGCACCCAGAAGCGTTGTCTTACTTCGTTCATTACGGTCGCGTGATTCCCGTGATTGAAGCGGCAGTGAAATTCTTCTATGATGAGAAGTGTTGTCTTGTCCTTGCTGTCGAGTACGATGGGTCGTTTGTAGTCTCTGGTAACCCCTCGTATCGCGTCGATTCTTCCTTTCAGTCGCAGGAGACCTTCTTCTAGCACTACGTCGAGCCTTTTCAACTTGCTGCTGCCCTCTAATTGTTTTCCTTGCTGTAGGCACCTGATGTCCTCTTTGAAGCATTTCTCTTGACTTCTTCTTAACAACAGCGTTTCAGCTTGCTCTAGTAGACTTGTTTCCAATGGTATGTATTTCCTTTCTGACGTTTTTGAAGACAGATGTCGCTTCTCAACAATTTTCTTATTCCTTTTTGTAGTTTTCCAGGTAGGATCTTCTTTGCTGGCGTGGACCTTTTCCTTTCTTCTGCAGAGTTGTATGAACTGCAGTACTCTTGCTGTAGCTCGCCAAAGTCTTTTCCACGACGAGAACTTTTCGGGATCTGGTGATGGATAGGAGCTGCCTGCAGTCGCTACGATGTCCGCTGCCTTTTCTTCGCCAGTGGTTTCTTTCTTGAATGTTCTTGCCGCAGGCCAGTGAACTTCATCTCTTCTTAGAAACCCTGGTCCGGTGTACCATCGGTGTTGGCAGTCGAAGTGTTCTGGTACGTCACGTGTTGCATCATCTGCAGGGTTCTGCGCCGTCGGTACCCATCTCCAGTCCTGTGGTTTTGTGAGATCTTCTATCTCCGCCAAGCGATGAGCCACGAATGTCTTGAAGGTTCTCGGGTCCGTCTTGATCCATGATAGCACGATACTGGAGTCTGTCCAAAACGTCTTCTTTTCTATTTTCAGATCCATTTCTTCCTCGACCGAGTGTGCCAATCTGCTTCCTAGGAGGGCCGCTTGCAGCTCGAGTCTCGGGATTGACACCGGCTTCAACGGAGCGACTCTTACTTTTGCTGCTACTAAGCTGACGTCATAAGTCCCATTTTGATTTTCAGTTCTCCAATATACCGTAGCTGCATACGCCATTTCGCTTGCATCCGTGAACGTGTGCAGCTCCCCCTCGGTGCGACGTGGTGCCAGACATCTCGGGATCTGAAGGTCTTGGAGCAGCTTCATCTTCTCCAGGTAAGTCTTCCATGACTCGTACTCCTTTTCTTCTATCTCTTCATCCCAACCGACGCCACTTCGCCATATGTTCTGGAGCAGCCTTTTGCCTTGGATGAGAATTGGTGATGCTAGCCCTAGTGGATCGAAGGTCGACATCACGGCGCTGGTGACTTCTCTCTTCGTAGGTACCTTGAGTCCTTGTGCCACTTCATCTGGCGTGTTCCGAAGGTTCGCCCTAAAGCCTATGGAGTCCCTTTCTGTAAACCAGCGTAGTCCCAGTGTCTTCTCTTCCTTCTCACCAAGGTCCACCTCTGTCTTCTCAACTGACTCAGTCTTCACGTCTTGCAGCAGGTCGGAGTGGTTTGACGCCCATCCTCGGAGTTCGAAGCCCGCCTTTTTGTGAATGAAGTCCACCTGCGCTGTAATTCTCTTGAAGTCCTCTTCTGAATGGAAGCTGTGCAGGTAGTCATCCATGTAATGGTTCAGCTCGATTGCCTTTGCTGCCTCTGGGTACTGCTTCTTGTAGTCCGCCGCGTTCCGGTTCTTCACGTAGATCGCTGTGCTAGGAGATGATGTCGCGCCGAAGATGACTGATGTCATTCTGTACTCCTTCGGTGCTACGTCACGACGATCCCCTCGCCACAGGAACTTCAAGCTGTTTCTATCTTCTGGCCGGATGCGAACTTGCAGGAACATTTCCTTTATGTCGGCTGCCACTGCAAACGGGCCTTGCCGGAACCTCAGTAATACCCCGAAGAGCGATTGCAGTAGGTCTGGTCCCGGTAGTAAAGCGTCGTTGAGGCTTCTCCCTTTAGACTTGGCTGCAGCGTCGAAGACGATCCTTATTTTCTTCTTCAATGGATGTACCACGGAGAAATGAGGGAGGTACCATGTCTTCTTTGAATCTTCTTGTCCACCAGGTGCTTCTTCTGCATACTTGCTGTCGATTAGATGCTGGATCTGCTTATTGTATTCTGCCTTCAGCTGAGGGTCTTTGTCTATCTTCTTTTCAATGTTGAACAATCGGTTCTTGGCAGACGTGTAGCTTTCAGGCATCTGTTCATCTTCATTTTTCCATAGAAGTCCAGCTTCAAATCGACCATCTTCTAGTCTTCTGCAGGTCTTCTCTAGGATGGTGAGTGCTCTTTCTTCTGAATCCGTAGTGGGTCTTCTTGGTAGTACTCCAAGTGCTTCGATTGCGAAGTGATCCTTGATGGCTTGATGCATCTCTTCTTCTGGCGTGCTGACATGTAGACACGTGTTTAAGAAGTGCACCACTTTCGCGCCTCCAGTGTCTGACCCGTGGAGCACCCATCCAAGTCCTGTTCTTGAAGCGACTGGTTGTCCTGGTTTCCCTCTTCTTACTTCTTGAGTCACGATTAGCTCCCAGTTGTCTTGACCGATGAGCAGCTGTGGTGACTCCCCCTTATAATATAGAGAGTCAGCAATCTTCTTCAAGTGTTGACACTCTTCTATCCTTTTCTTTTCTAGGAACTGCGGTGCAAGCTTCAACTCTTCGATGGTCCGGACTCTTCTCAAGGTCTTCTTGGTCTTCTGATGAATCCCCTTCACCGTAAGGTCAAGCATCTGAGAGTCTTCCTTCCTTATCAGCCTGCCTCCAACAGTCTCGATGACCAGTTCCTCCTTTCTTCCTTGAGCGCCGATTTCTTCTGCTACCTTCTGGTCTAGCAGCGACACTGTTGACCCTTCATCCATGAGGGCCAATATCTTCTTTGATCCTTTTGACCCGAAGATTTCTATCGGAATTATCTTCAGGTATGCCCTTGCGTTGTTGACCGCATTCACCGATGCCATGATGCTCGCCACTTCTTGTGGTTTGTTCTTCTGTTCTTCCGAGGAACTTTTCTCTGTCTCGACGTGCAGCAGATGATGATGCCACCTCTTGCATTCCTTGCACGACGGCTTCTTGCAGCTCTCCTTCCGATGTGTCCCTTGTAAACACTTGAAGCAAACGCGGCTTTTCTTCACTATTGCCCATCGATCTTGCACAGACGCCTTCAGGAACTTCTGACACCCGACGAGGAAGTGTTCACCCTCACACATGGGGCAAGTCTTCTCTGATCTTGAAACCTTTTCTTTGAAGTCCTTTTCCTTAGTTGAATGCGTTGCTTGTCGATGAGTCCGTCTGAACCCGCTCTTCTCTTCTGTTGATGCATAGGCTCCACACTTGTCTGCTTCTCTGTTCAGGAACTTGGACACCAGTGTTAGGTCGGAGAACTCGCCTTCTTCTGTTGTTTCAATGAAGTCGTACCATCGGAACTTGAGGATCGTAGGCATCTTCTCAATAATTTGTTTCACCATCTCAGGTGAATGCAGGTACTGTGGTTTCTTCAATCCTTTTATTGCCGCTACGCTGTTGCTGATCTGGCTCGCGAAGAGGCATATGTCCCTTGGGTTTTCAGAAATCTTCGGCAACGTTTTGACCTTGTCCAACTCTGCCAGCACCAGTGCATCTGGTCTTCCATATCTTCTTCTGAGGGCTTGAATCACTTCCATCGGAGAGGCTTCGGAGTACAGCAGACTCTTGATAGCTTCTCTTGCGTCGCCCTTCAGTGCTCTTCTTAGCCGAGCCATATTCTGGACGCTGTTGAACATCGGTGCTGTATCTTCATAGACAACCTTGAAGGCCATCCACTCGCTGCTGTTGCCGTCGAAGTAGGGTAACTCGTGAATGTAGGTTGGCTGTCCTGCTGGTCCTCGCGTGGTAAGAGCTTCCTTCAATGCTGCCGTCAGTGCTTGAATTTCAATCGTAGCTCCTCTCGTTGAGGAGTTCTCTTCAGGCTTCATCTTCTGTGGCTCTTCCAAGGGGTGTGGACCTCGCATCTCTGGTTGAACTTTGTTGCCATCCTCCAGCACAGACGTCTCGATCCAGTTCTGCACCTGTGCTGTTCTGTCTTCCAGGTCTTCATCCACGGAGTCCTCTTCTTCACACTGTACCATCTCCAATCTGACACGGGCTAGCTTAGTTTCAGCCTGTGCTTGCTTCAACTCCAGGCGTGCCAACTCTTCCTTTGCTTCTAGCTCGCGTCTTCTGGCCGAGGAACTCGTGGTCTTCGTGGACCTGGCGCGACGACTGACCCCCATCGGTTTCAGGGTCTTGGAGGAGCCTTGAACATCCTTTCCAGGTACATCTTCTTGGCTCTTCCTGGTCATCCTCTGTGCAGCATCTTCTTTGTTGCCTTCCATAGACGCCGCCGTAGTTGCAGTCGTAACCGTAGTCTCTGTCACTGTGGTGCCCTCCGTGGTCGTGGTACCCGAAGAAGTGTTCGATGTAGTTGCAGTTCCCGATGACGCCGACGCTGACGTGACCCCTTCTGATCCCGACGTTCCATCTGTCGCGTCCCTATCTGAAGGACGGGACCCGGGACGTGAGGGGGCATCCTTCTGCGACCTGGTTACCGGCATCTTGAACGCAATCTTCTGTTTCTTCTGAACTTCTTCTAGCAGGGATCCGGCTCGAAGGACCAACTGTTTCGGACGACCAGAACCAGGGTATGTCTAGTACCCGGAGGTCGACCTGGGACAATCTCCCAGACGTTCTTGGCGTACACGGCAGTATGTCCGTTCGCTGGTAATGTACGCCACCACGCACCCCTGAATGCGTAGCTTGGGTCCCGATCCACTAGGGTTTCTTCGTTGACAGGAGACTATACTTAGAGGCGATGAAATAAAACACAATTTTTCCTTTTTTCTCTCTTGGTTTCGGTTCTTCCTTTTCCTTTTAGTTGTTGCCTCTTCGGTGGCTGTCTTGCGACTGACTCGAATCGAGAAATGGCTCGCCTTTTATTTGGCCCGTTAATACCTTACAGAGAGCCGCGTACTTTGAGCTCATTTTTCGAATAAAATTTCCCTAAACCGAAACCTTGAGAGTCCTTTTATTTTATGTTTTCAGTAAAACACCTTACACATATTTATTTATTTACATGCCTTACACACTATTATACAATATTAAAACATAATATTCAATATATAATAATTAATTAAAAAAGTCTTAAAACAAAAATATCTAAATTTCTAGGTTGCTACATTTTTACTATACATTTTCCCTTATAACTTTTGAACGGATAGTCCTATCGACCTAATTCTTGTTTTATTATAAGTTTTATAATAAAATCTATTATTTAAAACATAAACTATTATGCTATTGCAAGAAACAAAAAATCTCATTTTCAAGTTACGTAATTATATGCTAACATTTTACTTACGTACCTATTCCTTTCAAATTAATGTTAAATAGTCTTATATGATTCAAATAAGCAAAAAATACTCTAAACTAACCTTATTACACTAATTAGAACTTATTTTAACATAATAAATCTAATAAGAATGAGATTTCATATTTACAACAATTATTCATAATACGCTAAAATGACATTGTCCCTATATTAATACACACGTTACTCGAAGATAAGTTTTCCGTCGCCGACAACAATTTTTAAATTGTTTGTCTGTCTGTTTGTTCCGACTAATCTCTGAACCGGCATGGCTGATTCTGACGGGACTTTTACTGGCAGGTAGTTGATGTTATAAGGAATAATTTAGGCTACTTTTATTTCAGTAAAAGAATTAGGGTTCCCAGGGCCGGATTTAACCTTTGCGCCGCCCCTGGGCACTGTAAAAAATGCTGCCCTATTATCGAAATTTTGAATAAAATGTAGAAACTTTCAATTTCTTAATTATTAATTCTTCGAAAAATGCAAAAAAAAAATATAATAATTTATAAATGATATCAATTTTTCAAAAAATGTACCTACAAGTTAATTTTCGTTAAAGCATTTTCGATAACTCGAAAAAAATTATTTTCCCACCCTTCGAATCTTGCCGCCCCTAAAAATTTGCCGCCCTGGACACTAGCCCCGAGTGCCCCTAGTGTAAATCCAGGGCTGAGGGTTCCGCTCAAAAAAATAAAACGTACCTAGGGACGAACCCGAGTGAAGCGAGGTTGAGTCGCTACTTATTAAAATAAATCGCGTGTGGGTTTATTGCAGACTGCAGTGTACACAGCGCATGATTGAGTCCATATTTCTTTTATTTCAAGTCGCCAGAAAGAAAATCGGAGCATGAAGAGCCGAAGAAAACTAAGGACAGTGACTTATCGAGACAGTCTAGCAAACGTCACGACTCTTCGAATTCGGGTATGGATTTCAATTATATATCGTTAATTGAAAGGCATATTACTTGACAAATAATAATAGGTTTGAATGGTGAACCTTTCTATCATGACTTTCCTTGCTATTGTTCGATATTCATTATAAATTATAAGTAAGTAAGTATTAATTATTTCAAATAGAAAGGTACTTATAGCTATCAAAATGCCACATACTTGTAAGTTAATGGTATTTGTCGTAAGAGCTCCGGGATTCGATTCTGGTTCTGGATGTTTTTTTATTACCTACGTATCCTAGTATCTAATAAATTATTTACATTTCTTAGACATATGTTATCTTGTAAGATATGAAATTTTTAGTTTTTAGGTCTGTCCCTTATTGAGAATGTCGAGACAAATGTATTATACAAGTAATCGTTGCGAATAAATAAGTTGTTAAATGTAATTGCAATTGTTTGAACAGTTCCTAGAGCTACATGTACTAAGTAGCAAGAATCGTTTTGAGAAGTCTACTAACATGGCTCTCTTTTTAAAGAGGATATATCTAACTATAAATGCGACACAAAATGCAATAAGTCGTTAATTTTAAAATGAAATTATACGTCAATTTCTGAATATCTGCATAATTTGCATATACCTATCGCTTATCAGACACGGATAGCGCGGACGTTGGTGTCGAGATAGCGGATCCTCTCGCCGGTGCGGGGAGTGGGAAGAAACGAGGCGTGGTGATACCAGCCGACGGTGCTTATGACCCCAAGCAGTTCCAGGACTTGAAGGTGCCTCCAGAGCTGGAGAATGTGTTCCAGTATATTATGAAGTGAATTGTTCATTTTGATATTTTAAATTTTTATAGGTATATCAAGGTCAATCTTTATTAAAAATTTTGAAGTTTTTTTTTTATTTTGAATTAGTTGGACATGATCTAATTGATCTATTTTATATAGCTACTAGCGACTGACCCTCGCTTCACTCAGGTTCATCTCTAGGTTCCCATGCAAATTTTCATCCCCATTTTCACCCCATTAAAGGATGATTTCCGGAATAAAAAATATCCTATGCCCTTCTCAGGGTCTCAAACTATATTCTTACCAAATTTCATCTAAATCGGTCCAGTAGTTTCTGAGTTTATTCGTGACAAACATACAAAAATACAAATCTTTCCTCTTTATACATAATAGTAGCGTAGAAGTGTAGATAAGGAAAGTTATTTCGTGGTGTTTAAAGGTATGCATTTCTATGAAAACTACACAGATGTAGACCATTACCTGGAGTAACACATAGGCTACTGTTAGACATCTAGGCGAAGCGCGGATAACAATTTACTAATTTATTATATACCTACCTACCTATAATAAGTATTCATTTTCAAAAACGTTTTTACTTTTTATATTATAGGTACACACCACAAAAGATCGACATAGAGTTCAAGTTGCAGCCGTTCGTGCCGGAGTACGTGCCGGCCGTGGGCGACACCGACGCCTTTATCAAGGTGACGACGCCCGCGGCCGGCCTGCGCGGGGAGACGCTCGCCGACCAAGCTCTCGAACATATCGATAATTTGGGTATGAATTAGTTAATTTATGTCCCTAACACTGTAGGATCTGTTATTAGCGTCCCGAAGTCCAGGTGTGATGCTAAGAGGTGTGAGTTGGGTTGCTCCTTGTACTTCTCTCATAGCAGAGTACCTACCGTGGGCAACCTTTTGTTTGGGGTGTCGTGGTTGAGTAAACAAGTGATATTTCGGCGCCCCATTAAGACGAATGTATTGCACAAGTGGTACAAAACTCTAACATTTCCCAAAAATAATCATTTCAAAATAATATTCAACATATATTTATTACAATTAGATAAGGTATACTAATTAAGCTTAAAAATATAACAATTAAATAGATTTTATCATTTAATTGAATAAAATATATTCAAGAGTCTATTCAAGTAGAATTTTCACAGAATAAACTATATTCAACGGTTTGAATTTAACGGTTTCGCTAAAATGTAACAACTGAATTATTTATGTAATTGCTTTCTTCATTATAGCGTTGTGTCATCTGTGTTATAACTATATGTAAAATTTGGTTTTATTGTACTTTTAGATAATAAAAAATATTCCCTCCACGACCGCGGACACGCCGGCGAGTCAGTTAACAATAGATTTCTTAGAAATTTAATTAGTTTCTTAGAATTTTATCTGGAGGTAATATAATAAAATTATATTATAACCGAGAATATTCAAGTTCGTAAGAAAGCTTCTGAACTGAGACAAATTGGTGCCACATGATAAGATTGTCATATCACTTATGGCATTATTTTTTTTGTCGTAAATTTATTATGCCTCTTATTATGTTTGACGACACGTTTGGCTCAGTTTGTAGTGAACCTACTTGCTGTGCCAGCGGTCGCGGGTTTGAGTCCCGCTAGGACTTTTTTCATTCATTTGTGTGATGAGCACGATTGTTTGTACTCCAGTCATGGGTGTATATATTTATAATATGTATGTATTTAAAGTTATATATGTGTAGTGTATCAACTATCTGGTATCCATAACACAAGCCAGCTTACCACTTATGTGTTAATGTCCCAACATATTTTTTAATTTATTATGTATCTCTACCTTCGTAGAGAATAGTTACAATTGTTTAGTGGAATAATTGATATGTAGTCAGCATATTATTTTGTTTAGTTTTTATTATTTTCAGAAAAGTTTTTAATGGGTAGAGGAATCCCACCAATTTATGTAGGTTTCGCAGAAACAAGCCATTGGGATGTTGATGATATACCTAATTATTAACGAATTTTGTTTTCGTCAGGTTTAACAGTTTTAGATGAACCTGCAGCGGAACAGAGCGACTCGGCCCTTTTGCATTTACAGTTAAGAGCAATTTCAAAAACAACAAGCGCTAAGTCCACCGTGGTAAGTGTTTCTGTAAAGTAGTATCATAATCTCATCTAGGCAGTGGTAGCCCAGTGGTAACGCACTCTCTTGGGAAACCGAGTGAAGCGGGTTCAAATTCCGGGTCCCGCACCTTTGATATTCTCATGTGCGATTCATTTCCAACATGATTATCACTTGTCTTACGGTGACGGTGAAGGAAAACATTGTGAGGAAACCTGCATGTCTGAGAGAACGTAGCAAGTTTTCGAAAGACATCTGAAGTCCGCCAAACCGCACTTGGCCAGCGTGGTGGACTCTGGCCTGATCCACTCGTATTGATAGGCCTTTGCCCAGCAGTGGGACGTTAATAAGGGCTGAATCCAGTAATCTCATCTGTTTTTTTTAGGTCACCTAATAGTATAGGATGAAGCGAGTCGCATAATATGTCAATTGATTAAATAATTACGGATTCCCATAATTCTAACAAGACAAGACACAATTGCTTGTTTATTTCACTGCAATGTGTTGTTGTTGTCGTTCTGAAAACTTATAGTATATTTTTTACTAAAGGTCCAAGATGTGCAACATGACGTTGATGTCCAATTTATCTTCGCCGACGCTAATATGTATGGTTAAATGATACAAAATAATTTATAAAAATAAATATTTATTACATAGGAGGCGCTTTGAAACACGATATCTATTCATTTCCCCGTACCTATATAGGTACATTGAAAATTCTATGACCGGCCATCACTCCACTATACCTAAATCATTTATGATGTTTGTATGTGTTAATATAATTATTTCGGAGGTAAAAATTAAAATATAACACCATAACGTTTTTTTAAATTTAAACTTATTATTTCCAGTTGACCCGCAAAATAGACAGTGCTGAGAAGAACCCAAAAGCGATCGAGCGCTGGATAAAAGACGTGAGCGAGCTGCACTCGGCTAAGCCCGCGCCCACATTCACCTACACGTGGTACGACATTATATTTGCATTATAGGAATAAATACATAATAACATAGCAACGAGCCGAGATTCTAAGTCAATGTACCTCAAAGTCAATGTCAATGTCATTAATAGATATTATTTATTACTTAAATTCATGCTTAATAGAATGTATTAGACGACACGATAGATTTTGATATAATATATGTGTATTGCCCGATTTCACTAACATCCCATAAGTTATCCCCTAAACTAAACTAGCCCCTAAATTAAATATTGTTTTACCATCGTCAGAGCCTGTATTTATAGTACTTATATTTAGGTGGCATCTTAACATTTAGGTGACCCCTAACTGTTGGTGAAACAGAAACTGTCCCCTAAAACAACCACCTAACCATGCTTAGGGGATCCCTTAAACTTGGTGACGTTGGTGAAATCGGCCATATGTCACGCATTTAAAATCATATTGAAATCATCGACTTCAATATTTACTTTCATCTTTTTGTTTGAAGTAATTGTCGAGAAGCAATTTACGGACCCGGAATAAATACTAGAAATAGAGATAAACTGATAACGCCTAGCTTTCGCCTTCAAGTGAACAGCTAGCTCGCTCAGACGCAAGGTGGACGAATATATAATAATTCCACGAACGATATTTCGTTTGCCATTAAAATAATTTAAGTCTAAAATTGAAAATATATTTTTAAAGCTTTTTACACCATCACGGAATACTTTGTAGACGTCAATGTGTGGAACTAATGTCTGGTTGGGTCTTACGTAGGATAAGTAGATGATTATTGTAAGCAAATATTATTTTAAAAGAGTTGTTTCTGTTGAGTTTCTCGCCGGCTCTTCTCAGCAGATCTGCCTTCCGAGCCGGTGGTAGATTCTTCATGGACTACGGATATTGCCGTGACATTTAATTTAAACATTGAAATAGTTGTAAAAATAATGAATGAGTTATTTTAAAATAAAGTATATTTAGATTTGATTTGAGTTTACTGAAATTTTTATTTTAAATGAATTCCTAACGGTTATTTAGAAAACAATAGGTAAAATGTAGGAATTATTGAGATAAAAAACTTTCTAGTTGTTCCTAGTCATACATATTAATAATATAGAATTAAATGAGAAAATCCACTCTCTCAACATAATATCTAAACATATCAAACACGTAACATCTTATTAGGAGCGGTAATGAGAGGAATTAGAGCGTGACGTCATGATACACCATTGTGATGGCGGCGCGGGAATCATTTGTTATTCACTTATCTGACATTTCTTTTTTTTTAATTATATGTATTATTTTAAATTCTAAGCTTATTTGCGTAGAACCTAAAGTTTAAATTATTATAAAATTTTCATTTGTTAGTAAAGTTATTTTTTAATTAAACAATTATTGTTCTTAATCGCTTTATTTATTATTAAAAAATTAACCTTTTCTCAATTATCTACATATTTAATATAGTAATAAATAAGCGGAAAATAATTGTGATCACTATATATTGTATTAATGAAATGAATTTAAAAGTGCAGATACTTTTTCAATTATTGTTAATATTTGTGTTATATTTTTATATTATACTAGCATTACCCGCGGCTCCGCCCGCGTTCAGATGACCAAAAACCAAATTCTTAGGTTTTACATTAGTATACTCTATATTACATTGCAGTTTTTGTGTTTTTTTCTCAGAAATTAGATATTTTCCCGCGGTAAAAAGTATCCTATATGTTGACCTGGATAACCAGCTATCACTATACCAAATGTCATCAAAATCTCTCCAGTGGTTTTTCCGTGATGCGGTAACAGACAGACAGACAAAACTATTGATAACTAAAAACTATTGATTCGGCCTCTGTATCGAAAATGTCTATTTTAATACGATTTTCCAAAAAATATTTCATATACAGATTCGGCTCAGTTAGAATTTTATTATATGTATATTATATGAAATATATATTATATGAAAATGAAAAAAATCTCCTATATTAGGTATTATAATCACAAAGTATAGTGTATTCAGTTTTTCCTATTGAGTCTACAATATACTCGTTGCATAGATTTTTAGGCAGTACGTCATACTCTATGCTGATAATAATTGAAGTATTTTTTCAATTACAAGAAGCATGTCATCCGTCTGCCTACTACTAGATTGATAGATAAATTACATTTATCTAAACATTCCACTGTAGGTGTTTTAACATTCTATTGCTTTTGCCATATACGATTCTAAAAATGGCCATATGCCCTAGGGTAGGTCGAGCAGTTACAGATAACTGTACAGGTGTGTACCATATACGCTCCCGGTTTACCTGCTAACTGTACAGGCAGGCTGTAATATGTATGTACTTATTATGCCTACTTAATACAATCGGGCTACTATTATAATTGCAAAATTTCGTGTGTATGTTTGTTAGTCCTTCACGCTGGAACAGCTGGGTGGATTTGGATTATATGTATTTAGTACACAGATAGAGTAAGATTACAGTAACGCAATACCTACTGCTATTTTGCTGCTTATTTTTTTTTTACGTTGGCAAATGCATTTAGGCACTAGGGGTGGGACTCACCGGCTAAGCCTATACTACCTACTAAAACCCAACGGAACCTCACCCGTCTTAATGGGGCGTCGAAGAATCGCTTACGCACTCAACTACGAAGCCTCCCTCCCACCTCCCTGTGCGTTTCTTGGCTTCACTACTGAGCCCACCCGCCACGACAAAGTGAACGCACGTTGGGGGGAACATAAAGACGCACCTGAGCCAAGCTAGGATGAGTCGGTAGTATTCGTATGTACCTAAACATGTTTTGGGTAATTAAATTGCGTTTGTCTTATTCAAAATTCCATTTTCATTATTTTCAGTAAAATGCCAGACATAGATAATTTAATGGAGGAATGGCCAGACACCATGGAAGATACGCTCAACGAAGTCGGCTTCCCTCCTGCCAACATCGACTGCTCTCTCTCCCAGTACGTGGATTTAGTCTGTGCGATATTTGACATTCCAGTGCAAGGTGACACTTTAAATGACAGGATACAAGCTCTACATTTGTTATTTAATCTGTATTCTGCTGTGAAAAATTCACAATTATATGCTGAAAGAGAGAAAGAGAAAGGTGTTGGTGGTTAAATGATATACAGATGATCGATGTTAATAAATAAAAAGATGATTAATGTGAATGTTTAAGATTTCTAAAAAAAACTACTAATAACTTATAACAATTACAGAAAATAAAAAAGTTTCTGTATAGTGTAATCGTAATTTATTGTTATATATTGAATTTTGTATTTATAAGTGACTCATTGGTCTGGTGGTTAGCATGTACAACTGCAGTTTTTAAGTGTTTCACAAAATATTCAGAAGCATAAAGGATTTGATGTATTGGCGGATTTACGTACTAAGTCACAGTTCGAGAAACTGTCGTCCCATAGAAATATATATAGGAGCACATTCACAGCTATAACTCTCAATGAGCTTGGCCGCCGTAGCCAGATTAGGTTTTGGAGGACACAATATTTTTTCAAAACCTTAAAAATCTACGAATGTATAAACTGAGTCAAATAAGGTAGCATATAAATATATGTTAATGTTGAGTGGAATTGTTAATTTTAATTATTTTACAACAGATAATAAATATTTAAGAAAAAAAAGTTTGTATTATTTAAAAAATAATAAAACAATAAAATTACTTTGGCAATTGTTTATTTACAAATTTCGTTACAATGTTCCAGACAAAAATATACATTCACTACATCTTTACTTTAGCCTCTACTTGACGTATTCACATTAAGAGATAACAGGACTTATTACATATCTAGTCGTCGCCCGCGGCTTTACACGTCATTTACTAATAGACGTAATATTACTATTTTAGTAGATCGATTTATCGAAATTTGAAACATAACGCGTATTAATAACTAATAAGTGATAACGAAGCAAAAAAAAAGCAGTCATGAGAACATCCGACAGAAGTGATAACCTCACACTATAAAAAAACAGTTGTTATTTTTGGATATTCAAATTGTCTAAACTGAAATTAAAATTTCTAAATTAAAACTGCATTTATCCGGTTTTGAGATCTATCGGCACTCTGTGTGAGCGTTAACACGTCACGTGACCATGTCGATGACGATTTACATGAATTTACTCCCCATCCAAATCTGTCTATAGAAGTTTTCACTTCAAAAATTAAAGTTATCTAACTAAAGTCAATATGAATCGAATTTCTTATAAAAGATCTACTAACACTATGTCTCAGACTAAGGAATAATATGGACATTGTCATAGAAATAAACATGAATCTAAACAATGTTTTAAAATAGTATACCAATGACAATTTGTAAACTGAGTGATAAGTAAATAAATTTTAATAAATAAAAATAGCTAACGGATTTTATTATAATAAACAAATTAAAATAAAATAAGCTAACATTATGCTATTTCTCTCTCAAGGAAAAGAGAACTAATACTTAAAAATATCAAATATATATTTATATAGTATTATTTTTATTATTCATATTTCATTCCCAAAAAATGTATATTAACATAATACATATATAAAATTCGCCTTATTCTTTAAAGAATGTAAACGATATGTATGTATGTATGTATGTAAGAATCGAGAATAGTAGCATACACAGCATATCACGGTACTATTTCTTACATTGACATTTATTTTGGCGGGCTCCGTCTATTTAATTCTTTAGTCTGAGCACTAAATACATATGTCTTGTATCTATTTCACATTAAATATACAACGATAATAGCTATTGCGAATGACGAAAGTGCGATTGAAATTCTAATTTAACATGTATGTATGTACTTTCGAGAAAAATCGTTGCAGTTTCAGAATTATCTAAAAATTAGCTTTTAAACGGTTATTGGACGGTAGTATTTGAATGTATTTATGAAATCTAAAGCACGATTAGAAATCTGCTGTAAAAATGTTATAAATAATGGTTTATTAGGTACCTATATATTGTTGTACAGATGTGACGTCAGAGTTAGTGTTGCTAGTAATTTGAATCATTTTTAAATAGAATATTTTTAAGGACATATTAATCTGGTAACACTTTTGTTGTAAGTGCTATTTATATATATTTTTCATTATATAATAGACTGCTGCATCATGAATTGATTTTTATTAGAAAGGCAATTTTTTTTTTTTTTTTCAACAAACTAAGTCAAACAGATATATTAAAATATTTCTAGCTATGAATCTATTTAAGGAAAAACATGAATAGTAAAGAATGTTTTAATGTATAGAAATATTTTATTGAAATTTGTTTTTATTAGAATTAGGTATTTGTAAAAATGGCTTAATTTATATTGATTATTATTAATTTACTGTATCTTAAAGTTTTCATAAGAGGTTCTTCAGAATTTAGAATGTCAAAGGCCACATCTATACTTGGCTATTAGATCGTTATTTAAATATTGAGTAATAAGTTTTTAATGTGAGACAAAAATAGTAGGAATATTGTTTGTATTTTATTTTATATATTCATAACATTTCATTGGAAGACCGTTGATAATGACAAAATTCTAAAACGAAGGCCGAAAAACTACACATAATATGCCATCCAGCTATTATAAAGGCTGCACTTTTACATTAAATCGATAATACACGTATCGATTTTAAAAATAAGTAGTTGATATAAAATTAACAGAATCGATTTTTAAATCAAAACTTATAATAGCTGTATTTGGAGATAATAAACTTATAATGCTTGAAGAAAGCTACGGTATAACGAAAACTGCATAAAAATTAGTTTCACAATATATTTTTATAAACTAAAATTAACTTACTATGTACAATATGTTGCGGATTCACAAAGCATTTATCACAGTTACATACATTGCACCCACTCTCTTAATTGTTCCATTCGTCACAAATAAACCACAAATCACAAAAAATATAACACTGCCGTCATAAAAAAAAGGCCGTAACTTCGTCAAAGTTGATATCGAGATATTTGAAGTTTTGTCTTACTACTAAGTCAAAATTACAACTAGTTTTGACGTAGTTACGATTAAAATGCTTATGGTATCTCCGGATTCATAAGACTTAGAGCTTTATGAGTAAGATTATAAAGTAGCATTTTTTTTTGCTGATTGCGAATCTGCATTTAAGTCGTTTTTGACCAAATTGTCAGTTAGGGCCTTCTTTATTATGACGGTAGTATAATAAAATGTAAATTATGAACATTAAATAATTGTATACTAAAAGCAAATAAAATTAAAATAGGTATAGTATAATTTAGGAACACATTAAAATCGTTCTTTTTTCTTAAATATTTAACTAAAATTGTTTACATTGTAATAAATAATCAGTAATTCAAATTATATAATGTCTTTTTTTATTTTTTTTATCTTTTTAATTAAAAATTTATTTAAAAAAAAAAACTATTTTCAACAACCAGAGGGAGGGAATTGAATCGTATTACGCGAACTTCAAAATAATCAAATTACTGATATTATTTTTTAATCTATAAAAATGCATGATAAGAAAATCGGTTTCAAAAAACCTTGCTACTGTTTAAGCACTTTATATGAGTCAATTAGGTGAATCGATATTTCTTTAATTTTATATAGAACATTTAAAATTAGAATAAAATAATGAGAAAGCTAAAAGATAATAAGGACTAGCCTTTACAGTAAATAAAATGGTATTTCTATTAAAAAGTAAAATTAAATATTAATTCAGTAGGATCACAAACACACATATAAATTGTCTTTTCACATACATAACTATCACAATATCGTTGATGCAGTCAAGTGGAGATCTAGAAAGAAATAAGATTAAATTAGCACAATAGGTATATGTACAATGTACATATTATAAAAAAATAAAAAAATAAGTTAGGACATTAACACACAGCACCATCTAGTTTCATGTTAAGCTACGAGGCTTATGGATACCAGATAGTTGATACACTACACACATATAACTTTTAAATACATACATATTATAAATATAAACACCCATGACTGGAGTACAAATATTCGTGCACATCATACGAACTAATCTTCCCAGCGGGACTCGAACCCGCGACCGCTGGAACAACAAGTAGGGTCACTATAAACTGAGCCAATCGTGTCTTTAAATACATCATAATATATATTTATTTAAAACAATTACTTGTATAAACAAACAAGTGAGTCCGTTGGGGGTTCTTATGTGCATTATAAACAAATGCTTTAAATTTCCAGATCTTTAATTTTTATCGAATATCTAACTAGGAGAAAAAATCAAATATTGGGTTATCCACCCCGCCAGGGCTCGTATTTGGGTTGCGCGGTTGACGAATATATTATGTATATAACTTACCACGAAATAGCTCTACAAAGCCAATTTCAAAACCGTTTACCTCAAAAAATGATATTTTTGACAATTCTTGCAATAACATGAATTTCTGTCAGAATCAAAGGCGATCACCTATTGTATGGAGTTTCATATTTCGTTTCGCTCGGGTTAGTCCGTAGGTTGCTTCCCCATACAAACTTTCATCCCAATTTTTACCCCCTTAATCGATGATTTCCGGGATAAAAACTATCCTAGGTCCTTCACAAGGTCTCAAACTATCTTCATACCAAATTTTTGTCTAAATCGGTTCAGTAGTTTTGGAGTTTATTCGGTACAAACAAACAAATAAGCAAAAAAATCTTTCCGCTTTATAATACTAAGTATAGATTAGCGTCGACTAATACGTACCTCACTTAATGATAATGGAAAAGGTTTAATATACGCCTGTTGAACGGGAACTGCTGCTTGAGCTCCGACAACGGCTCCTCTTCATTGCGGATGCAGAAATAGCTCGTGATGGCGCTCCGGCAGATTGGACACTTGTCTAGTTTAGCTGGAAAGAGATAACAATTGATTATATTAATGTTACTAGCAATTTAGATTTTGTACGTTTTTTTATCCCGTAGGAATAAAAATTTCTTTATTTTATGCTTGACGTTTCGAATGCTTTACAGCGAACATGGTCATGGGAGAGATTGATCGACCATGACCATTGGGCATTGACCATGTTTGCTGTAAAGCATTCGAAGTATCAAATATTCGCGTAAATCTAACAAAGTATTAACTTAGGCTACTCTTATTTTAGAAAAAGAATTAGGGTTCCGTTAAAAAAATTAATAACGTACCCAGGACCGCAACCGAGCGAAGCGCGGGTAAGTCACTAATATATACTAGTATTATAAATGTGAAAGTTTGTGAGTATGGACGTTTGTTACTCTTTCACGTCAGAACGGCTGAACGGATCTGGATGAAAGGCACAGAAATAGATTATAGTCAGGAATAACACATAGGCTACTTTTTATCACGGAAAACTGTACGGTTCCCGTGAGATAGGTTTGTTGTTGTTTTCCGCTAGTAGTATATAAAAATGCCATAACAATAATAGTATCAGAGTTTACGATACGTCCCTAACATTATCAGTTCCATAAGCGACAAAGGTCGGTGTGGAAGGTCTAAAGTTTAAAGTACTGGCATTGGCACCGATGCGATCGGATGTAGGGACCGTGGATTGAATATTGATAATATGGTGAGGACAAAGTGAGAGCGCTCAGCGGTTATTTTTCCTCTTTAAAAGGGCTATGCTCCAAATACTATAATAAAATAACTTCCATCTGAGAACATTACTATAATACTATTAAAATATTATTACTCATATAATTTATATAAAGACCTGGGCTACCGAGCTTCGCTCGGAGTTTTTAAGTGACAAAACATTACAAAAAAAATAAAAATTAAAAACTTTGTATCCGACCGGGATACGAAACCAGACACCTGTGGTTGTCAAACTTGCGCCTTGGCCGCTTGACCACGATGCTTATGTCCTAGCGTGCGAATTAGCGACCATATTTTGCGTAGAATAATGCAAAACAAAACCACATGAAAACTCGAAAACACGCGTTTTCCCAGACATAAAACTAGTCTAGATCGATTTTTCGTCCCCGAAACCCCCTGTATACTAAATTTCATGAAAATCGTTGGAGCCGTTTCCGAAATTCAGATTATATATATGTACAAGAATCGCTCGTTTAAATATATTAGATATATTTCGATCTATATAAATAAGCAAAGATAAAACAGTTCAGTACCTTTTTCTCCTCTATTTTTCAACCGATAATCTTTTTTTGTTTAGTAGTTATTGACGACAATTGGTTCTACGTGCTCTCCGAGGCTACTGTTTTCAGTAGACATCATCTTTAGAAGAGATATCCAACATTTTTTGGATTTGAACCCCCGACCCACCGTATATCCTAGCCAATAAACCAAGGAGGCAGCCATAAAGGACGAATATTGGTCATAGGAACGCTTTTTAAAGTAAGAAATCCATTAGCATTATGATCACACCCTATCAATTGTCATTGGCCGATGCAGATCATCGTTCCTCGCATCGAATGCGTAATGAGAACGCATGTAGGAAGATTTATCCAAGAGAACTACAGATTTTGAATACAAAGTGCATCTTATATCGTAGCCTCGAACGAATATTATTATCGATTGATATATACAAAAAAAAATGTGTGCGTGTAACCTTTACGCGCGGTTGAAGTAAAACTTCTTTGGCAAATATCGCAATTCTCGTAAATTAAAACAAATCAATAATTAAATAAAGCATATTACAATCATATATTTATAAAATATCATATACGGAAAGGATATAATTATATAAATATATATTTGTCAGACAAAAACAGCGGTTACCATGGCGACATAGCATTGTATTCTATCTCATTCTCTCGCCGGCTTATTCTTATATGTTTGTGTGTTTGTCTCTTTTTAGTGTCGCATTATCGTTTCAACGAGTTTCCAATCACAACGATGCTGAAGAAGTTTCACTTCAAAAACTTTTATAGTTTTTAAAGACTTGAGAAATCAAATCAAATGAGCATCTCCTGGTTTCATCGCCAGGTAAGTTCCATGGTATCAAATTGCTTTATTTGTCATCTGTATTCTATATTAAAGCAAGTTTAACGGATTGTTTTTTTAATTTAATATTTTAAAATTTGTACAAAATTATTGAAAACGATTAAATGGAAAAGATAAAAAATAATAAAATATTAAACATCGAAAGAATTTTAAGAGAGCCCATAATGAAAATAAAATATATTTTATTAAAAATAGTACAACAATTGTCACTTACAATTTATATATTTATATAATTTAATAATTATATATATATAATTTAAATAATACAAAATACAAAGATTAAGGATAAACCAAAATTATAAGTATATTATGAAATAATATTATAAAGTAACTTTAATTAAATTGTAATCATTTATGTAGGTGCTATAAAATATATACATATTTCCTCCATCTATTTTTGGACAAAAATACAATTAATTCGTCATTCCATTACAACGAGAAAGGATTTTTACGTGTTATTTCGTCGATAGTATAAAGTATAATTTTCAGTAAATATGTGACAAAAAAAAATTAAAGAATTCGTTCACACAAAAATCGAACACTTATTATTATTATTATTAAAAAGAATATTTTCATTTTTTTATGATTCGGCATTAAAAATATATACAAACCTAAATTTTCATTAGGGACGAACACGAGCGGAGTGAGGGTGAGTCGCTAGTATACATATAATACCTAGCGATAAATGTTTATTTCGAATACCAAATGCTACCCAACGAGTACGGTAACCTTGCAATGTAAATTATTCAATATGTTGTTAGAATGTTAGTAATGATTATTTCCCACGCATATTTACTTTGTTTTACTTATGTATATAAAAAGTCATTAATATGGTCAGAAAAACATTTTCGCACGAGATAATCTATACATATAATAAAATTGTAACTGATCGCTGTCTGTACATGGAAGGTATTTGAGAAAAACTATTATTAATGCAATCGATCCCAAAAATATGATTTTTAGCTTTTGTTCTGTTTGTGCGCTCTAATCTCAAAAACGGCTTAAACCATTTGAGTTCAGTTTTCACTAATGTTTTGTGGTAAGCTTCAGTATTTGTTTTATTTTAACATTTAGTATTTGTATTATTTTAATCGGTTCATAAATAAAAATGTTATTTCAATTTAAAGAATCACCTAGGGACGAACCCGAACAAAGCGAGGTTACGCGCTAGTGTTGTTAATATATACTATATAAATATGTATATAGTATATATTATTATATATATACATTAAATATTATATACTATTTAAATATTTACAATTCCATTCCAAATGAGTCTATTGGGTCTATTATATCATGTTTGATTGGCAACATCTAGGATGACGGTTGCAGGTTCGATTCTAATATGAATATAAGACATTTGTATTGACCGTATAAATATTTACTCCTGCAGCACGCAAATTTTGTATATATCAGGCTTCAGCCGCCATTTAAAAGAACTCTTGGCAGATAGATAAAATACGAGTCACGAGCATAAATATATTGAATTGTGCAATCAAATAATATTGCCGAAATTTCCATGGCCATACTTTTATGCTCGTGACTGCACTTACAGGTGACAGAAGTTACGTATAAGAAAAAAGTATGTAGAAATAGGTTATAGGAAAAAATATCTAAATTGGCTTTTTTATATTATTATCAGACTAAATAATTATATAGACGGAGTTCGCCAAAATAAAAGTCGAGTCAAAAATGGTAGCGTGATTTGCTGTTTACGCTACTATTCTGGATTTTGCCAAGCATATTGTTTACTTTCTTTAAAGAAAAAGGGAAATTCTATCAGTTCAATTCAGTTTAGTTAGCATACATTTTTTGGGAATAAAATATGAATAATAAAAATAATACTATTTTTTTTTATTTTTTAAGCATAAGTTCTTTTCTACTTGAAACAGTGATAGCATAATTTAGCTTTTATTTTTTAAATTTCTATTGGGTCTTTTTTGTAGTAATTATAAGCTATTTTTATTTATTAACATTTATTGTATATATATATATATATATATATATATATATATATATGTACTTATAATTATTACATATAATTTATTTACTTATCACTCAGTATACAAAATGTCATTGGTATACTATTTTAAGACGTTATTGTTTGGCTTCATGTTTAGTTCTATCATACTCTGTCTATTATATTATTCCTTAGTCTGAGGTTATATCTAATTGACTGTGTTTACTCACTTAGAAAATAGCTATAGTACGTAACCTGTTATTATTGAATTGTTCAATTAACATTGTTATAATTAACAATGCTAGTTACAATTACACTGTAACTAAGATAGTTTTATATTGAATATTTTTTTTAAATGCCTAGAATTTTTGTAATAAGTATTAGTAATACCTAAAGCCTATAAAATCCTACCTATCCTATAAAATCATCAGTAAAGTTTCATTTCAATTAGATGGCGAGTCCATCGAGCTGGCCACGTGCGGATTGGAGGACTTCACATGTCACATGTCTTTCAAAAACTTGTTAGATTCTCTCAGACATGCAGGTTTCCTCACGATGTTTTCCTTCAGCGTAAGACAAGTGGTAGGTAATCATGTTGTTAACGATTCGTACATGAAAATATCAGTATTGCAAAACTCGGGATTAGAACCCGATATACTTGATTTGGTTTCTTTAGTGAGCGCGTTACCATTTCCTTTTATCGCAGCGATTATATACGGGGGTAATAACAAGTTAAAGAATACACTTTCGTGACAAAATTTAATAAAAAAATCACTTTTGCATATTGATAAGAATGAAATATGGGAGATGGGGTCTATAATCATTCGAAATGCGTACTGTATGAATAACTAATCTGAATACCAAATGTTTATTCACTACGCATTACGAACAAAGCCATGTATCTAAGCATTCAAATCAATGTTAATTTAATTCTATTTTATTCTTATGTAATATTGTTATAAGTGGTAGCTCAGTGGTAAAGCGCTTTCTTAGATAACCAATTGAAGCAGGTTCAAATTCGGGGTATCGTACATCTGATATTTTCTCTCTTTTATGATCTGAGAGAACCTAGCGAAGGATATATGAAATGCACCACCACCAGTGGGACGTTAAGAGAGCTGAATATGAAGAGCATGTAATATTATCTTTATACTGTGTTATATTTTAGAGATTCCTGAGACGATGAAGAAGAAAACAAAGGCGGCGGTTTTTACGTAACAAAAATAAAATAAAAAAAAACTAGGTATATAATTTAAAAATAAAACCAAAGCTGAGTTTATAAAAAAATAACTTTTTAATAAAAAGTATATCTGTAGTATGTATGAAACGGTCCTTCATTCAAGACTGTACTAAACCATTTATTAATAGGTATTAAATTTGATATAAGTATGTATTCATATAATAACCTTGAGAGTTGCAAAACACTTCTATACATAATTATATTATAATAAAAACGATATTATATTATAATAAAAACGTAACTAAGCCGAATATGTACATTAAATATTTTTTGGAAAATCTTATTGAAATAAACATTATTATCGATACAGAGGCCGAATCTATAGTTTTTAGAATTTTTGTGTCTGTTACCGCATCACAGAAAAACCACTGGAGGGATTTTGATGAAATTTAGTATACCTAGTGATAGCTGGTTTGCCAGGTCAACATATAGGATACTTTTTACCGCGGGAAAATGTCTCATTTCTGAGAAGAAATACAAAAACTGCAATGTAAGAGTATACTAATATGTAAAACCTAAAAATTTAGTTTTTGGTCATCTGAACGCGGGCGAAGCCGCGGGCAATGCTAGTATAATATATGTATTAAAACATTATAATATATTTTTTTAAGTAATTTAGCCGCAGATAAGGTTTTTAGGAGAAAATAAATAATAAGAATTAATGTTCGCAAGCCGACTTGGTTTAGTTATAGTTTAATAAGATTTTGTCCTTTTTAAAAAAAAAAAATATTCTTGAGCAGTATTTTGCTATAGTAATATTCCTTGGACACCCCTTGATAAAGTTGGTTACAAAGCCGATCTTGTCACATTCTGCCCCATGATCTAATATCCTAATTCGTAAGTGTAATTGCCATAAAGTAAAAATATAGGTGGAGTATTAACTAAACATTTTAACTTCTGCGGTGCTTCTAGCCTTTTTAAAGATAAAAATGAGCGTGTAGGTACAGATGATATCACTTTAATGACCCAGAAGTTTTATCGGCCGTATTTTTTATTGAGGCGTAATCATTTTTGTATATTAACTCTTATGGAAGTATGTGGAAGTCATAGGCGTTATGAGCCTATAAAACTCAACATTTTAGTAGTGTAATGTAACCAAGAAGATGATCAAGAGTTAAGAACAAATTTCACAACTGGTCTGTCTGTAGGTTATTCATTTAAATCACTGGTTTTCACTGGTGGTAGGACTCTGTCAAGCCTGAGGAGTCCGACTGGATGGGTACCACCACCTTATCTATTTCTTCCGCCAAACAACAATGATGACATTGTTGTGTTCCGGTTTGAAGGATTAGGTAGCCAGCGCAATTACAGGCAAGAGGCATATCACCTTAGTCCACACAGTGACAACGCACCTGCGGTTCTGAATTTTTTAACATAAAACCTAAGTGCACCGTAGTAGTAGTAGTACCGTAGGTATTATGGGCCACACGTACTGCTTTCCATCAGGTGGTCTAGGCAGACGCTCGTCCCTGAACACCATAAAAACAGTTCAGTCAGACCGGTTGTTAGTTTGGTATAAATTGGAGCTGAAGATTGAGCTCAATGGCACACCATTTGATATGCATTTACGCATACCACCTACATAAAGGTGGTTATGTTGAAACTCACCGACTAGGAAAGCCAGTACTTAACGGAACCTCCCCGTTTTAATAGGGAACGATGATCTATCCAAGCAGACCACAACAGCCGGGGGGCTGATCTAGGTTGATCCTAGGGTTGTAGGTTTGATCCTCTCGGTCCACTCTGCTAATAGAAAAGTACCGGGAGTAACCCCCGTCTCCCAATGCGTTTTTGGCCTCACACCCGACTGGATTGCCGGACGCTACTGAGTCCCACCACGACATGGTGAATAAGTACACATTAATTGTCATAGCGTTGGGAATATTACACATCGCACCTCTATATATAGAGATGCATATGACCGGCTAGAAAGGCCATTACTAACCATTGGCACACCCTGGATAAATATATTCAATGGTGAAGTGAAATATGCTGATGAAGAAGAAGATGATGTAACAGAAGATGGTATATACTCACGCAAACACCTCGCACACAGGCACGCGTGTCGGCACGGCAATAGCGCGCGCGAGAGCGGCGCGGCGGCGCACACGCAGCAGAGCGCCTCTCGCGCGTACTCACCCATCTCTGTCTCGCTCTCGCACGTCTCCGTCGACTCTCCGGACACGTAGAGTTGCTGTGGTCGGAAATTGATTTATGTAGTGCAAATTAGTAGCAGTTTGCGGATGGGTATCAAATTAACTGTAACTTTTATACGATTTAAATGATAGAATAAAATTTTTAACTTCAATTAGCTTCCTTTTAGGAATTTTATATGTTATTAATTAGTACCAACCCTAATTTTAACCCTATATCAATCATAATAAAAATGATTTAAATAATTTTATATCATACTAATAGAAAACTGTATGAATGCCTCGACATCTCTAAATATTTTTGTATATATATATAATATTAAGACCATATTTGTAAAGAATAATGGATGCAGAAAAGATGAAGAACTAAATATATTTTAAAGATATAAGTGGCCAGTAAGAGCTTATCATACTTTTAAACAAGACAAGTGTCCATTTGCTTGCTTCAGGTATTGTGCTATGATGCCGCTGGGAAGCTGGCACTGGTCGTCCCTAATGTGTACGACGCTTATTAGCGCTACCTGAAATTTTAAAATTATTCATTAATCGGACTACCATCATATATTATACGAAAATTTCCATGTGCGTGTATGTTTGTTACTCATTCACACCAAAACGACTTTAATGAAATTTAGTATACGAATAAACTATGACCTGAACCTAGGGACGCATTACAGCGAAGCGAGGGTAAACTGTTAATCATTTATAGTTTTACTTATAATGCACCTTGCAGTGATGGCCGGATTAAACCTTAGCGCCGCCAATGGGCATAGTAATAATGCGGCTCTATTATCGAAATTTTGCATAAAATTAAAGTTTTGATAAAAAAAAAAGGATTTTTTGAAAAATGCAAAGAAAAAAATTATAAATGATTTCAATTTAATACTTTCTTAGATTTACGCGAATATTTGACATTTTAAATAAAACTATCTTTTCGGATTTTGTCGCGGATTTATTTGTATTTTTATTTTTGTTTCCCGACGTTTCGAATGCTTTACAGCATCCATGGTCACGGGAGAGACTGAGGTGTTACATGTCTTAAAGATATAGTTGTTACAGACAGCCTACCCACAATTAACAAAATGAAAATTGCACCAATTACATTACAATATTTTAACTTTAAATATTTTTATAATTTTAATTATAATTGAATATGGAAAATTATTTATTTAATTTTTGCTATTATTTTTATAATTATTACAATTTTAAAATATTAATTAGCAATCTATATTTAGTGTTGCCATTATTATATTTATAACCATAAGAAAAATATAAAATATAGTAATAATTATTTAAGCCACAATTGATCTATGTGTAATTTGAAAAAGTTAAGATTAATTAAAAAATAATAATTTTAATTTAAATTTGCTATTATTTAAAAACAAATTATTAAGCAACACATTACTACATACATTTACAAATGAAAAAGTGAAAAAATATTATTAATCAGAAATGCTATCATTTTGATCTACACAGTAAGAACTTACTACATCTACCTGTCTGTTATGTTTAGATTTATTATTAGATTTTATTATATTAATAACAGGATCCCATGACGATGGTAGTACCCAGCCATCTTCCCTATTGAAATTAGGATGTTTTTTAATTTCTATGGCTTCTCGAATCATTCTAGGGCGATATCGGTTTTCTTTCGCCAGGATTTGAGGCCTATCGAAGCGAATATAATGGCTTGGGCGGTCCTGACTGTGTTTGCAGACAGCAGATGTTGTATTGCGACGGTGCTTCACATCAGTCTGCAAACACAGTCAGGACCGCCCAAGCCATTATATTCGCTTCGATAGGCCTCAAATCCTGGCGAAAGAAAACCGATATCGCCCTAGAATGATTCGAGAAGCCATAGAAATTAAAAAACATCCTAATTTCAATAGGGAAGATGGCTGGGTACTACCATCGTCATGGGATCCTGTTATTAATATAATAAAATCTAATAATAAATCTAAACATAACAGACAGGTAGATGTAGTAAGTTCTTACTGTGTAGATCAAAATGATAGCATTTCTGATTAATAATATTTTTTCACTTTTTCATTTGTAAATGTATGTAGTAATGTGTTGCTTAATAATTTGTTTTTAAATAATAGCAAATTTAAATTAAAATTATTATTTTTTAATTAATCTTAACTTTTTTAAATTACACATAGATCAATTGTGGCTTAAATAATTAATACTATATTTTATATTTTTCTTATGGTTATAAATATAATAATGGCAACACTAAATATAGATTGCTAATTAATATTTTAAAATTGTAATAATTATAAAAATAATAGCAAAAATTAAATAAATAATTTTCCATATTCAATTATAATTAAAATTATAAAAATATTTAAAGTTAAAATATTGTAATGTAATTGGTGCAATTTTCATTTTGTTAATTGTGGGTAGGCTGTCTGTAACAACTATATCTTTAAGACATGTAACACCTCAGTCTCTCCCGTGACCATGGATGCTGTAAAGCATTCGAAACGTCGGGAAACAAAAATAAAAATACAAATAAATCCGCGACAAAATCCGAAAAGATAGTTTTATTTAAAATGTATTCAATTTTTCGAAAAACGTACTACTAGTAGTTTTTTTAATTAATATTTTTTTTGGAAAATAAAGAAAGGGTTTTCGATAACGCGAAGGGATTTTCTTTCCCATCCTCCGAATTTTGGCGCCCATACAAATTTGACGCTCTAGGCACTAGCCCTGAGTGCCCCTAGTGTAAATCCAGAGCTGCGTGCAGTCATATCGAGTACCTGTGCTAAATTGTACATCAAAAATCGTTTTGTAAAAAGTAATAAAATTCATTAAAAAATCAGGCAGCTTATTGATATCTATTAAACCCAATGTATGGTGCAAAACATTATTTTTCATCCCTATGATGTAATATTATAACATAATCATAAAAAATAATCGATACGAAAATATCAATAACAGCTTGTTGATTTTTTTAAATGTGATTTTAGGTACACGCCCCTTTGTTATCACACTATTGACCCTTATTAGCCCCTGATGGCGTCGATATAATAGACTTTGCGTCTTCTACGTCTTTAGGTAATAAATTGTATTGGAGTGCTCCTTTAAATTGGAGTAATTAAATCCCGTATTTTGTTCCAAGTTTTCGTTAATTTTAATTTGTTTCTATTTCTTCATCTATACATATAATAAAATTGTAACTAAGCCGAATCTGTACATTAAATATTTTTTGGAAAATCTTATTGAAATAGACATTATTATCGATACAGAGGCCGAATCTATAGTTTTTAGAATATTTGTCTATGTCTGTCTGCCTGTCTGTTACCGCATCACAGAAAAACCACTGGAGGAATTTTGATGAAATTTGGTATGGTGATAGCTGGTTATTCTGGTCAACATAAAGGATACTTTTTACCGCAAGAAAATGTCTCATTTTTTTAAAAAAAATACAAAAACTCAATGTAAGAGTATACTAATATGTAAAACCTAAGAATTTGGTTTTTGGTCATCTGAACGCGTGCGGAGCCGCGGGCAATGCTAGTATAACAATATATACCAAATACTTTGATACTGCATCTGTTAAAATCCGTTTAGGCTACAGGGCTATGCTAAAGAAATAGGCAACTTAAACTTGGACACGTACAAAATACATTATAAATACATAATAAATTAAGTCCTTCTGACCGATTTCAGTCGTGGAGACCTAAGATTAAACATGTGCACAGAAGATATTATAAATCACAAATATAAGCACAAATATATTGTATCTGTTCAGTACACAATTAAAATCCTGTAGGATAACAATTCGACACTGTGAAAAAGCACGCACGCACGCACGCATGTACACACACACCCATACACACCATACATACAATAAACATTTTCATTAACATTCAAGTAAAAACTTTGTTATTGTCCAATTTCGTGTGAAATTTCTCAGCCAATAACATTCCAAATTACGTTTTATTATTGCGGTGGTAAAAAAACAGTGAAACAATGGTATTTTATAACGTCAAAGCAAACCCATTAGCCGTGAATGATGACAGAGAACATTCAAAAAACAATAGCTATTAGAACAATGCTATTGAAAAAACTAAAACGATTAAATGTAAATAAAAAAAATACTATTAATATTACCTACATGAATGAACACATCATGTAATACTTATAGTTTAAACAATTGGAAATGCATTGGGTAGGAAAACCAAGTATGTGATACGGGTTCAAACCGGGGTCTAGCATCTCTGAGAAATTCTGGGTAAAATATTTCTTACATGATAACCACTTGTGCTAATATGACGAAAGAAAATATGTGAGCAACCCAAGACGTTTGAGAGGACGTAATTACTTCTTGAAAAACGTACTACGTCTGTCCAACATGCTCTATGTCCAGCAATGGGATTTTAAAAAAGGGCTGAACTGGAATCTTTTATCAATCATTGTAATTTGTTTAATCGCAGCAATATCATTATTTTATTTTTTTCCTATGTGCTTGGAATTGAAACCGCGACTACTGCTATGTACATAAGGTATTTACTTAATATTTGCTTGAATTTAAAATGTTTCTCTTTGCCTTTTTAAAAGGCCTGTGAGGTTATTCAAAGTTTTTCTCATAAAACTTCAGGCTTTATTTGAATATCAGCCCGAGAACATACATACATATATGTATCTAAATTTTCCAAACAATAACAGTCAGACAAATAACTTTTTTTTTTGCGTGAGAAAATATAAAAAAATGAGGTGCGGTGTAGGTAGGTGCAAACTACAACCATCAATTATAATATAAATATACACATATATTATAAAAAAATACATTAAAACGTAGGCTTAAAGGTGTGAAACCTTTGCCAGCATTTGATTTGATTGTGCACCATGCTCTTTTACAAAACTTCACTTATATTTATTTGACTAAATTCATCTAACTTTAAGTATATTAATAACTAGCGACTCATCCTTGCTTTGCTTATGATCGTCCCTAGGTACGTTTTGACGCTTAGTAAATTTTTTTTCAATTTTTTTTCTTGTGATTTTTTCCGATGTGTTAATAGTTTTTCTGCTAAGATCATTAAAATCGGTCCAGCAGTTCTCGAGTTATAAGTGCTGTAACAAACTTTATTTTATATATAGTATAGGTATTTAGTAATTACTCATATTATTACTCATGTTATGTTATGGTTATATTAATATGACAGTACCCAAGTTATATAGACTTTTGCTCTGTATTCTGAGACTATGCCCACCATCGGTGATGATATCCTTAGAGTTATAACTTATAATACAAATTTTACACTGTAAAGGGCAAATCTCATCTCTATTAAGGTGATAGTGAAAAGTTTATTTTGATAAGAATTTGTAGAGTACATATTTGCCAATTGCCATACATTGTTTTTACTTTTAAACAACCGTAGCTGTATTTTTCCAACTTGCTAGACAAAGAGCTCGACAGCTCGGCTAAAACTACAATACAAGATAATTTATAACCTAAAAGCCCTCTGGGATAATCTAGCTATCTATTAGTAAAAAAATATATTAAAATTAGTTCAGTATTTTCAGAGTTTATCGAATACAAACAAACAAAAAAAACCTGATTATAATATTAGTATAAATATCGATTACGTTTTGAACTTTTGAACTGCGACATATAACATTACAAATTGTAAATTAGGTTGTTCCCGCTTGTGGTCTGTATAGATAGTAGTTAGCAAACTTTTAATGATATTTGTTTACCGTGTCATCTGGCCTCAGTTCGGCGGTGTCCCTCTGGTCACGTGCCAGGATGACGACTAGAGGGTAGCAGGTTCGAGGCGGAGAACCCAACTGTAGTGGCTCCGATGAAAGTTTCATATCTTTCTCATCGTGTGGATTACATCTGTAACAAAAATATTTAAATACAGTATGAATTAGTAAGACAAAATTTTATCAGCGTAGGCTTAATTGACATTTGACTGAGTTTTATAATAACCAAGACGTTTAAGATAATATATGACAAAAAATTATCACATATATCTATATCTATTTCTTTACCATCCATATCTATACAATTACAATAAAATTGTAACCAAGCCGAATCTGTACATTAAATATTTTTTAGAAAATCTTATTGAAATAGACATTATTATCGATACAGAGGCCGAATCTATAGTTTTAGAATTTTTTCTATCTGTCTGTCTGTCTGTCTGGTACCGCATCACGGAAAAACCACTGCACGGATTTTGATAAAATTTGGTATGGTGATAGCTGGTTATCCGGGTTATGTGTTATAGGATACTTTTTACCGCGGGAAAATGTCTCATTTCTGAGAAAAAATACAATAACTGCAATGTAAGAGTATACTAATATGTAAAGCCTAAGAATTTGGTTTTTGGTCATCTGAACGCGGGCGGAGCCGCGGGCAATGCTAGTATCCTATAATATTGTGACACCTTCGTATCTTTGCAACATTATATCCTAAGAATTAGAGCCTCGAAATTTTTAAATATCTAATTCGAGAGATAACAAGACTTAAAATAACCATTTACATCAACTCAAAACTATATATAGTGTCATTTAGTTAGGTCCTTAAAATAAACTAGTAGAGCCCGCGGCTTCGATCGCGCTAAAACTACAAAAAAAGTCTAAAAAGGGATCCGTCACTCCGTTTCGATGTGAAAGAAAGACAAACAAACAAACAAACATACTTTCACAATTATAATATTAAATATGGACTATTAGGTTGCAACATTGGTTATTATACATGCCTGTCTGTATAATAAAATTATAAATTGATTTCTAATTAATATTAGTTTAGAATAAACAAGAACAAAAACTTACAGACATTTTTTACATTTCCTTACAATAATGAGAAAGGAAGTAATTTCCGCTTGTCGCAGTTTATTTTATGATGTTAGTGAAAGATTCTATAATTTTGATTGATTACTAGTATTTATTATAGAATAATCATAGAAGTTTCTATAATCTTAGTTTTATGGACGAGGCATGTTTAGTTGCAGCTGTTGTTAGTCTCAATTGTCGAAGTTAAGCCTCGTTTAGATTAAAACACTATATATATATATATATATAATTACGTGTCACTATAAATTCCACAATAAGAGATAGAGACACTTGCATTCCCACAAAGACACTCGATATATATATTAGTGTCGTATCAGCGACTGCATGAATACGTAATGTCCAAATGTCTCATGTGATTGAAAAGTTTTCGAGCAATTCGACATTTTCAATACAACGCACCACGTAGAAGATGTATGAAATGTAGAGCAAGGAGTTTGAACAGCAGATTTATATACAGACACTACTCAGACACTAAAATTTCGTAAAAGTGAACGGTACAGAAATTAATGTCTGACATTTATGTCGTAGTCTAAACTTAGCATTATACTCGTAACTGCCGCGCAGTGTAAAGTGCAAAATATGCGAACCCATACGATAGGTTTCAATTACTTGTGCAGCCCTGCAACTACATGGTGTGTGTAGAAAAAAAGGCAGCACGTTATCGTATACAAATCTATACATAATTACTTTATACTAGGACCATTAACAAAGATAATTGGGATCAAAGTTTTAAATTAAGCAATTTTTTTTATGAAGTTATGCTTCAAGATTACGTTTGAGGATGTATATTTTTTTTATATTAAATAAATTATCTAAATCATCTACACTAATATTAAAAATGTGAGAGTTTGTGAGTGTGGATGTTTGTTACTCTTTCACGCCAGAACGGCTGAACGGATCTGAATGAAATTTGGCACAGAGATAGATTATAGTCTGGAATAACACATAAGCTACTTTTTATCCCGGAAAAATATACGGTTCCCGAGAGATAGATTTGTTTTTGTTTTTCTAGAGGCGAACCCGAGCGAAGCGAAGCTGAGCCGCTATATTAATATAGAATCATTCTTAGAGGTCAAGGAGATTTAGAGGTAAAGATAAACTCTATTGTCTGCGCGCTACAAAATATAGGGGTCATATCTAATGATAAACAGAAAAATTGTGATACACACGGACCATACGCAGTAACTACATATGAATAATAAATTTAAGGAATGCTTTAATAAAAACTTTTTTTGTACCTGATAAAATAAACACTGCGTTACACATTTTTATTTTCTGATCTACATTATTATTATCATTATAACAGAACGAAGTTCTTATCTAAAAAGTAATGTTAATGTTACTCAGTAGTTTTAAGAAAAAATGGGAAAAGGAGTGTTAACCGCCGCTCGTTGTTCAATAAGATCATTTTTTTTAAAACCTACGACGCAAAAAGTGTTATATGTTTGACGTCAACCTCTATATCGGTGTATATGTCTGTAAGTCTGTCTATGGGACCGTAGATCTTAAACGGACCGATATATTTCGTGGTTTTTTTATTTCAAAGCGATTTATTGACAAATACATAATGTATTATTGTAGGGATTCTTCGATGAGCGATTCAGACTCACACTTGGTCGATTTTTTATAATTAAAATTCAATTAATTTAAATACCACATAACATCTAGAGCGTGCCGTTTCGAGTTAAGACGTAAAAGATCTTAGGGATATAACATATAGGTACATATTTGCGGTATAGTTAGCTTACAGTTCAATTCTTATCAGACTGCGGCGAAGCCCAAAAGAGGGTAATGGGTTTGACCTGTATACATGTAAGTCCGGTATGTTCGATTATAACTCCTAAACGGCGTAACCGATTTCATGAATTATACGTTATTAGGTTCTTGATAAAGCGAGTGTTATACTGTATGTTGTATCAGCCCTTTTTTTTAACGTCCCACTGCTGGGCACGGGCCTCCCTTCAGTATCAGGGGAATCAGGCCATAGTCCAACACGCTGGCCAAGTGCGGGTTGGCGATTTCACACGTCTTTTGAAAACTTACTAGGTTCTCTCAGACATGCAGGTTTCCTCACGATGTTTTTCTTCACCGTAAGACAAGTGGTAATCACGTAGGAAATGATTCGCGCATGAAAATATCAGATTCAGAATTTTCAAAATTAAGGAGTTTATTGACGAAATTCTTCGTAGATACAACGTAAAGAAAAAAGTATTTAAATATTATAATTTTATTTTTACAAAAAAGATTTGGTCTAGATTTGAACAATATTGCAGATGAATATAGGTAAAACATACTCACTATGGTGCTCTTTGCGTGTCGTAAGATAATAATAACAGTGCAGATCTGGGTGAGTGACTTAACTCATTTATAATTACTAACAATCAAAACTTACTTCAAATGAGTAGCGACTTATACTCTTTAAAAGAAATACCAAGAAATTGAGTAGCACACAAACACGAAATACATACATTTGATTTTTGAATTGAAGATCTTTTTCTTTGAAGTCGGTGAAAATAAGAAAAAAAAAATTTGAGATGGAGATAAATCTAATGACATTTATTTCACGAAATCCATCAAGTTTAAACTACAACTGTGAGAAAGAAACACTCTTCCATAGGACATTACCCTCAATACACAAAACATTACCCTCCTTTTGAAGATGTTAAGAAAAAAAATAAATAAAATATAGTTATAAAGGATTATTATTCACTATTAAATTTTCAGGTATTCAATGTATTTAGGCGTTAAAAGTCATTTACCATTTCTAACAAATAATACTGAGTCGGAAATGCGAATAAAAGAACCGTGTGAAGGTTAATAACGATGTTATCTAATAGGTATATAAATATCTCGTGTCACGGTGTTTGTGGTCGTACTACTCTTCCGAAACGGCTGGACTGATTTTATTTTTTTTTGTATATTTGGTTAGTTATGAGAATAGGTCGTAAAATATTTTTCGCACTCCTACCCACACCCTCCATTTTATAATCGCCATTTTAGTATTTTTATATGAACAATGTTATAAAAATTAAAAATACCTAGCGACGAACCCGAGCGAAGCGCGGGTGAGTCGCTGTATAACATAAAGGCAACAAGTTTTTTTGTAGATTGAACGCGGCGTAGTCGCGGGTTCTGCTTATAAATGTTATATTATTCGTTAGTAAATGAGTTGAATTAATAAGTGGAATGGCAACTATAAATCATATTTTTCAAAAGAATGACACCTGTATTGAGAAGCAATTTAAGTATGTTCTTAGAGAGGACCGACAGTGTGCCAAAACTCAGGGTCGATAATTGTAAAGCCATAACAAACAATCGAACTTGTTACGTATTATGTATTTGGTACTTATAACTAGATTTTTCCTAGAGTATTAAATAATATTGACTGCCAACAATAATCAAATATTATTGTATCCATCAAACTTATGAGAAATAGCTATCGTTTGCAATGCGAAATAGCGTTGCTTCCATAGTCCATACAGACCAAATTGATGTTGATACGTTGTGAATATGGATGTAAGTTTTTTTTACTATATACATATGTATTTAAAGTTATATACGAGTATGTGTATTGTATCAACTATCTGGTATCCATAACACAAGCCTCGTAGCTTACCATGGAACTAGATGGTGCTGTGTGTTCATATCCAAAAATATTTTTTTTTATATTTACGAGTATATATATTTTATAATAATTTCTTTCTAACCGATTTCGATCACATTCCGTACACACAACCGACTTTCTAACTCTTGGCTCCTACTGAGTATTTCGTGACAGAAAAATCCAGTAACCATATGTCATACCTACATGCTTGCCATTAGGCCAACGTGGCCTACTAGTGGTTACTAGATAGGTTTATCCGTCCTCATTTAAGCACTTCTCTTTCTTTTATGAAATATAAAAAAAAATATAATCGAAGAAAAAAGATCCCCATAATAATATTATAATATTATATTTCTAGATAAAACGTCATTGAATTCATTACAATATCATGATTGTAGCGAGAACAAATCGCTACGTGCAATAGAATAATCTTC